AAAACGAAAAATTTCACTTTTTAGTCACGTTTGTGGACTTTTACCCCACAGAATAAAATTCATTTAATGCCGTTGGCATTTTTAATAGCGGAAGAGTTCTAAACATTAAATGCATTTCAGTTTTGTTTTAGTCAGTTCTTACCTGCACGCGGTTAGGCACTTTTCGTTCTTTCATAAATATCATCACTTAATAACAATAGACGTGTTTAGTGTTTGTCTGACGATGATTTGTGTGTAAAACGATCAAAAACTTGTATCTTTATTTGTGCGTTAGTTGTCCGTCGGTTATTTGATTTTTCGATGCTGAGTATTGGTATTAGAAATATGTATACAGTTGTTAATTTCAAGTACCTATAATTAGCGTCTGCCCTGGGCAGGATTTCACGGGTGCTTAAGAACGTTGACTTGCTCGCAATGATCGGATCATTGTGGGTCAAAATGCCACTTGCAATGCAGGACCATTATCTGACAGACCTGACAAGTGTGAAGCATAGTGCGAGATCTTATATTCGTGTTCTTTTGTTTCAGTACTTCCTTTGATTACCTGCAACATTGGTAAGTTTGTAAATATTTCAAAACATTTTTCTATCTTTAACCGTATGTAACGAGAATACCGTAATAACTCAAAATTGTTGCAAGCCCTCGGATGCGTTTTCAGTCTCTCTACAAAATGTCTGGTATTATTCCTTTGTATTTTTAATTCTGAAATCGCATTGACAATTATATATTGCTCATAAATTTATTGTTTGTAAAACGAAATTTCAATGTCCTTTGCCTATGCCTGTGCGATGCCGTCGGACGGCACTTTGCCTATTTCGTTCTCAAGTTAGAGAACGCGTCGCAAAGAAAATCTTGATTTTTCTTATAAATTATAATTTCATCTCTTAAATTTCCAATTGAACTAACTTTTTCATATAGAGTTTTCTGTAGATTAAGACACTGCGATTCGTTCCTTACTATCTCCTTTAGTTTACGTAATATTCGGAATTGAAATAAATCTTCAAAAATTGAAAAATTGCATTTTGAGCACATTCAGTCGCGGTTTGAGATCCCATTAAATAAAATTATTTTAAATTTCCGTCTGATTGAAAATTTTCTAATCTTCCATAATCTATAATTTCCTAGTTGCTACCTCTTTTAGTTTAGGGATTGTCCATTAATCACGTGAGGCATGAAGGGGGGGGGAGGGGTTTGTTAAAAATCACGAAAAATCACCAGGGGAGGGGAGTGAGTAAGATATCACGTGTATTTATTTTTCGTCAAACGCACGATTTCTAAAGAGAAAAATTTTATTATTCTTTGTTGGGATTAAAATACACGTGATGATGGGGGTGGGGGGTGGGGGTAATCTTAAACCTCACGACGTATCACCAAGGGGAGGGGGGGTCCAAAAAATGAAAAAAAAAGATCACGTGATTAATGGACAGCCCCTTAGAAGATATTCACTGCCCATTTTTTCTTATGAATTAAAATGTTATGTCTTAAATTAAACTAATTTGTTCTTTTCATATGCCGAGAAATATTGAAAGTAAAAGTTTATGTGTATTTTAACATTGTGAATTTTTAGTTTCGTCTTCTCAACTACGTGTTTATCATTACGTTTAGGTATAAACAACTTTTTTTGTTCGACTGATGCGTGATATCGCTGCATGCCTGCCTTGTACCCGGCTACGCGCAGCGCACACGGCAGTTGTTTCACCGCGTCGTCCGCGAGCGTGTCTCTCTAATCGCCACGCGTTTTGAGATTTTAATTGGATTAATCGTCGCGTATTCTTTCGGCCATTGGCAAAATGTTCGCAATAGGCATGTGTGCCTGTTTTGTTTAATGATTTATGGCGGTTAGAGTCTTCTTATGTGAGAAATAAGTGCCCGTTAATCCCTGTGCGATTTTTCAGTTGATAGAATATATTGCAGGATAGAAAATCTCCTCATCAATGCACAGGTGGGTGGATAATTAAAATTTTTCGCGGAAAGTTAGGGCGGTTTAACATAAATTGATTATTCAATAACATGCTTCATTTAATTATTACAAGCACGGTTTTTATCTGAGGATTATTAAAATAACAATATTCATGTGGTCGACCATGCTTACTTTGCCGTTGGCCGTCGGTTCGGTCATGTTTTCGAGGATCACGAAAACATTTTTAATCGAATTGCATCATTAAATTAATAGTTTCTTGTTGAAATAAAATCTTAAACGGTGATTAGTTTTTCATTTTCGCAATCTCAGTATATCTTAATATTTACAAAGAAATAGTTATTTTTATCGTCTTTAACCACTGTCTTGCTACGCGCCGTCGCTTGCCGTCTGTTGATTTAGATGTTTTCCGCTGGATATTCTATCAATTTATGATGATGCTTCACCCGTCGGTTACCTTATACAGTTGATGCTACCATCAATTAATAAATATATATTCACAATATATTAAAATGTAAGTGTTTTATTTTTGTAGCACCCTTTTGCTCAATTTTTCGATGTTTTTATATTAAAATATTGTTGTTATTTTGTAAATTTCTCTCCTCATATTGTGAATATTGACTCCATTTGTAGTTTCTAAAATTTTCTTTTTGTAACACCCTGTATATTAGTTTTCCTAACAGCACGTAGAAAATCACCTTTAGTTGTGAGTTTTGAGTGTTCTCTGTTTTGAACATGCAATTTTCTTTCTAGGACACCCTGTATATATATTTTCCTGTGCGTCCGTGAAAATTTTGATTTAGCTGTCGTTTTTAGTATTTCCCCGTTTGCACCTTGAAATTTTTTCTATATTAGTTTCCATTTTCAATCACCTAGAAAATTGGCTATTTACTAATATAATTATTCCGGTATAACTTTATGCGCGGCTGTGCAGGTCGTAAGTCCTGTTTCAATATGGCGACATGTATTCTGTTGACTTGTAAAATATAAACTTGTATTCTATTGTTAATAAATAAATAGTAAGATATATAGACTTCTTTGATTTGTATACCCCTTCTATCATTTCAGGAACAGGTCTCTAAGAGAGTTCCTCTCTCAGGGATGATCCCCACTATAAAATTGTTAAGGTGTCCTGTATGATTTGTGTTCTCCATCTTTCATTTCAGCTACAGGTCAGAACATGTAAGAATATTTTTAAGTGTCCCTCTCTTGAGGCGACTTAAAACTTAAAAATATTTTACAAGTCCTTAAAAGGATGTCCTTATAAGGAGTTCCTCTCTCTGGGGTGATCCCCACCATAAAAATTGTTGATATGCCTGATAATTTCGGGGATGAAGCGCAGAGACATCGTAGCTGTAGGATGGGCCGGGAGCAATGGACGCATCGAAGCAGTGGGCGATCGACCAGAGCGCCAGAGGCGCTCTGGGAGATCGACCTGTGACTGTCTTAAAACGACACGTGCCAAAAAATTTAAAAATTCCGTCACCCCTATTCTCTTTTCTTCCTGTACTCTCTCTTCTCACTTCTCCTATTCTCTCCTGCTGCTCTCTCGACTTACTACTCCTTCTTTTTCTCTTCTCTTATTTTGCTCTGTTCTCCGTTTCTCCACTTACTTTCTGTACTTCTCTTATTGCCTTCGCTTGTATTGCAATTTCACTTATATTTCATTTGAGTTTACATATGCAACCCAAATTTCACCTGTTATTTTTATATTTGAGAAAAATGCCGTCTATACCTGAGATTCGATCCGAGTGTACTAGCATGCTAGCAGGTGCACGTAACCACTCGACCACCGAGTGTTTTTATTATCAATATTTGATTCTTCTATTTATATTTTTACTTTATTCAACTTTTTAAAAACAACAACACAACATAAGCAACAGTTGTGCTGTGTACGCTCCACACACATTAGATGCATGATATGCCTGTAACTACAACTAAAACTGAAAACGACAACGTAAACATCAGGATTAAATGTGAACGAGATATTATAAATAAATTATCCTTTATTGAGTTAACCATAAAACCCCACAAAGTGGAATTGATGTTACCACTCATTGCAGTACTTTTGTCCTGGCAACCATTCCACACGAGCTAACGAATTAACAATTGAACCATTTCGACTAATAAATCCAATTGGAATCCGTAGCCCAACGGAGGAAACCCGACGACCATCGGCTACTGGCATATACACGCGCACGTGGTGAACTCTCTTAATTCTGGAGTCGATCCGCGATAAATCATTTAGTCAGTAGTCGATGACCAAACGATTCGAATGTTTACAGCGTATTAAAACAACAGAATTGCAAATAGTCGCGGTGAAGGTTGACGGAGAAAGAGAACACGTGCAACCCGCAGGACTGCGCACAACCGACTGACTAAGCCGGTACGGCACGGTAGTGTTCAAATGGCAGCGCGCAGTATGCGCGTAAGTCAAGGCCGAATCGAGAACATAAACAAAGCGTGAAAAGTTCCACGGATCATATAAAAGACATTGATTGAACATGAAATTTTAGAGTATTTCTCTCTTGCTCTAGCTCACCTCACTCTGCATTTCAACCTTAGTTTCTTGAGCGAAAGATAATAAATAACTATCGATATTATATAGAATCGTAAAAATTATTCGATAACACTGGATAGAAACAAGCAGTTACATGTTACCGACATTACAAATGTACAATATCACGCAACGAAGAATAAACCCCTAAAACAAGCAACACAGAAAAACAATTTTTATCGCTATTATTGAAAATTGAGATTGGAATTCATTGATCCACATTTTGCGACTTATCGATGAGAAATTAAGGCTTCGTAGATGAAAACAACAAAGATATTCAATTCCGATGCAAGCGCGATTATCCTGCAACGTCGAATTCTGATGGTGTAGAGCTAAAACAAACAATGATTAGAACCTTTGACTCTCAAAAATTCCATTTTCGTGGCCCATCCTTGACTTAATCGTGAAGAATATACATCCTCACAATCTAATAAGGGTGCTGCCCGCACAATAAAACCTGGCATGATACAAATCAACTTAGGTTCAAAACGCTAACCATTGCCACAGTAACAACTTCCATCAAACTAAAAACAAATACTCTGATTTATTATACTTGTTAAGAATCAAATTTCAACATTATTTCGATGAAAAAAGTCATGAAGGTATTAAAACAAATATTATGCCATTGTAAAGTCACTCAATCACCATACCCTCACCCTTGGTGACTCTTTCACTGTCTTTCTTAAGATTAGCATACAGCGTCGCAATTGTTCCACCCTCTCTCCGCCCTGCAAAGTCTAATCGTGATTTCTTGCTGGCAGCCATGCTATGCGAAGCCATGAAAATGTCGAACAAATTCTTAGCTCCCAGCGCGGCCCTGGTAGGATTCCTCGTAGCTGACGAATGCGGTGGTGACATGGGCGAATCCGTGGTAGCGCGTATCACAGTCGCACGCTGGTGTCCCTCATTTTCGTAGTAATCAAGCTCTCGGATTGCCTGGTCAAGTTCAACGCGATCCGCACTCACGTCGGGATTGAATTTGTAACACTCGCGCAAACAGGTGTAAATTGCTCTGTGCTGCTCGGTGTGCAGATTATTCTTAATAAGTGTCTCAAGCTCCTTCCACACGCACTTATACTGTTCCTCGCGTTTCTGTCCCTTAAACTTCTGCCCGACGTTCGTGAGGTGCAGAGACTCATGCTTAGACTCTAATCCAATCAAGTTGTAAATGACTTGTTTGCATCTGTTCACCTCTTCATCTGTGATCTTCTCTTCAGTAATCAAGGCAGGTAACGGGTCAATGTACTAAAAAACAAAATGAAAATACACAACGAACAAAGGGTAAAAAAACTTAACATACCGCTTTTAAATTAAATATCAACGTTGAACTAATAGTTAGAGGCCAGTACTTCGTGTGCCTGGCCAATCTTTGCTTCATTTTCAATGTGGGTATCTCCTTGTAATTGCCTGGTTTCAGCGGAAAAAGTCGATTCTGCTTGATAAACAGTCCAAAATCCGGGATACGATAATCAGTCACACGGCCGCCGCAACCCTCGGAGATGGACGGCGGATCCTCGAGGACAGAACGCGCCGTGGACAGCGTATGTACAAAGATCTCGCCTCCATGCGCCGCCAGCAGATGGCTCGTAATCTTACCACCCGTCTTCCTAGCCATCTCTAGCATCACGGACCTGCCGTTCAACAGAAAATTAATCAAACATAGCGACGGACGCGAATTCACATCGACTGGTGTGATGCGATGCATTGACGTGCAGTTTTGCATTTCAGCAGCGCTACAACTTCTCGGTGTGCACCACTTTAATGTCACCTGTTTTTGAAAAGCAACAAGAGTTTAACACAATATCTTTTCTGAATTTTATGCTAAAAGGCAGTTTACTTACAGTCTCGTACTCGTGACCATCCTTTTTCGTTCTTATCGCTGCTGTATCCGCAGCGTTTCCTTTAAGTATGGACGTGTGAGCTGAACTGGCGTGATAAATCTCCACGTCATAATTTGCAGATGAAGAAGCATTTTGTTCTTCTTTCATTGGTATACCTGTGACTGTTGTACTCGCCAAGTCGTAGTGTTCTAATATTAGTGAAGATAATTTGTTTGAAATCAGTGTTGCCTTGATTGAATGTACTTCTGTTGTTAGAATCGATGATAACTAAATAAAATAAAAGTATTTCTTGTATAAAATTATATTGTATCATCATTCGAATAAACTTACATGCCTTGGTGGATGGTTGCTAACTTGTGACTCTATTGTAACTGGATATGTGTTGATAATAACCAGATGGCAATGATCTATCGCCAACGAAATGTCTGCTTTTCGCTTACCGCCCTGACAGAGTTGATTTTGTTGCAGTAAAACATTGTGAAAAATGTCCTCTAGGCGCTTCATACTTTCATCATCTCTGGTTGATGTTATGCAGATAACCCTGCATCTGTTAATGAGTTTCTGATCGTCATTTGCTGAAAAACTTTTGTATCTTTCCCATTGCAAGTCTGTACACTCTACAAAAGAAGATAATGCTGTCCTGAGTCCATGAATAACTGTGTGCTCAGGCATATTTGCTGTTCTGGAAGATGGTGGAATCCCAAGTTGTGCCAATCCACTCATAATCTGTTAAATAGAAATGAAATAAATATACTATACTAAAACTTTGTTAATCTTTAAGTATTTACACAACTTATTGATTGTTGTGATGAATTCCAGTTGTTTAGAATATGTGGCACTGAATCACTGGCTATGAATCTGATCTAAAACAAATGAAAATCAGCTAGCGAATAAAATAAACAACACTATTTATATTTAACACTATACGTACTAGTTTTCCGGTGGGAAATAAATCCCAAGCAATCCTGCAATATTCGATTGCTGCTTCCACACTGCATGTCCACAAAGATTTAGAAATGGGCTTAATTGGAATGTGTGATGTACCACGGGTCTTGATAAAGTCGAATTCTATGGGTGCTTCACAGGGGATGCCAAAGTACGGTGTGTGGTCCAGAACGAAGATTGTTTTATGGTTCGCAGAATACATTTTGCGATGTTCTTGAAGCAAATAAACATGGAATTTGTAAAGAAGCGCGACATGAATTTGTAGGTTAAGAAGGCATTGCCGCGTCCAAACACGCCAAACAGTTTACGGCAGCATAATGCGTTTGAAATAAAACTTATTTTCGTTATAAAACGAATTAACAATAAAAGAAAATGCAAAGGAAACATATTTATGATCTAAATTCTGTTTTTTTATACGTATACAGTATTAAAACATTCATCCATGAGGTTTCAAATGTGAAATATGATGTAGAAATGTACCATCATGGTTTAAACGCGTATTTAACGCAAAAATATAACATTTTATCTAACTCACAACTAACAACGTGTACCTATAGAACTTTGTACAATTATTTACGATAACAGCAGGTTGCCGTTGAGATTGTGTCATTCATTAGCATAAATATCTGAAATTCCGCTGTAAACGATGACTTTCTGCAAATCGTACGCTTCGAGGAAGAGCTTCGAGAAAGCTGCGCAATGAAATTTTTATCAAACGCTCAAGAAGGATTTTTAAATTCATTCCGACTACCCACAATTCCAAATTCCCTTCGTCTCGCCGGCGGAAAACGCTCGGCGGACCGGCGCGCGGGTTCAACATAAATGAAATTAAAACTAGTTTAGAAACTGAATTGAAGAAGTATGTGACCCACTGACGCGTGCGTGACCTAGAAACATATATGAAGCGGTGCGCGGCGCGCCGAAGGAAGAAACGGGCGAGCGTGAAGGATACTCGGACGAAAAACCGGCGGCGGCACCATCGGCGGCAAGGTCGAATTCTTCGTCACGGCCAGCGCGACGCCATCGACCCAAGAGGTCCACGCCAGAAGGCCAGGCCAAGGAGAGACCGTAGGTCGCAATGATGATGAGAAGAGCGCACATCATCGTTGGCGTGCAAGTTTTAGAATATAACAGGTGAAAATTAAGCACGTTGGCTGCTGGCTTGGAAAGTGTAATGCGATGCCAAAAGCGGAATGAATGCAAAAGCGCGTCGTCGACGTGCGGTTTCGGATGCGCGCTCGCTTCGATTTTGTTTTTCCAATTCGCACTCACAATACTAATTGCGCACGCCAGTGCTAACTTCCTAACGTGTCGGACTACTTATTTGTTTGTGTTTATCACAAGTATACAACTTTCATCTGCTTTTTCTTCTGCTTCTACTTTTTTTCGAAGCTGATTTACTAAGTTCGCCCGATTGAAAACAACACCAAGCATTATTTACCGAAATTTTCAGTGTTTTGAACCTGAGTGAATCCGCCATGGTTCTTAATCAGCAAATAACAAATTAATACCGATGTAATACATGCGTTGCTTAACTGTGCATGGCGTGCCACACGAAAATGCGTAACGATTACACGTTTAGCCGCGCGCCTAAACGAGCGTGTCAAACGGCGTTGCAATTAACTCCGCTTACAGAACAATGCGGGGCGAACAAAATGCGCGCCCGCGTTTTCGGCGAGATTTCGATTTGGCCAATAGCGCGCGCGCGATTTTTTGAATAATCCGGAATTGAAATCGTGGCACGGTGGCAGGCGACTTCGTGGCACAACAGCTCTGGACGGGACATTTTTTGTTATTACCGTTACATCTCTTCAAACTTTCTCCTTGATGGCTGCCACCAATGGCCGGCGCGCGGCTGCTCGCCGCTTGCAACCGTTTATTTATAGGTTTAAAAAGAAGCAAAGCAGCGGCGCGAGGCATGCAGGAGAACTTTAAACGGATTATCTAAATGGTAATTCATTAATAACATGCGAATGTGAATGATCTTCCGATCAGAATGTGTCCTGGACACACGCCGCGTGCGCACGGAGGAAAATTAGTCAGATTCTGACCTCGTGCTCCATTTTCTAGCAGTCATTAGCACACAATGAGCGCCGGCCAAATAGTTAATCAAATTTGCGCGTGTCGCTTGTTCGGTTTTAATTGCGCCTTCCGCATTGTTCGCCGCTGGCTTTGAACTTGCAACAATCGACGTGATTATGTTTTTATTTTTCCCTTTGTTGCTGCTCAGTGGCTGCAAATGAACGCGCACGCAATTCTCATCGGCGTGCTAGTTTTTTTTCTCGAAATAATTTATAGCGCTTTGCAAGTGAGCTGGATGCTCATGAAGGCGGCGGTGATTTCGATGCGCGCCGCGATCTTCGCGACCTATGGAGGAAAGTCGTGCGGCGCGCGAATTTCGAACGAATCCGCATTTCCGCTCGCGCCGCTAACACGAAATCGCAGGCTAACGGTCGGCGCGAAGGAATTTTCGTTTCCGTGAAATTTAACTGTGCAATCCGACGCGCTCCCATAATATATCAATGCGTGAGCGTTTTTGGAAATCCTCGGTATGATTTGCATATGAGGCTAAAAAACGACCTTCATTTTCGGCCACCGGCGGCGGTCCGCCGGCTGAACTCGATGCCGACAACCGGTTATTATCACAGCGCGGATTTTTTTCGCAAAATTCTTTTTTTTTTTTGCCGCCGAGGCGCGTCATTCAACATTTGCTATAACTGTTGTTATTCAACGTGTATCGAAGATGTGTTTCGCGAGTTGATATTAGCGGGACAATGCGCCGAACGGGGCAGGCGGCGACGCCGACGTATTGTTGTTAATTTGTCGTAATTTGTTGTTGATTTTGAGGCGCACGCTGGCGGTATTTTTTTTGTAGGTTGATTATATACGACGGTGGAAGCCGACCGGAGGAAGCGTCGACGATGGCGCGTCTTGCCTCTCCGTCGCTTCCGCGCGAAGAAGTGAGGGCCGTCGCAGTCGGCGCGCCCGCCGCTGCCTCCAAGAGGTGACGTCAGTGCTGGTATAAGAAGAGTATGTAGAGAAGCGCGACCTGTTAGTCGATTCCGCTCCGGAGCGGTCAGCACCGGTCATAGCTCTTCAATATTTATTAGTGTCAAGTGCTCGCAGTTCATTAGAGAGTCAGTTGCCGCTTGATTGAGAATATAATCGAACAGAGTGCCGATTTTTCCGACTTTTAACCAGCGCCGCCCTCGCCGTGCTAGGAATTTTCACTAACTCTAGGGTGAGTTTTTCCGCACGTCCTTCCCCACGCGAGAGATCACCGCAATTTTTGTCATTTTTCAACAAGTCATTCAGTCATCAGAATACATGTGCCTTTCTTGTTTTTCATTATAGAAAATTAAAATTCAAATTCAATCAAAATGAGAATATTGTTATTGGCGGCACTTGTTTGCCTGAGTGTAATTTACGTAAATGCCGGCCCGATTCAAAAGGATGAGCAGAAAGTTATCGAAGAAGGCAAGAAGCAAGAAGACACCCAGGGAGTGTTCGTGACTCCGGTCGCGGAGGCGCATGTCGCCGCGGAAGCCGCCGCCACCGTCCCCGCTGCGACGGAAGTGAAAGAGGAAGTGCCAAAGCCCAAAGAAACCGGAAGACAGAGCTCCTCGTCGGATGACGACGATGATGACGATGACGACGACGATCTGGACCTAGGCGTCGATGATGACGACGATGACGATGATGAGGATGAGTCGCCAGCCGCCGCCGGTGATGAGGGAGACGACGATGACGACGAGGACTACTTCGAAAGTTTCTTCGACGACATCTTAGGAGGTTAGTGGATCGATTGAGAGTGTTGACCGCGGCGGATGTGCCCCCCCGGGAGGCAATTAGACAAGAATTTCTCGTAGAGTCGTATAACTGCTTCTCGCGTCGGCTGAACAGTTAGGCTAATAAATATTAAAACGGGCCGATTTCTCCGATCGCATGCGTTGCGCCGTGCCGCCGGGCTCAAATAACCGTTACTGTTGCAGACGACGATGACGACGACGACGAGGAGGACGACGACGATGTCGCGCCCAGCAGCGGCCTCGCGCAGCCCGCCGACGCCGTGCCGGAGAACGCGCAGGAAGGCGCCGACCTGGAGCAGCCCGCCGATGAGCTCGCCGGTGAGACCGACAATCCTCTCGCCGCCGAGCACGCCGAGCCGCTCGGCGAGTCCAGCCCCGCCGACCCCGCCGTCGCGGCCTCGAACGCCGTCCAGCAGCAGGTCGTCGTGCAGCCGGTGCCCGCCGACGACGAGGCCGACGATGACGATGACGACGACGATGATGACGATGACGATGTCGAGGGCGAACTCGACGAGCTAGCCGGCGACGACGACGACGACGATGACGACGACGACGAGACGACCGCCGACGATGACGACGATGACGACGACGACGACGATGACGATACCGATCTCGAAGACGTCATCGAGGCAAAGAGATCACGTGAGTCGAAATCCCGCAAAACACATCACAAGAAAAACAACAACAACAAATCACGCAATAACCACCAACAACACCACAAGAATCGCAAAAGCGCGCAGAACGCCAAAGTGAGATAAGCGCCGACCTAGTGCCGCGATTGATAACAGAATAACAGTCATTCCAAAAAAAAAAAAAAGATACGAACGAAAAACTCAACGTTAGACTCAGTAGGCCTTCCAGGGCGCGGGGGCCTTCCTAGGTTTCTAGTTTCTAGTGAATATTTGAGCTCAACACTGCGAACGCCCCCGCCGCCGCAAAGACTTAAACTTAATTCACTTCACACACAAATTGCACCCACCGACTCGCACACTTTGAAAACTTTCCCACTCGATCAGTAAAATACATTCAGAACTCAGCAGACAGGAACAAAACAAAAAAACAATGTCGTCTCCGCTCGGATTTATTGGCCGCTGAACTGTTTGCTTGGTGTCGCGCGCTCAATACTCAAATAATTTATCTTAATTTATTTCTATAATTAATTGATTATTTATTTTACTATTTATAATGAATATTTATTTATTTAAATTTAACAGACCTTTCATATTTGTTTCAATTTGACGATAGAATTGACTTAGTTGCATTAAACTAGGTACATGTCACAGCAGTAAGTGGCAGCCGCAATTATCCGCTCGCTTTCAATAATAATCGATTGAATATTTCACCACAAAGAGAACAAATAGCATTTTTTTTTCTGTAACAAGTACGAGTAATTTGTACAAAAAAAAAACGAAACAATAGAAATTATAAAACACTTGAAAAAATTAACAAATTGTGATTATTTATTTCATTTGTCTGAACAAATCCTTCACGAAATTGAAGCTCCTTTTAACAATGAGAGACATTCGCTGTATATAACATTTGTGTGTGTGACATTTATCTAGGCTAATGCATCTATTAATTAATCAATTAATTACTAGTCGATTACGGCATATTAATCACAGCTACTAACATCTCACATGTCGGCCGGGCGATTAACACGATTAACAAAGCGGGCGAACTCGCATGCCAATAAACAAACGCTCCATTAATCGCTTGCATGCTAGGATATAAGATTCTAGAGCTTCGGAGCTCCTCCCGCTGAAGCAAGATCAATGAGAATGTCTGTGTGGAATTGTGGTGGTGTGACTTGGTGGCGACGGCGGCGTCGATGTGATAAGAGAATCATCGCTCGCCAGTGATGTGGGGTTTCGATGTGATGCGACAATTTGCATGCTGGTGACTCTCTTGACTCTCTCTCCTCTCGTTTGGCAGCATGACAAACTTACGGACGCATGACGCATGGCGGTGTGCTCGGCACCGATCCGCCGAGCGAATTCGCTTTAACGTTTCCAATCGCTCAGCACGATTTTGGGTTTCGGTCAAATCGCTTATCGAGCGAGACCCAAATATTTGTGGCGGCCTGCTGGGGTCGGGCCGCGCGGCGCGGCAGACTCGTCGAAGAAATTGTAGAAAGGTGTAGGCTCTGACCCTGACCCGGAATGGCCACTGACCCGATATCTGTACCGTTATGAAAACGTACACGACACACGGCCGTGCCGCATACGAATATATTCGTCGTCGGCGACACGCCGTGCCGCGTTAATTAGTTATTGCCGTTCGATCAAAAGACATCACCAAGATGGCTACTACTGCCACTGGTAGATGCCGCGTTTCGGTGAACTTCCTGCCCTGCTCTTGGCCTTAGGTCTTGGACGTGGCCGTGACCTGGGCACTCGTTTACTTCCGGGCATCGGTCAAAACAAAACTCCATTCAATGTGTGCATGCACTTGAGTCAAGTTGACTCAAGCCGTGCGCGCCGTTGAAAAAGAGATGCTGATGACCTCGTCCTCGACGCGCGCGCGATGCCGCAGTGGCAGTGGAAGATGAAAAGAAAGCATGTATCAAGGTCACTAGGTGACCTACTTCCTACAAAGCAGCTTTTTTCTTCTCCACGCCGCGGGCGATCTTGAATATTACAGAACTCGTCGTGCACGCTGCATGCGCCTCTCATTTTCCAATCGTAATCATAACCGGCAAGTTTCATCCGCAAGATGAACAACCTGCTCGGCGAGCTCATATCAACAACACCGGATGTCATTAACCAATCTTATGCTTGTGTTGGGTCATAGCCTACACCTCATATTGTCTCTTCTCGCCTGAACAAACTTTCTATCGCAATACGCACGCCGATCACAACGAACAACGCAAATTTCAATTTGAACAGGTGCCATCCAGGGGCAGGCCTCCTCGACCCAAACGCGTATGCCCGCCATCTACATCGCCAAGTATAATCGTTTCGTTGATAACATCCTCGGACGCATCAATCGCATCCTAGGCAAGTCCTACGATCCCGTCCGAGTGAAACTGCAAGCGCCCGCGGATAAATCCAACAAGAAGACTGGCTCCAAGGTTACAGCGAATAAAAACAAAAACAAAGCCACCAAGAACAAGAAGAAGAAGAACTCGAATCGTTCGAGGGCTCCTCAGTTGACCAACAAAATGGGCGAGTTTGAAGTTGCCAGGTCCACGGAATCTGAATCCAGGGAACCCGCATTCGTCCTGATTTCAAAGACCAGTGATATCAAGACGCAACATCCTATTAGGAACGTTACACTTGAGGTTCGCGCTTCTCCAGTGAGCAAAAAACGCAAACCCTCGAAGAATTCGACAAAAAATACAAACTCCAACAAGAATACCTCATCCAGTTCAACTTCCAATAAGAATACCGCTAGTACCAAAGCGCGAGCTACTTTGTATGGTCTAAGTACCTTACGACGAGATGGGGATGTAGTGGTCAACGCCCTGAAGGACTACACAAGTGTAAAGACCAACTTCCTACTGGGACCTCTCACACTTCGCGTCGAGAAAGAAGTAATCTACGTCTATTTATATCAAGGTAATGTTTTGAGCTAACAATTTCTGTTTCAGTTCGGTAAGGGTAACCGTCGTCAACTGAAGAGTGCAACTGCTACCACCGCTGAAATGTTCGGCAAGTTAACCCTGCGTATTGTCCATGGCGGAGCTGCAACTCTACACTCCATCAAGGTCCTCCAACCGAAACAGGTAAGAATCATCAACACGCCAAAGATGTACACCTATTGATCTAGATTAATCAAACGCGTTTCTTGCGCGAACAAGGTGCGAGTGGACAGCGCCGATAACCACGAGAAGACCAAGGAGTACATGTGGAAGCGCAGCTCGCACATCGCGTCGGTGGTGTCGAGGAAACTCGCCTCCGCGGCGAGGTCTATGCTTAAGCCACCACCTCACTAATCCATCTACCACGAGATCCACACGAGACAAAAATGACCAGAGTTTTCTTAGGTATAATTTTATGACGGGCAGTATGTCGACTGAGGTTTCATAGTTGCATAGAAATCTATTGTTTTGCGTTTCTACTTTATTTGCGTGATGGATTTTGATTAGATCTTTAGAGACTGCTTTTTATTTATACGTGTATTGTAGTTATTTATTGTAATATTTATTGTAGCTTGAAGTATTAATGAATATTATTTCTAAAGTGAATAAAAACACATCAATTAAAACCAAAAATGATATCTATTTAATGTGAACCCTTCTTAATAACTACTATTTCAGATTAAACCGGGTTTAAATTGAGTTTACAGAGGTACCTGAAGCTCGCAGCATCGCGGTCAAGGTACAGCGTAACTACGGTGTACCCCCACCTCTTTTTGCGGGTCGCTCGTAGATATTAAAGAACCTGGGCCCTATTTTTGACATACTGCGGGTCCTGTGCCATCATAAATTAAAAAAAACGAACCTATGTCAAATTAATCTCCTTTATAAATGTGATAATTGGTTTAAATTTTGCTTTTGGTTTACCATAAACCACTCACCGAAGAAATAAATTATAAATCTAATCAATCCACCCGTTTTTTTGTTAATTTTCGTAAAACTAACGGCAGCAATTCATTATTACATATAAAGATAAAACATTTACGAACGTTTAATAACTGTGACAACGCTCCATTCGCCATTGGACGTAACTGTTTCTGCCCGAAGCAGTTAAAAAGCAAAACGGCGTCTATGAAATAGTAGAACCGCCCAGACCAAAAAAAAAGCAGTGTTGACGGCTTGAATATTGAACGATTATCAAACGTCAATGAAAATGAAACACGATGCCACTAGAAGACGTGACTGACATGCTAAAAATGCAAAGAAACAAAAGAGAAATGACGGCTCACCATCAAGATATACAAATATCGTCGGTATTGTTGTGGTTCGATTTCGGTTTAATGCTAATCAGGAATTGTTTGTATTGTTGTTCAGTTATTAAGTGTTTATGATGAATTGCTGACTCAACATAACTGTGTTTGAATTGCCCACATTTGTCGTAATTAATAGCGATTTTGAAATTAAATTTTTAAGATGAGAAACATGCGAAATACCCGAATTTCTTGGACAAAGTTATAATTTCCAGGCCACTTTTTGTTATTATACATTCATTTCCGAAGCTCGTAATAAAGTATTCACACGATTTAAAACACTGTTATTTGTTGAGTAAAGTGCGGTTTGGTTGCGGTAGGAATTGATCGACAACGTTTATCAACAAAAAAGTTATCGCAGGACGCAAAGAAAAAACATGTTTGCAAAGCAAATAGTTACAACCACGACTCCGGAACAAAACAAGACATAAAAACGGCTATAAATCAATCAGGTTTATAACTCTTTCTCAAAGCTTTCAAGTGAAAATTATTAATTTTCCATGGTAGCTATCAAATTTCTAGTTTTCTTTTTCGCCCAAGGGATAGAACAGCACGAATTCAATTTGAAATATTATCCACCTACACTTCCGGTTTGTTTTTTATGCAAATTTATCAATGATTACGTCCAAACGATGAATAAAAACACCCAAAGTTCAAACCGTAGCTTCCCACAAACTCTCAAAGTGTGAGCGAGTAACAGTTGTGTAAATAAATCGCCCGGCCCGTCATAAAATAGCCATATTTATGCAATAACTGACAAAACAACGTGTAGAACACCGGACACACTGTCGCAGTTTGTCGTGAATATACATAATTTCGTTTCGATCTTACCAGAACGGGTTTGCCGTTGTGTTGTGGTTGTGCTCCATCCGATGGAAACCGGCCTTCACCGGCACCGGCTGCTCGTCCACGATTTTATATTACCAAATTATCGAATAAACTTCAATCGAAACGATGTTAATGTTACTAGTTTATAAACTCCACAAATCGTCGCCATCACTGAATAAAATTTCGGTCAGTCAATATCACTGCAATTGAAACGCAGAAATCTAAAACGTTTTCCATCAAAATGAGAATAACTCGCTAAGTAAATGAGTAAACAACACACGCGTGCGTAGTTTCCCGCACATTATGTCTACACTACAGCTGGGTTGCTTTCACTAACCTCGATTCAGTTACACTAGTCATACGGAAATCATCATTCGCTTACGGATCTTTGATAAAATTAAGTACATTTGCATGCATGACAATTTCTATCGAATTTTACGACGGCCTTGCATTTAAATCATCGCATTAAGCATGACAATACCGATGAAATCTTTCATTTCTTTTAAATATTGAGGCTGGAAATTAATAAAAGTGGATGTACAATTTATTTACACACAAACACAAATAAAAAAAAAGAATTGATTAGGATCAAGGATAAACATCTTAAAAATTTCACACGATTATTACGAACCATGATTATATGAAGTAAACGAAAGAGATGTAGTGTGTAATGTGTACTACATAAAATTATAAACTGGATCCCAAAACGTCTTAGCTGTAATTTCAAAGATCCCTACATGAATTAAATGTTAGTTAATTTAGTTGTAAGTCATGTATCTCGGCGTAGCGGAGAACTTCGCATACGACTTGATGACCTTGTTGACGGCTTCCAGGAAGTCTTTCTCGGTGGCGACTTTCCTGCGCGCCCTAATGGCGAACATGCCCGCTTCGGTGCACACCGAACGAATCTCAGCACCGGTGGAGTTCGGGCAGAGACGCGCGAGCAGCTCGAAACGAATGTCACGCTCGACGCTCATGGAACGCGCGTGGATCTTGAAGATGTGTGAGCGACCCTCTAGATCGGGCAAACCAAACTCTACCTTACGATCAAGACGACCAGGCCGCATCAGAGCAGGGTCAAGAGTATCGGGGCGATTGGTCGCCATTAGGACCTTGATGTTGCCACGTGGATCAAAACCGTCCAGTTGGTTGATTAGCTCCAGCATAGTACGTTGGACTTCGTTGTCGCCGCCTGCACCATCGTCAAAGCGCGCGCCACCAATGGCGTCGATTTCATCGAAGAAAATAAGACATGCTTTCTTCGAGCGTGCCATCTCGAATAGCTCACGCACCATGCGTGCACCTTCGCCGACGTATTTCTGCACCAGCTCGGAGCCGATAACACGAATGAAGCATGCATCCGTACGGTTGGCAACAGCTCGTGCGCATAAAGTTTTACCAGTACCAGGAGGGCCGAAGAGCAGGACACCCTTGGGTGGTTCAATGCCCAACTTGACGAATTTCTCAGGCTGTAATCATAAGTTTTAGATGCTTTTACTACTGAAGAACTAAATTCCCAAAGATATTTAATGAATAAAACGTAAATGGTTAAAAAACAAAGCATGATACAACGACGTGTCCAGCATCATCATCGCCGGTGGCATTGACATTGGCATTACCACGCGACGAAATTGGATCGAAGCTGGCAGGAGAACGGAATTCGATAACAGCTGGAGTGTCTCAAGAAAAAGTCGCGATTGGTCGACGCGATGGAAAAGCAAAGAGTGGCGGAGTGCGCCGGAGACGGGTAGGAGACGCGCGCGCGAGTAGAGCGGGCATTAGCCGCGATTTTCATATCGAAAAGCGGCGTGTCTGCCGGCCGCTAAGCACTTACAGTTTGATTGGAGAAAAGTATACACCGCTGGCCGCGCGCGCCGAGATGTGGCACAAGGTAGGTGAAGAAGAAGCCACGGAGAAAGGAGGGCAAGGCGAGGCAAGGTGAGGCGGAAGTACGGTAAGTACGGCGAGCATGCGCGCACGCGTGCGCTCGTGGGAGCAACGAACGCGGGAATGCGTGCTGCGGCGAAGAAGTGGAGGCCGCGCACGTCGGTCGGAAATGGGTCAGTGAGAAGCAAAGCGCTGGAATTTATTGGAACAAATCTGTCTTGAAATTCGTCCCAACCGAACATAAAACATAAATAACTAAACATCATGCATGTAATAGTCATCAATAACAATAAATCAGCAAAAATCAAGTTATTACAATGAAATGAGACAAATAATGCACGAAAAGTCAAAGAATATTGATTAACCAAAGGCAGATTTGTTTCCAAACGAGTTTTTCGGTATAATATCGCTAACATTCTGACTTTTACACCATTTTACACTGAAAATCATGCATGAACATTGATTAGTTGAGTCAAACATTAAAAACAAGTGTTATTTAAACCTGAACACATTCAAAACTATCATGATTAATTACTCAACATAGAATACAGGTGATGAGGTCAGAATGTTAGTGGAGCGGTATTTGGGTCTCCGCAAAATTGCTTTGCACATGTGAATTTTAAATTATAAAAGTATCAATTATTTTAATGCATGTAAAAAACGCCAAAGTCATTTAATCCTCAGAAATAAAATCATTCATACCAGAAACATGCATGAACTACTCTTAAGTAGTAAATTACAACAGCAATATTTCAAAGAGACCCAAATATTTGCAGTAGAATTAATTTTATCATACATTTTAATAAGACAAAAACATAAAATCTCCTTTGGTCCAATTAGATCCTGATAATGAGAAATAATGAGAAAAATCTAAGTTTAACACTTACATGTAGCAGGGGAGTCTCCACTACCTCTCTCAGCTTCTCAATTTGTTCCTTGCACCCACCCACATCACTGTAGGTGACATCTGGTTTCTCTTCAACCTGCATCATTGTCACAGTCGGATCGATTTTCGGTGGCAGAGGAATATGGATTTGATATTTATTCCTGTCCACACTGAATATTCATACAATTAGTATCAAAATGAGTGGAAATAGTCGTAATAAGTATAGAAATATTTACCCGACGCGCATTCCCTCTTCAATATCGGTTGGCGCAACAGAATCAGCCAAATCCACCACGAATTTAGCAAATTGTTTGACATTGATGATGTATTTGGGATCATCAGTGTCAGCATTAATGATTTTGGTACATCTTGCCACCTGCAGTGGCTGTTCATTCTGCAATGTTTGCTTATCTGACGCCAAATCCCATAGTGCTGGTGCTGCCAAGCCAGTATCTGATTCTTTAATACCTGTCAGTTCATTCACTCGCTTGATTATAACCTGAATGTCATCTTCAACACCTTTGATTGGTTTTGTATATTGTCCTTGGCCCTAAAAACCCACAACGATTAAGAGATGTTCAGTACTTTAAAGGAACGCAGTACTTACGTATGTTTTTAGTAAATGAATATCCCCTTCATCCAGAGCTGTAAAACAATGCAAAACATAAGAATATGGCGTATGAAACAAGCGCGTTCAGTACTTACATTTGATATCTTTCTCCAGTTCACGCTCATCCGTCCGCAATTTGCGCATATCGTCCCCGAGATGATCAGGCATTTTAATGTATAATTTGTGAGTTTCGCTAACTGAGACAAAACAAGACTGATCTGAGCGCCGACGTTAGGCGCCTAAGAATGGTCAGTCATCGGCATTACAAGCCAAATTTTCGATCCTAACCTCACTAAAATGTTAATGTCGATATATCTTCAAAACGGTACATGACGCGCCATCTGTCTGCGTTGAAACAGTTTAAACAAAGATTACTTCGCAAAATCATCACTGCACACAAACTACAACAAAAAATGATTGATATATAAACATACAACAACAATATTTATATTAACAATTTGATATACGCGTGTATAACTCTTAAAACTTACGAATATAAAATTACAATTGCTTGTTTATCATAGGCAACTCTTTTTACGCTTAAATTTTAAAATAGGCAACCTTATTTGCGATTCACTCTTTTTTTAAACAGAGTTCTAAAACAGAACTTTTTCTTAAATAGGAACCAGTTGCAGATAAAGGTGGCTAATTTTAAAAACCGCATATAATTAAAATGTCGATAAAAATAGTACATTAATTAATTTGAATGTGTGTCTGGTGTGATTATTATACATACTTCTTATTTTTATCAGTATAACAACATGGTTTCCCTTAACTAGTTCTTACATCGTAGCTACTCCCTACCGATTTCGTTCCGCATCCAAACATTTCCATCAAAATTTATACTTAATGTATAATAACAAAGCGACGAAGCCCGTTCGGGTCAATCAGACGTACGCAATTATTTGAAAAATTTTCGCCCCCAGCCCAAGTAATCAACAACAAAACAAATAAAAAGAAAACAATCAAATAAAATGTGTAAATATGTGGATATATATGGCACAATCGACTCTAACAAGTGCAATGTATGAGCTACGCTACGCTATCGACCCTTTCGAGATGACGAAATCAAAAACAATGAACGGTTGTAGTAGTGCATACTTATACAAAAATACATTATTATTCTATACAGTGGCGCAAGCAAAAGGTGTGTAGGTGTGTGTGTAATCAATTATTGTTGTGCGTAACTCCCACAAAAACACACCACCACAATGTAAACGTGCGTGAATCCGTATGGAATTTATTATTGCTTCGTCTTGTCGCGCGCGCGCGCATGCGCATTGTGTGTTGTCCGGTTATTGTTTCTAACATCAGCGTGTCATCGTTATCCTTAATAACTAAATATATTATCTTCATTTATGAATTATTTGATAGTCAATTAATCGTGATGAAATCGAAATTACTTAATTTGCGTGATAATCGTCTCAACAGTAACACTCGCGATCATCATCAATAAACAGCCATGTGTAAATAATAAAAAAAAAGAAGTGTAAATTAAATATGTATATCTCAAGCTGTCAATCAAAGAAATCATCATCATCATTTAAATATAATTAGCGCGGTGTAAATAAATGCAATATACGATTGCAAAGCGAATGAATTATTTACGAATTAAATACAAGCGTATAATATGTGAATAGAATCGCGGCGATTAGAATAAACTATAAAAGTATATAACATGTTGATCAATGATTTTGCGAAGAATTACTTATCGATCACTGTATGTACAATAAATATCTCTTTAAAAATATACATCATACGTTCGTGGCGTGTAGAAAAACCAACCTCGCACAAATTAAAAATCCCCCTCATTATTTAACTGGTAAAATAAATGTATGCGTTAAACTAGTTGTGGTGATTTCGGCGCGCAAGCATTGCAATCTTCATTATTTGATCGTTTTCGTATGCGTGTGATTACCTGCCGCGGATTATTGTTAGTATCTAAATAGTTCTAGGTGTCATCTGCGATTATCCAAGCAGTAGACGCTAATTGAACAGTCGTTCATGCCTGTCGCCAGCGCCACCTTGTAAGGATGGTAGCCTAGGCACGCTACTTGTCCAATGCGGTAACCCATGAAGCCCTCATAAAATCGTATCACGTTCAGTGGCTGTCCAAGAAGATTGTAGATCCCAATCGTTTGATTCGCATAACCACTATGAAATGATGAATACATTTATTGTATGGTGTTTTAAGATGATTTTATGAAAAATATTCTTACCATGCGATTGTATCTGCTTTCCGATGCACCGCCATTGCAATCATCGGCGTCGGCGCACTGGAAATCGGACAAACCGCCGAGTTTTTCCGCAAATCGTAGATTTTTATATCGCCGGCGGAGCCACCGCTGACTACGCTATTGCCGCGTAGTTGTACGCCGATGACTGGCGACGAATGGTCAATCCAGGTTTTAATGCGTGAGTCCGCTGGTGAGCAGCGGCGGTCAAAGACGCGTATACTGCCATCCGCGCAGCCGGCGACGACTAGTCCACGATGAGTTGGACGCGTTGATTGCGCATCAATGCTATTCATCACTAGTCCATCGCAGCCCTGATAGGGTGGCATGTATGGTTCCTGCTCGTGACCTACGCATGAGTAGGTTGAGTCGAGACTTGTCACCGAACAATCCGCGCCTGTCGGCAAGTCGAACAGTTTCAATTCGCGCTCGGCGTCCCAGAAACGCAGCACTCGTGTGTCGCCTGTGGTTATCACTGATTGCGTGTACTGTTCCCAAGTTAATCTCAAACCACTAGACACTGCTAAATTGTCAGGACAAAGAAACAGATATGTTATAATAACAAAATCACTGAAAATTTAAGTTTAAACAAATACGAAACCATTATTAATATTCTTTGAAACAATCGCAAAGATGATAATATCGAGACTTGCGCCTAAAAGTTCTTTTCACATGCAATCTACGCATAATTGCTCGCAAATCGTAAAAAAATCTTGAACATACTTTTCTAAATATGTCTACTTTCTCACCCTCTGGATTGTTGAGTTTATTCCCTAGCGACAAATCGCTATGCGCCTGCCATGCGGTGACAAGTTTCAAATTGTTATTTGAAGGTTTGTAGATGGAAACAGTGCCGTCGTCCGAACCAGTCATAAAAAGCGCGACATCTTGCGGATTCACCCAATCCATACTCGTGATTTGCGACATCTTGGAAAACACGGCCTTTCGTGATTGGTAGAGTTTCGCGCCGGTGCTCCAATCCCATACGCCGAAAGTCTCCTTACCCACAACGACAATCTGGTGTTCGTAGGGATGAAATTGTACTATTGTCGGCGGCACCTGCGTTCGGGTGTTAAACACTTGCGATTCAAGACGTGACATTGACGCCCGCACTTGTTCTTCTTTGGCTTCCGATCTCCGCTCAGCATTTCTACTCCAACAAGGAAATTTATTGAGATTTTGACATTTTAACATCAAAATGTTGATTTTTTTTACCTTGTATACCGCCATTCTCTCATATAATAATCCTCAGATTCAACATCGCCGTTTTTGGTCTTTTTAACCGGCTGCGCAAATCCCTTGCACGCCCACTCGATGAATTGTGTACAAACCAGCGGCGCACGCGGCTTGGCCTCTTCGTTGATGGTAAGACACTGGCCCTTCTTCTGCAGCCTGCAACATGCGAACCACAAGCGTAAGCACAAACAACAATCGACAAATACCGACCAGACGTACGCGCACCTCCGGTGAGGTTTTTCCAAGAACGCGACATTTTTCAAAATCAGCCACGATAATAAAGCAATGTGCGAAACGGTTATCCCTAGAAAAATTACAACCAAAAGCCACCCATGCAAGCAAAATGTTAATAAACATACAAACAAAAATCAATCTGGTACCAAGGTGCAATAATAATGATAATAATAATAATAATAAGGTATGTAAAAAGTTAGTGTGAGTACAAAGCGCAATCGTTACTCACTTCAACCGTGGCGAGTCGTTGCTGGGCGGACTCTCGCTCAAGAAGGACGCGCGATTTGGGCTCGGCGGTAGGCTGATGCTGGAACTAAGCCGCACATCGCCCGAGTCCTTCTTGAGCTGAGAGCGGATGTGCGTGATGACCACGCCGGCCATGACGGACACCTCCGGGAAAGGGTCGTTGTCCAACGTGGCCAGCGCGTTCCATACTTTCAGATAGACTGTGCCCGATAGCGCGCCCAGACTACCATAGCCATGGCTGGGCATCATCGGGCTAAGGTGGTTGAAAATAATCGGATAGGCGATTGTGCTAATCGACGAACTGGAGTTAACCCTTTTTATGCGGTCATCGCGGTGCGACCATTCACCGAATAACCGACTGCCGGTGCGTGGCAGGTCAACACCGCTATGTGGCGGTGTATTGCTGTCGTCTTTGCTAGCCTCGTGCGCTGCAACGCTTAGAAATGAGCGCTCGAACGCCAGAATAAACCATTGTATCGCCACTACGAGTTCTTTGCGCACCAGCGGGCTCATATCGTTCCCGACGTTGTTTACCAGTGTCATTACTACACTGTGGTCGATTACTTTCGAGTGCTCGGTCATTGTTTGCACGGAATTTATGAATGTTCCCAGAGCGAACACAGCTGACGCTCGAACCTGAAGTTTTTAAGCATTTATTTCATAATTATGATTTAAAAAATAATAAAATAATTGTGTATACCTCTGGACAGGGATCTTGTAGAAGTGTGTAGAGTTTTTCGTGAGCTGAATCACGCACACCAGTCCATCGCGCTTTGTCAAAGTTATCCCAAAGACGTCCGAGACAAATAGCGACCCACTGACGGAGTTTTGATGAATTATCGTCCAATTGTTCGAGACAAATCGACACTAGTGCACCTTTAGATGCCGCTTCCTGGCCATCCTTGAAGTTTTTCACAATGCACGCCAACACAAATGCAGCCAGAGTTCTGTCATCCGACTAAAAACACAAATTTTAAATAAAACACCAATATTTTCACTTGGGTTTTCACTTACTGATATTGAAGAATCCTGCAAAACTTGCAAAAAGTACGTGTGGCCTTTATCACGTACCAAATCCGCTTGACATGTCTACAAAACACAAATTATTAAATAATTTAAGTTAATTTAAGTGAAATTTCCATCACTTACATGGTCGACAGCGAGAATTTTCGCCCAAATGAACACCAATAATGGTCGTAACTCTTTCGCACAGCTTTGTAACAGTTTCAATACATACGGAAATATCCCCACACTCAACGCTAGATTCACCGCCCATGGTCCGAGATCAAGAAACCGCCCGAGCAGCTCCAACGCGCGCATGCGATGTACTTGCGTGAGTAATACCTGCAGTACAATTGGTAACTGCTCGGGAGGATTACGCTCCTCCGAACCAAGATCCAGCCACACTTGAAACGCCGTCAGCTGCTCCTCGAAGAATGGTAAATGTACAAACTTATTACCATTCTCCAGAATGCCTGGTAGTTGACCTAGGGATAAATCTAGTGCCAAATCCCACGCTTGCCACATTGGATGTTGATAAGTCGGAGGCAGCGCAGGGCTTGACACCGGCGTACAGTCACACGACCGCAAAATGCGTTCGGCTAACAAAAAGTTACGAAACAGCGACGCCACAAGCAAATCTTGACGGAAGAGCTTCTGAAAACGCTCACGAGGGAGCGTATTCCAAGCAATGGTGTCCGTGATTGCGGTGAAAATAAAGTTCAATTCACCGATCATCGTTCTACGATCGGCGATTTGACCTGGAATTCTATTAAAAATAGTTTTAAACTTTTTAAATTTTTACTAAAATATAAAAACTTACTTGTCTATTAAATCCATTGTTACTTTAGGCACTAGTTTACTCGTAGATTGCATGACAAACCATCGCAAAGCGACTTTAATCGGTGTAGTGAGGCAAGCGGTGAAGAGATCCGCCGGAAGATCAGGATTCATAGGCAGGACTTGCCCCACATCGCAGGCGGCGAGCTGAATACAATTCTGGAACGAGGGCGCCGAGGTAGGATTGCGCTCTTGCTCGTGTTCGCGCGTGTGTTGATCCGCGAACTGTTTGAACCAGTGTACAATAATGCCGGCGTTCGAGCAATCGTAGACGTAAATAGAGGGCGCACCCATCCACGTTTGTAAATCATATATGCTTAGTGGTATGTACTGCGTGTAAGTCTAAAAAGCATTCATAAAAATACCAGCTTGATTTGAAAATTCATGTGTTTTTACCCGATTAAAGACCCAAATTTCACCATTGTCAGTAGGTTTCGGTACGCCGTGTCCATTGTAGTGAAAAAGGACGCGTTCCTCTTTTGCGTTGCGGCGCAGCGATGTGCAGAGCTTTTTCACTTCTTCAGAGGTAGGATCTAGTGACTGCTTATAGCGAGCGCGTGGCTGCCAGCGTTCGTATTGCTTTTGAAGATTGCTACCGATTGTTTCTAAAGCTTTCGATGGTGACAAACAAAGTGGATCTTAAAGCAAACAAATCACAGAATTTAAATAAATTGCAGTTGAATCCGCCATTATCAACATTTTGTTTTTCATGTGCAATGTTGGTTGCCTATGCAGATCAAAAATTGTGATAAACTTGCTGATAACTCGTCACATAATACTACGATTACTTAATTCTATTCTAATAAATCGTCCCGTTATACTGTTGAACCAGAATTGTAAATTTCGCTGCTGTAGATTAAATAATTTAGAATAAAATGGGGAAAACCCAGAGGCAAACCACTTTGCTGGAGTGACAATATTGTAAGTGTGATGCTATGAAATTTACCAATCCAGCACTCCAAGCGGGCACACGGCTGCGTTTTGACGATATCTGGTGGATCAACGCCGACGTTCAGACAGAGCACGAGCGCAACACTGACGGTCTTCATCTGCAACAAGCCAGAGCAGAGGGATAGCGAACATATCGCGAATTGCAGGTTAGCCGGGCGGCTGGCTGCAGCATACCCGTTCGGTCATCCGCCACTTCTCGGTCATGTCCTTCATGCCAGTGATCGCCTCAACGTGCCGCTCCTCGGCGAAGATGATGCGCAACGCGCGATCAGCGACGGCGGCGAAGCTCTCGTCGCCGTGCTCCTCGGCCTCGCGCGCCTCATCGCCGTAGTCCCGGTCGACCATGGTGGCGCACTCAACGCACTACGACGCAACACTCGCTGGTGATGCAGCAAACGCGCCGTAGATCATCCTTCTGGTTCCGATTTAATGCAGCCGCGTCCGTTTCGCGACATCCACGGGAGCACTCGCCATGCGCACGTTCCGCGATCCCCGTGTGATTTAATTAAATACGCGACCGCCGCATGGTGACGCTGCGCGCGGTGTCAGATATCTGACTCTAGTGCCGGAGATTGCCGAAGATAAACGATGTACGAGGACATTGCTAAGAAACTTTCCAGTGATGTTTAAAACAATTTAGAACCTGAATCGAAGTGGTCGCTGCAAATAATTCTATCAAATATCTGGTCGGAATTTTACAGCTAGAAATTCAGACGTATTCGAGGTTTTAAATAAATTTCAAAATGGATGTTGCTGCTTCGACTTCGTACGCCATAAATCCTGTGAATTCGGGTGGCATCGCCAGTGAGGTAAGCATCTCAGCTTTAATAGGTTTAGATTAATTTAAATCATACTGCAAAAGAAAGAAAGATGTATAATAATAATTATATTAAACATTTAAATCCATGAAATTTGAGATTGTATTGAAATTGTTGAAATTGTCTCGCCCAATTTGAATAGATTCCAAATGCTGCGCGCGCATACCAATCGCCCGAGCGCATAATTGGAATTTAACTTTGGAATCAATAATAAACACTGTAAATAATAATATTTATGTTTCTGCCGTAGATTCTTGGACATATTCCGGTGAGTAACCATTGTTTATCGCGTTAGTCATAAACATATCTCGTTTCGCTGCGTATTCCACTGGAGTCCGTTAGGGTGAGCAACGCGCTGGCGCCGCGATGTAATCGCGCCAGGCGTACCAACCGTAGATACCAACTTAATTGCAAAGTGGGTGCTCGAGCTTTCCGCACATGTTCTTTTAAAGGACCGTCCGCCAATTGCAAGTCGCGCGTCGTCGAGCACCCATCGCCTGTTCAGTTTTCCACGACCAAAAGTCGCTCCAGTGCGCGTCCCGCCCGCCGGCGAGGCCGAAAATTCGCGCTCGTGCATCATCCAGTGGCGTCGGCGACTTGTCCCCCGCGGCTTGCAAAGTGCGCATTGTCGATCCACCAGGACGCGTGACGTCACCACCAGTCGGTAGATCCGCCATTTTGCCGACATTCGGGTGAGCGAGTCCCGTTTTGTGCGGATGCGTCCCGTCGCGCCGCAGTCCCTTTAATCGCGTGCTAGGTAACATCTGCGCGCCGACCGCCCCTCACTCTCTTACGTATCTCAACAGTTCGAAATCAGCATGGACGAGAAGTCGGTCTGCAAGGAACTCGACCAGTGGATTGAACAGCTCAACGAATGTAAGCAACTCACAGAAAGTCAGGTGAAGACGCTCTGCGAGAAGGTAAGTGCCCGCTATAATCGTACATCTTCCGTGACTTACCGTGCGTTTCATCTGCGCGCCAGGCCAAGGAGATTCTCGCCAAAGAATGCAACGTACAGGAAGTCAAATGCCCGGTCACCGTCTGCGGCGACGTGCACGGCCAGTTCCACGATCTGATGGAGCTGTTTCGGATAGGCGGGCGCAGTCCCGACACAAACTATCTCTTCATGGGCGACTACGTTGATCGGGGCTACTACTCCGTGGAAACCGTCACCTTGTTAGTAGCACTCAAGGTGCGCTACAAGGAACGCATTACGATACTGCGCGGCAACCACGAATCGCGTCAGATCACCCAGGTGTACGGCTTCTACGACGAATGCCTGAGGAAGTACGGCAATGCCAACGTTTGGAAGTTCTTCACGGATCTGTTCGATTATCTACCTCTCACGGCGCTCGTCGACGGCCAGATCTTCTGTCTGCACGGCGGTCTTAGCCCCAGCATCGACACCCTCGATCATATTCGAGCTCTAGATCGCTTGCAAGAAGTGAGAAAACGCCACAAACAACGCACTACAGCTGTAACTAACAAAAATTCGATTTGTGCATAGGTGCCACATGAGGGACCAATGTGTGATCTACTGTGGTCCGATCCGGACGACCGCGGTGGTTGGGGCATTTCACCTCGCGGCGCCGGCTACACCTTCGGCCAGGATATCTCCGAGACCTTCAACCATTCGAACGGCCTGACGCTGGTGTCGCGCGCCCACCAGCTTGTCATGGAGGGCTACAACTGGTGTCACGATCGTAACGTGGTTACCATATTTAGCGCGCCCAACTACTGCTATCGGTGCGGCAATCAAGCCGCCATCATGGAGCTAGACGATGCCCTAAAGTATTCATTGTAAGTCGCCGTCGGCAGTGAATCTTGTTAACGTGTCTTCCCCTCTAGCCCAACCTACTGTGAATTCACGTCCATATTCCACGTCTTCAGTTACTTGGTTAACTAATAAGCTAACATACGAAGTGGGGAATCACGTCTTCCATAACTAACTCTTAACTTCCCCGTATTGTATTCCTTAGCGCCTTCATTATTGCAAATTGTATTCCTTTGGTGTGCGGTGTCCAATGTATAATCCTCAGTGTGCCTAGACCATTCCACATTAAAAGTTTTTTTTACCATGTTTTTTTTTATTTACTCTATTTTAGTGTTTTGTAATGATAACCAGTTTATTGAGATTGATGCATGTGGCAGAATCAAAGTGCAAACTTCAAATTCACACATCCGAGAGTCATTCGAGAGCGTCATGCATGCAACTTGTTTCTTTTTCATTGCACTCTCACTAAAATCAATTAATACATGTTGCCTTTCTCGACTAGAAAGTGATAATGTTTTCGTTTTACAGCTTGCAGTTTGATCCAGCACCAAGACGCGGCGAGCCGCACGTGACGCGCCGAACGCCTGACTATTTTCTTTAAGCATCGTATCAATCCCCGCACATTATTCAGCTATAATTCAACTCTACGGAACACACACAAAACTACACACTACATCTATCGGGGTAAAAACATTCAACTACGCATGCGTTCTACAAATTTTATTTAAAGTCGTATCATCAAGTTAATTATATTATGCGAAACCGAAAGAAAACACATGCGACGTGAGGGGATCTTCATGATGAGATCCACGGCGGAATTCTTTCGGCATGGCTTAGTCGGCGTGGCTTTATTATACACTTCTCTTTTTTTTTTAAATAATTATTCCTATACATACCATTATACACGTATACAAAGTAAAGAAAACGGAAAAAAATGGGAAAATGAAAATAAATGAACCGTTTACCAGTTCATAATCTATCAAGTGTCGTGTCGTGTTTTTATTTCAACTGCGGCGCCCGATGTTATTGATTCGTGTGTGTGAGGCACTCAGTTTATTTTTTGCACGCTGGCCACCCACAAAAACTAATGTTTATATCTACTTAGTAATTGTGTTTTGATTTAGTAATTTTTGGTCGCGTAAATAATTATTTTCTACTTAATATGGACTAAAAAAAAAATTGTACCAGATAAATGAAGCTGTAAAAATACTATTATTCATGTTTATGTTAAGATTTATCGATGATTTGTACCTGCTGGCACTGAGATTAACTGTATGAATTAATGTGCGGAGCAGGGCAAATCATAAAAAGCAAACAACAGATTAAAATCGAAATTGTCGAAAATATTCGTTTGCTTCACTCCTTTTTTTTTTTGCACAAGATGCGTAACATGTGACAAACAACAACAAAACTAACACGAATCCTCACTAAAAATGATCACACGCAGAGTGTCTGTAAGCGTGTGATTGCGCGCGCGCTCTTATCACCGATCCAATCACAAATGCATCAGGAGCAAGCAATTGATTCTGAATTAGTCATCGCATCAAACTCAAACTCAGATGTATCACGAAATAATCAATAAAATCGTGCGCGCTTGGCGCCGCCACACACAAGTCTAAATCTAACATAGTAGCAATAATGATAACGCCACCAACAACACAAAAGCATGATATTCTAATTCTAAACTTGCAGACTCTTGCAGAGTTGACAAGAACAAACGTAAATGTGCTCGGCACGGCAATCGGCGCAGCGTTGGTTGCCATGGCGACGACAAGACTGATTTGTTTAAAGAGAAACTCCTTGGAGAGACTATAAACATACATTCGCACACGACTCACACATGACAACACTGAAAAAAAAAAAACAACAACAACAACATGCATCGTTGCGCGTACAACTCTCATCATCGAACACACATCATCATCCACCATCATTGTGCATGACGCTTGACGTAAAACTATTTGCTGATTACTGATTACAACTGATTAGATAAGGTACTATAAATGATAAGTTTGTAACAAAAGAGGCAGACGTGCAAAACCGAAAACAGGAAACCTATCAAAATCTATGTAACAGACTTTTGTATTTACTTGATGTATCGATTGTTAATCTGTAATCATTGTCATCATCTTGCACTTGCTTGTTGATTGAGTTCAAGATTGCGGCGCGTTGATGGGATGCTGATGATGATGCTGCTGCTGATTGAGTCGCTTCCTTGCGTTGAATTCGTGTTCATTCATCGTATCGCGCGTACTTTATTGCCTAATTGTATTCGTTGAGTTCTTTGCGTGCATTGTTCGTTTTTGCGTTTCCGTTGGATCGTAGACTAGCGTTTAGTATAAATAATAACTCAATACAGCTAGACATGTAAGATATAAGGACGTACGGTGGTCGCAGAGGACGTCGTCGTTGCAGTAACGACGCCAACAAAACTAAAATTTAAGTGCATGCAAACATGATGCGGCGCAAGCAGTGTGGAGGCAGCGTAAGCGTAAGAAGCAAACCAAACACTGATTGCATACGATAATATATCTGACGATTGCGTTGCAACAGTAGACAACAACTTTGTTTGTACTGTTGATTTGTTCTCTCGAACGTATAATATATTCTAGGATTATTCATGTAATATGCATATTGAGTATGATTAAGATGACTATTTATTCGATTACGAATCAGTTTTGGTCCGAATTAGTTCTCTTGTAATTGATTAATTATTATTATTATTATTGAAAAACCGATGAAATACATCATTAATTTATAAATCATTTTTCGTACGTGTCTTGTTTCTACTTCTAACAAAATGGCCGCCACTTTCCAGCACTTGTAGAATAAAAGTTACACTTACTTGTTGATTGTTGCAGTTTTAGCGCAATTTTGGCATTTTTGGGGTCAAGGATCAACTGGAACTAGCAATAAATGATAGAAATATCATTGTCCTACTGCTATCTACAATATAAACACAAATAAATGTAACTAATAAGAAAATCTTTCGGAATTTGTAAAATGTCCTTCAGCGATAGTTTCACATTTACATTTTGATATTTATGGTAAAAAAAAAACAAGTTAGGTAATGATTTACCTGGCAATTCATCCTTCATCTTTATTTTTCACTTCAGCCATGGAAATTCGTCCATTTTGTAAATCTGAAAAAATAATTCTATTAGAATATAGATTCACATGGGTAATACTACGATTTGTCATATACAACTTTGAATTCACTGTGTCATGACCTTGAAAAACAAGAAAACAAAGTTTAATCCCCATAAATGTTCAAATAATTAAGTAAAACAGTTGAAATCACTTATAAAACTCCCGATTTTCATAAATCTTGACCTGACCACACATAAACTGATAGAAATCAATTAGTTTTACTACAATTACAAGACAATACTCCTATTTGTTTACATTACAAACCATTTTTCTTTCCAAGCATCATGCTGCCGGTTGATAATCTTGAATTCCGTGTAACACTTTTACTATCACATATCACGCCACTCGTAGATTGAAACAACATTAAATTTACATGTAATTATCGAATACTCGTTCGCCGAGAACAACTTCACTAATTATTCCGAATAAAATTCTTCGTTTCGCCTGGTATGCAGTAATTCCACATTCAGCAACTGCAGGAGATCTATCTCAGCTTGTTTCAATATTTACAACACGGCGAGATTACGATTTTATTATAAACAAGTGTCGAGTGACGACTTGATTAGCATACTCGACGGCGCACGATAGTTGCCAAGCAACGAACCCGCGAACGTTGTTTACCAAAGTCTCCGCGCCGACTTTGCGAAGAAAACAACTTCCATGATCCTAGATGAGGTGACAAAACTTGTATTCAAATATGCGCACTTTGCGAGCGAGCGCGCAGTTGCACACCAACGACCGGACTGTTATCATTGAAAGAAAAAAACTAAAATTCATAAAAAATGGCGACGAAAGAAGATAATTATAAAGTAACATTATATATCTTAACTATTTACGTACATATTCACTTGTTTTGCTTTTATTTCTTAGTATTTGTCTGGGTTTGGCAGCGAGTTTGTAAGCGAAGATCCGCGTTGTCCAGGCGCGTTACCCGAAGGACAAAACTCACCACAAAAATGTCCCTATGGTTTATACGCTGAGCAATTGTCAGGTTCGGCGTTTACTGCACCACGCGCGGAAAACCGAAGAACTTGGCTTTATAGAATTCGTCCTTCTGTGGGCCACGGACCGTACACGAAGTTCCCCAAAGGATTTCTTACACATGATTGGGACGAACAGGAACCAGATCCCAACCAGGTACATTTTATTCGCACATAAAATAAACAAAAATAAACTAAAATTAATTTTTAGATGAGATGGCGTCCATTTGACTTACCCAAAACGCCAGATGTGGATTTTGTTGAAGGATTGCATACGATCTGTGGTGCTGGCGACCCCAAAATGAAATCAGGACTCGCCATTCATATTTATTCATGTAGTATATCAATGGAAAACCGAGCATTTTACAATGCCGATGGGGATCTGCTCATTGGTGAGTTAATTATTTACTAAAAATTACACTTTTTAATTTTTTACATTTTTAGTGCCACAAGTTGGTCCCCTGGATATTAAAACAGAATTTGGCTTAATGAAAGTCCACCCTAACCAAATCTGTGTCATCCAGCAAGGAATGCGTTTCTCTGTTGCGGTGAACGAGGCAAGCCGCGGTTACATTTTGGAAGTTTTCGGGCAACATTTCCAACTGCCAGATTTGGGTCCCATTGGCGCAAACGGACTCGCAAATCCACGCGATTTTCTCACACCGACAGCTTACTATGAAGATATGCAGAACACATCTTATCAGATTGTCTCAAAATACCAAGGAGGGATGTTTGCTTGTAATCAGGATCATAGTCCTTTTGATGTTGTCGCTTGGCATGGTAACTACGTGCCTTACAAGTATGACTTGAGTAAATTTCAAGTTATCAACTCCGTTTCGTTTGATCATTGTGTACGTACACCTAAATATATTCAATAGAAAATTAGGAAAGTGTAAAATATTAATGTGATTATTTTAGGATCCGTCGATTTTCACAGTGTTGACATGCCAGTCCGAAAAGAAAGGCACCGCAATCGCTGACTTTGTAATCTTCCCTCCGCGTTGGTCCGTGCAGGAGCACACTTTCCGTCCGCCATATTATCATAGGAACTGCATGTCGGAGTTCATGGGATTGATTCACGGCGCGTACGAAGCGAAGAAAGATGGCTTCGCACCTGGCGGTGCCACTCTGCACAGTATCATGACTCCACATGGACCAGACGCGAAATGTTTTGATTTCGGATCGAGTGAAGTTTTAAAACCAGCGAGGGTTGCAGATAACACTCAGGTAAATTCCATTTTATGGATGCAGTGGAATTATTGCTGGGCTAAAATATTATATGCAAATGGCTACATGTTGCGTGGGTTGCATACGTAGCATAAACACAAAATTATACAACAAAATCACGAAAAACTGTAGTTAATTAACCTTTTGTTGCAGGCGTTTATGTTTGAAAGTTGCTTGGGTTTAGCCGTAACAAAGTGGGGCCTAAAGACATGTCAAAAGCTAGAAGAGGATTACTACAAATGTTGGGGCGACTTGAAATCCCACTTTACAGGAATGAAGTTGTGAATGTTGATCTACAGTACAAAATGAACACCCATCTTTGTTTGTTTGTTGTTTTTTTTTTCACAAAATTATGGACTTAAGTAGTTTCTGGAAATTAACAGTGTTTCGTTCTCAGCGTTGCGATTATAATCCTTAACTTAGTATAAACATAATAGTTGCAAGTATACGTAATCAGTGATTTCTATCAACCAAGATCGATGTTCCAAATTCTTAATTAAGTGATATAAATTTGTCATTAACTATTAAACAATAAACTCTAGTTGAAACGAACGTTGTCCAACGGGAGCAACTAATGCAATGCGCTTAAATATAATAAAAGAGAAAGAAAAACTACATCAAAATGGAACCATACGACGCGCGCGCGCGCGGCCGATCTTAAATTGGATCGGGCGCGTAATCACTGACTCGTTGCCTGCGCCGACATACTACGCATCATAGACGACAACACCAACCATACTGATTGGAAACCAACTAAAAAAAGTGGAAAAATAGATAGGATTATGAGGATATAGGAATTAGTTGGTAGAGGGGGTCTCGGCATCCGAGATGGCCATCTCACCGTCATCGTCATTATAAACGTTTTCGGCCATTTGCCACACTTGCATTATGTTGTCTTCGGACACGGAGCATATCACCCAGGGTTCGTTTGGATTCCAGCTAAAATCTGCAACAAATAACAAGAATATTTACTTTAAACTGAAATTTTATAAAAAAAAAAACACAATAAACACATGAAAAACAATCACTTACCGGATATTTTCGCAGTGTGTCCACCGTGAATGAACAACAACTCTGGTGGCCCATCTTCGTTGTCTTCCGGCGTCTGCATCTCGCCGATTTTGCTCAAATCCCACACATGCAAGCGCCTGTCCGTACCAGACGACGCCAGAATCGTCTCGTTGTGCGGCGACCATTGCACCTGGAAGATCTCATCCTTATGCGACTCGAAACTGTGCAGCTTCAGCTTCAAATTTCGCAGATCCCACAGCGCGACAGTCTTATCGGCTGACCCAGTCGCCAGAATAAACTCTGAGTAAGGATTAAAGCTGAGACAGTTGACCTCGGCGGTGTGTGCGTCGACAGTGTGCGAGGGCTTGCTGGTGTTGTTGCAGCGCGTGTCCCAGATCATCAGTTTCTGGTCATCGGCAACGGAGCCGAACAAACTCTCATGCAGTAAATGCCAGGCGACATCTTCGACGACAGCTGTGTGTCCCGTGAAGATCGTGCGCGCATCAATCACGCGGTCTTCTTTCGGAGTCGCGTTGATGTCCCAGAGGCAAATTGTGTGGTCATCACTGGCCGACAATAAATAGCCGTTGAGGTTTGGATTCCACGACAAACCGTAGCCTTCTTTTTGGTGGCCACGCAGACGCAGATCCGGATGGCATTCGCCAGCTGGGTCCGGTTTGCTCGGGTGTTTGGTATAATCAAACACTAAGTAAATAAACAGATTCGAATATAAAAACAGAATTCACGTGGGTTGGAGGAAATGCTTACCCAGCACATCACTGGATGGTGTTTTTGTGGCGATCACGCATGGATTCTGTGGCATGAAGCGAGCGCGGTTGACTTCCCCCTCATGGTTTATCTTGATTTCAATTTCGATCTTCCCGCTGACGGAGCCGAAGCCACCGAATTCGCCCTTCTCGTTGTCGTAGTGCGATGCGTCGAATTGCGCGTCCTCGTTGGGCAGCTGAACGCTGGCGATGAGCAGGTGGTTCTGCTCATCGGAGGTGTGCGTGCCGAGGATGAGCCGATGGATGGAGTGGTCCTTACCTTCCGGCCTGGTGACGTCCGGCAGCCACTGCGCGGTCAGCGAGGGCCATTCCAATGCATGCGTCATTACCAGATCGTACAGAAACGGCGTGTTCTTCTTCCATATCTTGTACTCCTCGTTGATAACGCGCTCCTCCACCGCATCGTCGAACGTTTCTGCAGAGCATAGTGCCGGCTTGGAATCATGCAGATCCACACTCGATCGCGATGCCAATGAAGTCTTCGATTTGCGAGAGAAATTATCGCACTCACCTGCGTCACCTTTGTCGCCCATGTTTCCGTTTCTCAACTATCAAATGCACATGGAATTTGCTAAGAACAATTGAACGAAACAAACGACGCGAACGACTCGGGAGACGCCAGCGCGCCAAACAACGCCGGTGCGTAGTGGATGGTGAAAATGCGCGGAATGGTTAACTGCGATGGCAACGCTGGATAATGGCCGCGGGACACTCTGGCGGCTTTTTCAACCAATCACAGCGCCGGATTCAGCAAACACAAACGCAACGAACCGAGCACGCACGAAAACATTAAGTTCGTTGAGTTCCTTCTTCCTTCGAATTTCAAAGCAGGATTTCCGTTAATTTTCGTCCAACGACTGTTTCGTAACGTAAAAAACATCAACTTGTTAATTAAGCAGAATTATGATAACCAAATTACGATTATGACTTTCTTTATGAGTATTTGGATCTTTGGTGCAGTTTCTAACTGTCGCTGAATGTCTCCTTCCGGTCAACCTTCGAGAATTTTCGGATGCTGCAATAGCATTTTTTCTTGAAAGAGTTCATTCATCACCCACACAACCTCACCAAATTCATCTCGTAGTTTACTTTTGTTTCCCAACTCAGCTGCATGCAAAATATTCTCAATATCAATAAAAGTGTGCATGTAAACTATAACTAGACGAAAATGTCTTGCCAATCTCTAGACACTCAAACTCCTGACTTATTGAGCCTTACACCGGCGACTAAAGCAAATATTATTCAACCAATTCATGCATGGGGAAGACTGTATTCTACTTATCTTCATCTTAGTCCAGTTGGTATGTGAAACAGTTTCCAATTGGCTTAGTAAAACATTAATTTCATTTTGAAACAGATTTAGAGGTTGAATCATACAGCCTAGGAAGAGCTGAATCCTGTGATATAATCATAACTCAAGATAACATTCCAATACATAGAATTGTGGCAATCAGCAAGGTGCATTTTGTCATCACCAAGGAAGATTCCCTGGTGCTCATCAAAGATATGAGCAAGAATGGCACCTATCTTAATGGAAATCTAATTGGCAAGGGTAGAACCAACATTCTGCAGAATGATGATGAGATTGCAATTGGTTTCAAGGGATTGAAAGGTAAATTGTGTCAAGGAGTTAATATTTAGGTTATTAGTGTGTTTAAATTGATTGCTTTTAGTGTACATATTTAAAATCATCTGTGACTTGGATGATAACAAGTATTTGCCAGAGAAACTCAGGAAGAAGTATCAAATCTCTAAATTATTGGGAAGGGGAGCATGTGGGGAAGTCAAGTTGTGTTTTGAAAAGGTTGATAATGCAATTTTTAACTTTTAAACTCTAAAAAGTTATAAATTTCAGGAAACTTTGAGGCCTTTTGCTGTTAAAAAGATTGTAAAAGCCACACCATTGAATGGCAAGAATAAAATCAATTGTCCTGAGAAGATTGCAAGAGAGATTAATATTTTAAGAGCATTGCAACATGTAAGTTTCCATGATATCGTAATTTTTAAGCATAATTTGTATTTTCCAAGACAATAATTTGTATATTTTTGCTTTTTTGTGCTTATAGCCGGGTGTAGTTTCAATGAAAGACATAGAAGACACCGTAGACAGTGTGTTCATCATTCTGGAATACATGGAAGGCGGCGAACTCAACGGATTAGTCGAAACAACGCATCCGATCAACGAAGCGCAAGCGAAACAATTATTCTACCAAATCGCAGTGGCTGTCGCCTATCTACACTCCAACGGCATTATCCATCGTGATCTCAAACCGGAAAACATCCTGCTCAAAACCCCATACCCGGACTCGATCGTAAAAATCTCCGATTTTGGTCTGAGTCGCTTTCTTGATGAGGAAAACGACTTCCAACGCACCGTCTGCGGTACTCCAATGTATGTGGCACCAGAGGTGTTGAGGCGTGAGTTGTATGGCTATCAAGCGGACATCTGGAGTCTTGGAGTCGTGTTGTACTTCATGTTAGGTAGGGATCTGCCGTTTAAACACGAGAGGAGACTCTCACAGACATCACAGGTTACTTTCTGTGGTGATACTTGGCTGAGCATCAGCGAGGACGCCAAGGATCTCGTCCGACGCATGTTGACCGTTGATGTGCGAGAACGCATCAAGATGGATGACCTGATGGTGCATCCGTGGATTGTAGACACAGGGATGTTGAATAAGGTTGGTGAGTTATTGTATGGTGAGCATAGCACATTTGCAGCTTATGACAGCGAGAGTGATGAGTCTATCATTGTGGATTCGGATGATGAAGCTCCGCCACCGAAACGCTCCAGGACTGATTAACTGATAAACTTAAATCATCTCATTATTTTTTTTGCAATTTAGTTTGTAAGCACAGATTTTTATATTTTTCTAGACGAGTATTGTTGTTGAAATGACGAGTATCCAAAGAGTATGTTATAATTAGACGTTCATTAAGTTTTTCGTGATCTCAGTGAAAGAGATCCAAAGAGTATTTAATAGTAATGTTGCATATTGCATCGTGATCTGATTCGTATGAGGTCCAAAGAGTATTACATAAAATACGATATTGATTTTGATGTTGCTTAGGTTTAATAATTGTTTTTGAAGATTTGTGATTGAGAGTTGAGTGCAAACGCACACATGTGGTGCGACTAACTCGTGCCTTTGATGATTATGACATTTAAGTAGAGTATTATTAGTTAGTAAGTTGATTCTGTGTTGTGACAATCCCCGAAATCATCAAATTTGCTGGTTCCTGTTATGATTTCGTGGGAAACATTTTGTTATATGCGTAAAATTAAGCGTTACAATAAACTACCGATTTTTTACTACTGCTAACATTTCAAATCGTAAGTACGCGTTTATTAAATAATCAAATAAATACATAACGTGTTGATTAGTTGTTGTGAACTTTATAAAGCTGAAATTAAGTAGATTCGCTGAAACAAGCACTGAAATATCCATTGATGTCCAATAAATCGATAAGCTGTGCGAATTGTGACTGATACGCGCTGCGTGTAACCTTTTTGCCTACCTTGAAGAAATACTTCGCCATTACCATGAAATTCGCGAAGATTTCTTCCAGTTTGGCGTAATTTGGATGCTCGAATGCGGTGTCGTTGAGCACCCAATCACGCAAACGCAAATAATCGTAAAACTTGAGTATTACTTTGAATATGTTCATCACTACTTTCCTCACCGGTGCTGATTGTTTATTAAGAAGACACCTGGGTGATATAAATAGCGTAAATCGGAATATTAAATTGATAAAAATCATGATGAATACTTACATGAAATAGATTTGTTTGACATATGTGGTGTGTGCAGTATATAAATCATCAATATGATCAATCGATTTCAGTGCTTCCTGAAAGCTAGCCCACGCACTCTGCAATACTTCGCCTACGATGTAATTCTGGAATGTTTGGATGAAATGTGTCATGATGTGTCTGCACAATTCCACGCGCTGGTAATGCGGTGAACAGGATAATAACGCTGCGTGTTGGGAATGTTCCTTGTGCATCATTTTCAAGTCCTATTAACACAAATATTTACAAAATTTTGATTTGTTGAACGATTACACCACTTACCATGAAAATATTGCGTAAAACCCACGCAACACGATGAACTTTCAATAAGAATTTAAATATCTCATCGTATTTACCCATAGTATCCCTCGGAAGTAAAATATTCAATGGCCATTTAACATCACAACTTAATGAAATTCCATCGAAGGCGTTAATATTACCCAAATCTAATCCTTTCGCTAGAGAATTCACACATAATCTCATTACAATATCGCCATCTTCCGGCAAATCCGCCATAAATGATTGCGTACGAGCTGGAAAACCATACACAGCTCTTTCTCCACCTGCATATAAACTCTTAAACAAGTCACGTGTCATTCTAATACAATACTCTCCGTCTAAAAGAAAGTAATAGTTCCGGAGTTGTTCAAGATGTGTGAGAAACCTTTGATCGACTATGAAATGTTTCAAAAGATCAGAACGCAACAGACTCATTTGTACTTCCAATGGCAACATTAGACTACGTCGAATATAATTATCCAACGTCAAGACTTGAATGTCCGCCACATCTGCCAAGGGAACCCTCATAGGATAATCATAATCCAGATGAATAGTTTCACCAGCGTTTTCGTACATAGGTGTACAAGTAAACGAGCATCCCGCGCTTGCGCTCGCAGTCGCCGTGAACAGCGAATCGGATTTTAAAAAGTCAAAGCTAGGCGTATTTTGATACGGCGTATAACCGTACTCGGCCATTGTTTTCGTAACGTCCAATTTAAAATTACGCTCTTGTCGGTATTTCTCCAAGCGTGATGCATTCGCGGTAATTAAGTTGCCGTCGTTATCGGTGACTGAGTCACCTTCAACCTTCGACGTTTGCGGTTTGTTCTCGGCGCCATCTTGTGGATTGTTATTATTCGGCGCGTTTGTGGTAATAAGAAAATCGTTATCATTAAAAGTTAATTTACTACGCATTGAATAATCACGATTAATTTCCAGATCGGTTTTCTGGCCGTACTCCTCCGTCATTACCTTCATTTTGTTCCTCTGCGCGTCGGTTACGATAATATTTGTATTACTTGGTTTCAGAATGTTGGTTTTTTCATTGATTGAAGAACCCATTACTTTTAATTTGTTGCGTTGCGCATCAGTGAGAATGATTTTGTCATCTGGGATAGTTTTTTGATCTGTGTTTATGTTTCCGTCAGCGTTTGCATTGATTACGTCAACATCGATTGTTTCCACTGTTTGTGTTGCTGGAATAGGTGGATTAGGTGTCGGTGGTTCTTCCAGATGAATATTTTTGATTGTTTCAATGTGGGTTAAGATGCGTTCGTTCATATGTGTTGCGTTTTCGTATATCTGCTCATAATGGGCAATCATTCGTAGGCTAGAATTAATTAAAGGTACAATTATTAATTTTTAATACATTTTGATTGTTTTTGTACTTACGCTTCTTCTTGAATCATAGTTTGGACTTTTTCCTGCATCGCCGCGAATTTTTCTTCTTCTTTGAGCTCTCGGGCAAGCTCAGCAAGTTTTACTTCTTGTTTTAAAGCTAATTGTTTGTCATATTCATCGCGCAGCATGCGATAACGTTCTTGTTTCCTTTCATTTTCTTTGGATAACTTTTCCAGTCTTTGTTCTATTAAACAATCGTAAATACACTTTCAAAACAAAATTTTTAAAAATGTTTTTGTTATACTTACGCTGAATCCGTTTGATAGTTGCCGCGCGTTTAGCAGCAACACACTTGCTAAAAATAATCTTCTCATCTTCTTTCATCGCTAACCAATCCTTTAAGGAAAATTGCGTTCCTCCGCCAGCAACAACCATTTCAAACTCATACGCCTTAATAGCTCGCTCTCGTTTCAACAATAAATCACGCGTAATACAACACTGAATCATATGCGACTTATTCGCCATGAAATACTGAACAATTCGTGACTTAGGCATGCATAACTTCAATAAATGCGCGGATTTTCCACAATCTAGAATATTCTTTGCATGATCAATAAGAAACTCGGGTATTTTTGAATCAACGATTGTAAAACCATGCGTCCAATACTTCCTGTCTTTACTAGTCAGGAATTTTAGTGACACACGGATGAAAAACTCGTTGTGCGTGTCATTTACGACGCCTTGTAGCAACCACGGACTAAGATATCGTCTGAAAACCAAAGAATACAAATTAATTTATATTAATACTATGATTTTTACGCTGTGAGGTGCAACTTACATGAAATAAATTTGTAAACATGGAAATAACAGTCCTAACAACACCATGAGAATCGTTCTATTCGATTGTCCAAATAATTTCTTATATAAATAATTTAATAAATCAACACCGCTTGGAATTGTACTTCCGTGAGGTTCCCTGTAAGTTCCTACCTTACAGATGTTAGCAACAGCGAATAATTGTTGTGATAACATGCGGATAAACGCGTGAAACTTTAACAATCCTTTGTTTTCGTCGAATTTTGTTGTTGCGGTGTAATAATATGACAGGTAACGATTAACAGCACTACAAAATTCCTATAATATAAATATTTTTATTAAAATGTCATAAAACAAATAAAAATTCATGTTTTTAGATACTTACAGCATAAATAGGCCCGTATTTATAAACATTACCAAATGCAGATGTTTCTGTTGAAGACACCATATTCTGAAGCGCTTTGAAACAAATTCCACAGTTTATCATCAAACAACTGTACTTTTTGAAGACATCATAGGATATTTTATCGAAAACAACATTTGGTTTCAAAGAGAATCCATCTTCACTTGATTCAAACGTGTGAGACTCAAGTCCAACTAAAATTTCATAAATTTCAACACTTTTTCTCTACATTTTTGTATTAATAATTAACTTACGAGCAACTTGTTTCAAATCTCGCATGTACTGCTCTTTAGTTATGACTGTCACCGGTTTATTAACGCATTTCTTCAGACAATTTCCTTTATCCATCAATGCATACACATTAAAACTACTATCTGAAAGAAATGGTTTTTCACTCGGCGGTAGTGGATTACCCAAAGATTCCCACGTCCGACGTTTTGTGTATTTCATCCGGGAGACAACATCCCAGATATTTGGCTCTGGTGACGCTCGGTTATCGAATCCTTCATCAGAATTGTTCGATGTGGAGTTGTCTAGTATATCAGCATCGATGAAGAGATCACTCCAGCGAGATGTGTCGCCCAGGGAGCAATTTGAGAATTTAATTGATGTGTTTTCAATCGGTTCCAAGTGAAAATCGCTTTCATTGTATACACGATAACCGCTCTCGTACAAACGTGGCGCAATTTCATTCTGTAGATCATAGATATATGAATATTTGATGATTTTTATTGTTTAAATTTGTGTTACCTTGGGTTTTAAAGGTATTTTGCGCAGTTTTAGCAAAAAATGTAAAATTGCTTTACTTGTTAGATCATCCCAGCTGGAATTACTGATTGTATCATAGTAACTTTGTATTTTTTTCGCTTGTTCCGGCTGTTTGAACGTAAATTGCACGTTGTACTGCCAGGTAAGGAACTGGCTCTCCAAGCAGTTGCAATTTGGCAACCAGAATGCATCTAATCATCAATTATGGATCAAAATTTTAAATTATTGCATTTACAATTATAATTTTAGTTGTTTGACATTCCAGAAGTACTAAGCATGCATTAAATAGTATATTTTCGGCGTGACATAAGTAAAATCTCAATAAAATGTTAAATTATTACCTGATACAGGATTGGGTTGGTGCAAAAGCACTTTAAATGCCTTGGCTCTGAGGCGTTTCACATCATTGATTCGTACACACTTGGAGTTCTTTGCTAAGTGATGTTCACATAGTTTTGTTACAAGATTATACACACTCTCTTCGCTCGACATCTCGTTATGAGAAGTTCGCGACTATTACAACCGTTTTTGTTTGTGTTTTTACGTTGATATGTTTAAACATGTTTGTTAGGTTACGATCATCATCGTACAGTGTTTATTAATTGTTATTTTAGCTGTACTCTTGGTTGCAGCATGTTGGATTTATGAAATTATTAAAGAACAACGTGGCAATATTAAATATGTTGTTGAATTAATATTAAAACAGTAGATTTACAAATATAGAATATTTTATATAACATATTTCGGAATAAATTTTGTAATACGAAAATATGTACATAATTTGTGGACGTCGATGTATTTCTGGTTGCGCGCATTTCGAAGCCGGTCATATGGTCGACGATGCAAAATATTCGTACGAATCATATCGAAACTCTTAATTCTACCCGAATATCACTTATACCGCAAATTTATTGCTTGCATCGTAAAAGTGCTATAAAATTAATGCCATTGTAGTTTTTTTTTTTTGATAAGCCAATCATCCAGAAGTAGAACAAAGCATAATGCTTTCCATGTACGCAAATCCCACCGCTCGCTAAAAAAGCGTAACCCGCCTAAGTTTTTGACATATGCTTTGAACGCTCTTCGCAATCAACAAGTGATTATCACTAATCAGTTTTGATCGGCGTGCCAGCTTTTGCCTTCGCGCTCCTGAGATGCATTCGCGAATCTCATTACTGTTTGTGCTGGTGATAAACGTTGTGCTCTGCGCGCAATTTCGATACAAAAAGGCGAGAATTAAGTTTTTTCAAGTTCAACTTAGAGTGCTTTGTTCTTTGACTAATTATTTGATTCTTTAAAGGAGCAACATTCAATCCACCAGCTGAACAGACATCAGATTCAGCATTTAGCAAGACTGTCAGATGTGGATCATCTGAACTCTGTTTTGGACAACATTTTAATTCCAAGAGTGGTTGAAACACCAACCCACACAAAAGTCTACAAATACATCAAGAAGCAACTAGAGGATAATGATTTCACTGTTGAGGTTGATATGTTCAAAGACAATGTGCCTATATTTGGCTCTTTGACTTTCAAGAACATTATAGGAGTGCTCAATCCAAATGCAGAGAGATTCTTGGTGTTAGCATGTCACTATGACAGCAAATACTTTGCAAACTTTGAATTTCTTGGTAATTCATTACAATTTCAGCCTCTAATCGATAATTTTATAACTTTTGTATCCTGTAGCTGCAACTGATTCAGCTGTTCCATGTGCAATGATGCTGAACTTGATCAAAACCATGAAATCTGAGCTGCAAGCTGTCAAAAACAACGATGTTAGTTTAATGCTGTTGTTCCTGGATGGTGAGGAAGCATTCCATCAGTGGTCAGACACTGATTCGATCTATGGCGCGCGTAACCTGGCGAAAAAATTCGACAATTCATTAGGCCGCTCTGCAAACGGCGAGAGTGTGTCAATGCTTGACCGAATGGATGTTTTTGTCTTGCTGGACTTGCTCGGTACACCAAACCCGACATTCTACAGTTATTTCCCAGACACTGACAGGCATTATTTGACTTTGAGTCGTGCGGAAGACGCTCTGGCCAAATCGCATTTATTATCCAATCATAAACGAAAATATTTCCAAGAGAAAAGATATAATTCGCATGTGGAAGATGATCACTTGCCATTCATGCGAAAAGGTAAACAATTTTCATATTTTTAAACCTTTTATTTCTAATAATTTTATTTTAGGTGTTCCTATCTTGCATATCATTCCGTCACCTTTCCCGAAAGTGTGGCACAAAGTCTCGGATGACCGCACCGCGATCGACGTCAACACAATCGAGAATCTCAACAAGATTTTCCGCGTCTTCGTCGCCGAGTATCTCCACGTCCCGCTAAGCAAGTAAATATCACGGCCACCACAGCGCAACGTTACAATGAAACCATGAAACAAGCAAAAGCCCTGGCGTACAACTAATTCTAAATGTGTCAATGTAATTATCAACCTGTGTGTTTGCTCACGAATCTCAATTTTGTACTTCCAACCCGCACATTACGGACAATGAGGAATTCTCATTCGGCCGCAACCGTGTCAAGTCCAAATTAATATATTGTCATTTGGCCTAAATGTTGTGTTTTGGGGCGTGTGGGTGAACGGTATCTTTGTATTAGAAAATTTATTGAATGTTATTGCAAGCAGCTTGATTGCTTTTTTATTATGTACCTCAATCAAACATCCTGTGAACACTTATTGTGCTTTGTTTCTCGTTATTTTATATCTAATAACTCGTATCGATTTGTTGCCATTGTATGCTTTTTTGTTAATGTTAATGTGTATATTGTTTTCTAGCATCGAGATCGATGGCGAGGTGGACGCGGATGAAATAGACCCAAGGTTGAATGCGCACGAAGAGTTCTAAACGCGAATGCGTTTTGTTTGATACGTACATTTGTCACAAACACGAGATATGCGTAATGAAAAGACTACGGATGATTTATTGCGGGTATAATTGTAATTAATTGAAGCGAAATAATTATGTTTATTCAGTGATAACGACGTTTTTCTGTTCAATTACGACCCTTTTATTAATGGTTCACTAGAATTTGAAGTAGAAAATGCAACAGGTGCATTACACACTCATTTAAATTGCATTCCAATATTTGAAGTGTCGTTGTACATCTGTGTGTATACAAAGTTGTGTATTGAGATGAGTTGAACCAGTTAATATTCGAAACACGCGAAAGTTAGTCGCATTCAAGTTTGACGAAAATAAATCATTCAATATCGAGTATTTCGGCAAAATCGAGAGGTTTTACGACGCAACAGGTGATAATTTTACAAGAGAATTAGTTGAATGTGAATGTAAAGTTGTGATTTGTGTTGTTTTGCGTTGTTAATGGTAAGAATGAGATTCCGAGAAGAAATGTCGGTGAAGTCATGAACTTGGTGACGAGTTTGCATCGCAATGCAAGCAAATACATAGAAGTTAAGCATGCTGTTGAATAACAGTTATGAGTTATATTTATCGAATCGCTCAAGTGCGTCTCCACGATGCGTGCCCGCCGCTGCCGCTGGGTCCGCGCGACAACATTTCGAATGTGTCGCCGGATTTATATTTAGCACGGCCGGCGGCCGGTGGGGATGCGGCGGCGTGAGCCGCGCGGCACACACATGGCTTGGCATTTCGAGAAAGGCGAAAAAAAATGTGGGCATTCAAGGGCAATCAATAAATCGCGCCGAATCACCACAACGCAGAGCGTCGCGGCGCCCGACCGCCATGACAGCATGGTGCAAACAGACAGCGCTCGGCTAGCGAAACACACGCGCCGTCAATACAAACAAGCGGCGCGCCGCGTCCGCCTCGTCGGCGGCGGTTGAGAATCTCGCGGAGTTCGCGGAGACGCACAAGTTGCGCGGCGTCCGTTTTTCAAAAAAAAAAAAACAATTCGTGCGAATCGCGCGGTGCGTTATATCACGAGCGCGGCGTGCTCGCCAGGACCTCGTCCTGTTGCGCATTGTGAGAGGGTTCGGACGTCGTGACGACCCCCGCCGTCTAACCTAACGACGATGACCTTTCACTAACATACGTCTAATTTTAATTTGCGCGTAAATCGTCATGGGTTAATTAATTTTTTTCGATTTCATTTCGGAACATTATGTGATCTTTCGGCGCCGGTTTGCACCGCGAAAATTTAATTAAATCACACTCACTCACGTAGCCAAATAGCAATAAATCATGACAATGGAGACTGAAAATTCAAGTCCGAATAATTCGAAACTTAGCCAGAAGAAAAGCATCAAAAAGCTGCTGCTGCCCAGCAAGAATCCCAATAAAGTTGGCATTGTGATCACCCGAGCGCAAAGTACAATCAGACGGAAGAAACCCAACGACGACGAAGCGCACCTACCCAAGAGTCCGATCATCGTTTCACGCCGCCCGCTCAGCCTGGACGTCTCTAACATCAGCCCCACACACTCCGAAAGTGGATGCAGCCAAAACCCTTCACCCTCTTTGGCTGGCAGGCCTTTTCTGTCACCTGACTTGGAAGGCAATAGATTACAGGTGAATTGCATTGAAAAAAACAAAAAAAAAACAAAGTCATAGCATTTTTTTTGTATAAAAATGACATTTGTTTGTATTGTGCAGGTAAACGGAGACTTCGGCGGGTCGTTCAACCAGTTGAGAAGATGTAGCAGTGTGGAAGACACCAGTATACGAACGGAAGCGTCGCTGATTGCCGAAACCAACCTGTCAGAGCGCAGCATGTCGCACGACACAATCCTGAAAGATGGCTCCACTAATGTGTCACGATCGCCGTCAAGCGCGAATAGTTTAGCGCGCAAGGCGTTGATGGCAGCGCAAGTTTTACACCTTATACCTACAGTGAAAGCGCGACAGAGGAACTTTTTACACGGAAGAATGGGTACTAACACACTGCTTGGCAGTAAGGAACTGGAGAAAACGCTACCGCGTCGTGAGGTTCATATTTTTGTTGGGACTTGGAATATGAACGGACAAACGCCGCCAAGGTAAACAAAAAACACTTTTTAAATTTTCTCAAAAAAAAACGTTTTCTTTGCGTTTTTGCAGAGAATTAAACGATTTTGTTTTACCAATTAACATGGAGCACGTGCCGGATATCCTTGCGTTCGGTACCCAAGAGTCCTGTTCGGAAAAATTCGAATGGGAAGCGTCCCTACAGGAAACCATCGGTCCCACACACGTGCTCTTCCATTCGGTGTCACTGGGCACACTCCACCTCGCTGTTTTCATGCGGCGAGACCTCATCTGGTACGCATCTTTACCGGAGGATTCAAGTATTTCCGTGCGGCCCGGCGTCGCGTTCAAAACGAAGGGCGCAGTCGCCACCGGCTTCATGATCTTTGGTACGTCGTTTCTGTTTGTCAACACACATCTTACCGCGCATCAGGAGAAAGTCAAAGAGCGCGTGTCGGACGTGAAAAAGATCGTGCAGTCACTGGACTTGCCGAAAAACATTCCCTGTCGCAATAAGAGCAAAGACGTGACGCAGAACTTTGACTATGTCTTCTGGAACGGCGATCTCAACTTTCGATTGGCGACACCGCGCAAAAACGTATTGGAATGGCTGTCGCATACGAGTTTTCCGCTCCCAGCACATTTGCCTCACGGTTACATGCATCACGATCAGCTTTGTTCAGTATTAACCGACGGCGCGGCATTTAGGGGATTCATGGAGGCAAATATCACATTTCCGCCGACGTATAAGGTAAACAACACGTGCGCCCTCATTAACAGCTGGCGGTATTAAATGTTTTCATTAAATCTAGTACGATCCTGGCACACAAAATTTCGACACCTCGTCGAAACAGCGAGCACCAGCGTACACGGATCGAATTCTATTCAAACACCGACAGACGCGTCGGCTGAGCACCCAACCAGATACACCACCGATAACGTGTCTCGAATACGACTCCGTACCATCAATCACCACATCGGATCACAAACCTGTCTGGGGTGTGTTCAAAGCGCACGTTCGTCCTGGAATTGACACGTAGGCATTTCATTGTCAAATAAATATATAATTATATAAACCAACCTTAAATTATCACTTTAGGATGCCGCTGAACGCAGGATTATTCAACCGGGACGTGTACCTAGAGGGTATCCGCCGCCGCGCAATGGCGCACGGCGCAAAGGACGAAAACTTGGTATGTAGCCTACAATAAATACCGCAACCAGCTACACATCAATCCAAATTCGTCGCAACATTTCACCAAAGATACAAAACGCTCAAAGTTACTATTAAATTAAACTGTGTATTGTACACAAAATGGACGTGCTGTAACCGACCAGTCAGCCATTGGCAGTTATGGCGCGCGCCTCGACGTCCACGAGACGCAACACACAAAACAGAAGGAACCAAAGTGCAACAGGGAATTTATTCTATATAATCTAGTCATTTGCTGCGCACGCGTAGTAGTTTCGTTTAGTATTCTGTTAGTATTTAACCGTCAACGCACGCACGTTGCATATTTTTGTTATAAATATTGTTATATTATTTAGTTTGTAATCTGAGGTCCGGGACGACGGAGTTTTGCACAATTATTTTAAAGGTAAGCGCACATTTTAGTTCAAAACGGTGTACGAATGTATTAATATTTTTTTACGGAACTGAAAGCTGAGTTTTTGTTGTGATCATCCCGGATGCGAACATTAAAATCGTACAATTAGTATTAATCGATGAGAATTTGACAGGTAGCAAGCAATCACAACTTCTGTAAGCAATGTGTATTCGTGGCATGGTGTTTGCCAATCTTTCATTCGATGTTATTTGATGCGAACACGTTGCAGACGTTAAATGTTACAAAATGGCGCTTAAGTCATTGGAAATGTGATTTATGTGACCTACTCCCATGACTGTGTTAGATGTATGCCTTATGAGAAATTGACACTTCTACAAAATCTCTCGTCAGTGAATTACAAATCAATGTTACAATCCGTCTGTTATCTGTGAGAAGAATCAACTCAATCAGGAAGTAATTGCCGATTAATTAATTAAATTGTAATTAAAGGGTGACTTTTAACCGTTGTGCCTCCTGACTGAACAAAATATCATCTAGCGATGTTTAGCGATACTGACTATAATTGTACTACTTGTAATACTTTAAAATTTAGTCTTTGACCAGTTGAATGATGCGGGAGTTTACTAACAAATCAAAACAGAAAACCAAGCAAAACGCAGCAGCGACACTTAAAAAGTGCATGGCCGCCGAGTTTTTATATGCGTGCGGAAACTAGTATTATCAAACGGGTTGCGTTTACCAAAGCAATTTCGCAATATTATTTGTTAGCCGAGGACTTCAAAGCAAAACTGAAATGTATAAATTTAAATGTAAACTTGAAAATGCCTTCCAGAGTTCCATACAGATGTTATTGTACGATAAATGTTTATCATGATATCATGAAATATATTTCCTTATTTCCTTATGTCACTTGTGTTTCATATAAGAAACCATCCGGTACTAAACGGGCGAAGAGCGCCAGAGAGAAGGCGAAGAAATGCGCACGGAACGCGGTGAAGAGAGTTTTGAGTACCGTGCAAATGGTGCATCATCATCGAGACGAATCGGATACTGAGCCGCTGATTGACTCGGATTCTTCAGCGAATTACCCGAATTCTGAAGATAACTAAGCAATTACAAATGATTACAATCATACTCTATCAGATTTTGCTATACCAACGTTTTAGTTGTTAAAAAACTTATTAAATTTTCAATTTTTGCAGGAAAAAACTTTTAAGTTTTTGATTTTTTGACATTGAGGTTGCCTACAGTGACAACTAATAAAACTGTATATTCTGTAACGTGTAGAATGGGTTGCATAACGTTGAAGTCTAAACAAGTAATATTTCAAACAGCACTGAATAAGATTCGAAGTAAATTAAGCGTTGGTAATCTTTTCGCACAATTACAATCATAAAAATGTAGCAGGCAGATACTTTATATACACAAAGTTGTTAAAGGTGAAGGCAGAAGCAAACGTTGAACGCGTTAGAAAGCGATTTGTCCACGGGCGCGTAATATGCGCACGTTTTTCTGCCCTTCGCTTCTGGCGCGTTCCATTCTATTTCGCCGTCCGCTTTGTAGCATTCCGAAGCGTTTGCGACGGCAGGCGGGCATCTGGCGTGAAAAAATAAGTCTCGTAACGGCATGCAATAAGCAAACAGCCCTCGGGAGGGTAACAGTCGTTTAAAGAACGCTGCCGCCGGATGGCCCGCCATCAACCATCAAACTTGAAACATTTGCCGATTCGCCTACACACTTCTTGCAGCGAAATACGTCGATGCGCCGGGTTTTTTCCAGAGGTGAAACAATCGCGCATTATTATCGCGGCGAAACTGGTATCCGAGTACCGTTTTGTTAATGGATTAACAATGAACTCGGTGACGGGGCGCGGATAACACCGATTTTATGATAAATTCGTGGTTTGCGTGTCGTCGATGGGAACAGGCGCGCCGCTTGCGATTGGAAATAAGTTTGGGTTTTGAACATCGGAGGAAATGCTTGATTTTCAACGTGTACTTCAAATATTGATAGAATATTACAGGGTTTTGAATATTAATAATTAAATTTCAAAGTTTAAACACTAAAATATCACAATTTACTAAATAATAGCTTTAAATGTTAACGAAACAATAAAAATCAAGAAAATAATAAAAGAAACAAGTATTTTGCGGAATTTTGATGAAATATTGCAAATTTACGATTATTGACACTTAAATTTCAAAGTTTCATCACTAAAGTATAATTTTTACTAAAATATGAAGTTTAAATTTTAACACAAAAATAAAAATTAAGAAAACAAAAATAAAAACAATTATTTCGTAAAATATTGAAGGAATATTGCAGATTTTCAGTTTTTGATGTTTAAATTTCTCTGTTTGATAACAAAAGTCTAGCAATTTACTAAAATATGAGCTTTAAAATTTAACGCTAAAATAAAAATCAAGAAAACAATAATAAAAGCAAAACAATGGAAGATTGCGTACGAGTTGTATAGTTTTGCGTACACGAATGCAGACGCGTTTAAAAAGCGCGCTTTTCAGGAGAAGAAAACAAATCCAGTTGGAACAAAGCAGAGTACAAGATGAGTACCACTGGCGGGCTTTAACAGACACATTGTGCGCTGGCGTTCGCTCAACTTGCCGCGAATGAAAAGCATAAATAGCGCCGCCGCCGCCGCGTGTATCACTGCCTGGCTGCGCCTGGCCTCGACGTTATTGTGCCGGCGTATCATTTTTCTTCCTCGAGGGCAATAAGACTTATTTAAAAGATAATCTTTAACAATAGCTCTCCGGGTTTTTATTTACGTCTCGCGCTCCTTCGCTATTGTCTCGCGAGCCCCGCGACTTATTTACCATTTTTCCACTGCTACCGCCGCCGTCCCGCACCGCCCCCGCACGGTGGCAATGTGTAAAGCTGTAAAGGATAATGTTTTCTCTATAGTTGTCTGTTCCGCACCGTCTGGATTCGATCAAGAAACAAAACAAATGTGCAAACCGAAAAAATAACGCGAAACAACGGAAAGCGCTTCCAATGAAAGCGGATACACGCGGCGAAAAAAATCGGAAAACGTATGAATAATGCATCTCATTCTTCGCGCACGAGCATCCTCGAAGAATTGCACGTCATGCGCCGGAAACGTTTATACAAAATAACAATTTGCAAGTAATTTATTAAGAAAACGGACCTTTCGTTGCGCGTTATTTTTTTTGAGAAGCGCATGAAACGCAAAGCTTAAACTTTGGCTCGTAATTTAAACTATTCGCAGCGCAATTGGCCTTAGCGTTTTTGCGCAGCGCGCAGACGAAAACGGAAAATCTTTGGAATTTCGCGTGCAATTTCGAGTTTTGACTCGGCAAAACGGTTGAACTTGGCTCGTAAGTTGCCTGGACGCGCTGTTTCCGTAGCAACGCGCTGAATTTCACGTAGTTTTACTTCAATTTCAAATGCGTTATGATATTAATTATTTCTTAATAATTCTAAGAGTTGGGTTGAAACGGAGCGAACGGAAGCGGCCGCGCTTCAAGGGAAGAAAATGTGCCTTTGGCCGAGGATAGATGCGGGCCGGAAAGTGAGAAAACATTCCAACTTTAGTGGTTATTTATAAATGTTGCCAAAGAACAACGTTGAAAATTGGCTTCATTTAATTATTATCATGGCCTGCTGCGGAAAAACTTTACTTTAATCATTTTAAATGTATGACTGAGACAGAGATACGCGTCATTCGGAAAGTGCCAAGTCATCGACTTTCTTTTTTCGTGAATCTTGTTGATTTACGTCATAGCAACAAGTGAAAAACGCCTTGTTGCTATGATATTCAACAAACAAAAACAAATGATCATGTGCAATACGCTTGCGCGTTCGCCAAAACCGCATTTTCCTTCGACGTGAATAAGAGAAATGTTCGCATAACCGCAGCAGCCGTTGACGGAGACACAGGGTAAGTACCTAAGTAGGCAGACATCTTTTGATACAGTCAAAGAGATTTATTACTTAAATACATTGCATTCATTGTAAAATGGAAATAGGTAGTCAAGATATTACAGTATTTATTAATAGAATTTTGTTTTGTGAATTATTTTAATTTTAGTTTTAATATCGCTTAAAATAAAATAAAAATGAGTAGAGAAGCATTCATCAGAGCAATACATACGCTCACAAATGATCAATTCACTTATCTGACGGGCCGACTGATGTTGGTGCAAGTACGAGAGATTGTGCCTTTATTATTGCACTATAATGAATGCAAAAATATCAATTGCAACCGATTCAAATGCCGGAGTACAAAATCACTAATGGCACATGTAACTCTTTGTGTGGATCAACACGGCAACAAGATCAAAACTTGCATAAAATGTCAGGCATTGGCATTTAAGATCGCACTACATGCAAAACGTTGCCCGGACGCAACGTGTAAAGTCCCAGCATGTTGGATGTTCAAGTATTGGTATACTACTGGACAAGCACCTACAAGAAGGAGAAGGTTTGTTTTTTGCAATTGTTAATGTTTCTTATAGTGATTTTGTTTCTGTTTAGGGCTTGAGTTGAAGAGAAGAGAATTTTTTTTAAATAAAATTGTTATTTATCACTATTTTTTGTTGTTTTGTTTATTATTAATTTCAGGAATTCTTAAAACTGTGTGAAATGTGTGAAGTCACATCCAAATCCAAATGATCAAAGAAAATATTGACTGCTATTTTGTCTGCGCAGTTTGTTAAAGGAAGAAAATTTGTTGAATCAAAGCAGTGTTCATATATTTCTATTTATAGATTTGTTGCTATCAATATCAATATTGAAGTAAAATGAGTTGTGACTTAGATAAAATGTAGTAATATTAGAAAGCAGCAAGAGGCGGTTTGGGGCGAATTACTTGGTACGTCGCTGAGTGCCAAGCGGAAAATGCAATGCAGGACGGAAATGGCATGCACTCGCAAATATATAGCGCGGAAATACAAGCGCGCGACAGTCTGGAGTGGCGGAGATGCGGCGGCAAATCTCGAAATTTATGAACTTGTAAAAAGTGTCTCTGGCGCTGCCGCCGCCGCCGCTCATCGTCGCGCCGGTTGCGTTCGCACGATAAAGAAGTTAAATGCGCGCCGGGTCCGCAGGTTACCGAACAGATAAGCCAGCCGCCGCCCGCGCGCCGCCAAAAACGAAGCCGGCGAGCGCCGGCCCCGGCCGAAGGTATTTAAACGAATTTACTGGCTTCGGTTTTGCCGGCATAAGCGCCCGCCCCAAATATAATCCCCAAAAATTATTAGCGGTCCTAAAGACCTTCGAACCTTTATGATAATTTAAGAGTGGCTTCGGAATGTCGTGGCGAGCGCGTTCGGCACCGGCAGATTTTATTTGAACCCTCGCGTGTGCAGATTCCTCACGCCGCGCGCCATATTGAAAACGTAAGCTGCGAGCTTTCCTCGCGCGGGGGTGGAGGCGGAATTTCTACGGGCGCGCAATGTTGCGCTCGTCATGTTCACACAACGTTGATAAATAGGTATTTGTAATGCCGATCACATAATCGGCGCACTAAAAGTAACACGCCCGAAGACCGCCGGCTTTTTTATTTCAATTTAAAGTTGCGCCTGAGCGTGTTGCCGACTCGCGGCACGTTTTTTTTAACTTGGAGAAATTAAAAGTAAAAATATCAAACGAAACGAGAACTTGCGGTGACGCTTTCGCGGCGAACTTTTTCAGCCGACGCGCAACTTCGAGCGCACATACGGAATTACAAGTGATGCAACTTTGTACTCTTAACGTGAGTAAGCCGACATAATAAATCAGCAAATTACTGACACTGCCACAGCCACAGCGAACGAAAACAGAGTGAGGCGGAGAGATTAATTTCGAAAAGTTTTCCCCGGCAAACATGTGAAGATAAAAATCAATTATTTCTGAGTCTTTGATCCGGCCCTACTCAAATACAACTATTTTATTCATTTCATGTCCCGCACTTAATAGTTCCAGACGCCGGAGTGGAAATTAAATACGGAGCCGTCCGAAATTTCCACGAAAGGGCAAACAATCTGCGAATGACACGCGAAAAGCAAGCCAGCGAGGGAAATTTCCAAAGATGACTGACGGATGTAAACGCGCACCGGTGTGCCCAGCCGAATAAAAAGGTCTATTCCGATAATTAAACTTTGACTGGGCCGTCAACTGTCGCTGCTCTTAGCAACAATGTATGATATAATTCGCGGGTGAAACTGACCGCTTCCTTGCCGGGTTTGACGTGCTTTTGCCGTTGCCGCGGCCTGTCGGTCGTTTCCATGTTAATTGCTTATGTTCGCCGAACGACGAGTCGGTTCGATGTTTAAGTTTTCGAGAGTCAAGTGTTTGGAAAGTTTGGCCGAACGCAGTCGACGTACGAGGCCCTATGGTCTGGTACTTACAAACGCAGCAATTTCCACCCTCGTCGTGCTGATGGTGCGGAGTGTGTGAAGTGGGATACTTCCCGAATAAAACAAATACCTACATGTGGAATCAACGACGGGGAGGTAAAGCACAACTGCACATACGAGTGTAAGGCATTTGCAATTAAATGCGCAAGCATTTGCGCGCTTCCATTCGTGGTTAATGATTTGCATGTATTTTTACTGTGGGGAAACTTCTATGGTAAGTATTGAATTTCTTTATCATTTTCATAAAGAACTTTTGTGATTAACTCACAAAAGCACGACAAAAATTGCATTTTTGTGTTTCGAAAGTTTTAGCTTGTTTAGGGGTTTTGCTCCTCAACCCGATGTCCTAGAAGAACCATTCTTGCATCAGATTGTAATTATTGATAAAATGTATATTAATATAAAATGTTACTTTTTAGCACTTTTAGACGCATTTTTCGACCTTTTACTCTAGGAAATATAATTATTTTATATTTTTATCTGATAAAGAATTTTCCAGTCTTCCGTAATCAATAATTTGTTTAGAAGATATTCGTTGTCGAAAATTGTCGATAAAAACTATCAATTAATAATACAATAATAATTTTAATAATATTATAATTCGATTTATTTATTTTGAATAAGTATATCTTATTGACTTCTATATTTGAAGTCTTGAGTTATGTATAAACATTGCTATTTGTTTTGATAGGGTGACACATGCGCACTCTCGTGTACGTGTGATACACGAACACGGCCACTTAAGTGCGTGACCACTCACTGACTCATACGCAATCGCTCACTGACTCAAATGTACGCCACACTTTTTGAAACGCTTTGTATTTTCTGGAGGTACCAGAAAGTATTCTCAGGTGGCGCAACGATGCATGTTTTAACTGAAAATATTCCTGCGAGTGAAAGTCGACGAGCACAGTTGTGATGCCGGCGCGCAGCTCTTACTTCGTGCGACAGATAAGAATACTGCGTCGAGTATTCGTGTTTCTCATTGTAAATTCGGTATATTGCGGTATATTTTATTGAATTAAGTGTTAATTAACGTGTTTGATAATTCGGTAAATATTTATCGCGTATGTAATCTTCGGAATTGAATATTTTGTGTGTTTATTACATTTTCGCGTGGATTTCTGATCGGTTGTCGTCGGACGCCGGCCGGCAGACTTTGTGTGTGATTATAAATAATATTTTGGACTTCTGCGAACTATTTTTGACTTCGGCACAACTCGCTCAATGGCTCAATGTGTTACCTGGTACGAATACTAATTTAAATAATTATGGAGAACAAGACGAAATTTATGGTAAACATATTTCAGTATCAACTCACATTTGATTTGCGGTGTTCGATACAGTGGTAAGTAAAATTTTTAATCATTTATAGTATCTATTTTCTTCAATAAAACTCAAATCATAATTTCATGATTTAAATTTTAGTTCACTAGAATGAACTAAATCATGAAATAGAATTGCATTAGTTTTGAAGACAGTTCTATTATCAGTGTTTGTCTATAAACAACTTTCTTATCGCATTCCTCGTGCGAGGTGCTACGCGTAAGATTCTCGTCGCGTTGTCGCATGCAGCACATTTTACTTTAGTTCTTATCACAGGCCATCGACGCGCCGCTGGCTTTGCGCATCTATTGCAATTCGCGCACAAGGTCGCATGGTATCGACGCGCTGGCTTTGCGCATCTATTGCTTGTCAACTGTCGCATCTTTGCGTGCGCAGTTTCGGCACGCTCTATTGATGGATTGCAGCTAGTTTCGTGCCGCTCTCTGCCATGTCCAAACGTATATCGCGCAACGCGTTTTGTTTTATCAGACTTTTATTTTCAAAGTTTGCATTATATTCGGTCATCAATCGACTTAGTCGTAATATGCATCTGCAGTGTTTTCCTAATAAGTAATTGTGCGTTTAATGTGCCTAATTTTTTTTCGCTTGCTTTTAATGTTTATATTTCAAATTACAATGCTGCGGTTTTATTGTCGGTTATTGTGGGACGTGGTCGATCGCTAGATCAATTGGAAACCTATTCGTGCTTGAGTAAGTTACTTTTATCTGACCATTGCGATACTCAGCACAGAAATTTTGTTTTCTCCCATGTGTGAATATAATATTATCATATTGTATGAAATGTTTTTGTTTTAACTTATGTTTTCTTTTAATTAGCGTACTTGCCGTATTCTTGCAATCCGAGGAGCGCTGCATTGGTAAGTTTATAATTAAGTTATATTAATAGACTGCTTAAAAACCCCGCCTCACAAATTACTATTATATTATTCCGTTAAATGTTTTATCACATTTCACCTGCGTCTTGCAATAGCCCTCGAATTAGGGGGGCCGTATAAATTTCACATAATGGTATTATGGAAAACAGATCATATTGCGGAAAGCCTTTGTAAAATGATCAAACTTTTTATCAGATTCTGATATCGCATAAGGGGTTTAGCTAGCTTATTTTTTAGAGAATTGTCCGTAGATTAACACGCTGCGATCAGATCCTATTTATCTCTTTTTGTTTACGAGATATTCGCGATTGAATAAAATGGCCAATAATTGAGAAATGTCACTTTTTAGCACTTTCAGTCGCGTTTTTCAACCTTTTACTTTAAGAAATATAATTATTTTATATTTGTATCTGATAGAGAATTTTCCAGTTTTTCCTAATCAGCAATTTTCTGGTTGCTAGCGCTTCTAGTTTATGAGATATTAATTATCGAAAATCGTCGATAAAAATTATCAAGCACCTCCCCTTGGCGATTTTTTTCTTAAGATTTAAAATTTCATCTCACAGATTTCTGTTTTAACTATCCTATCTGATAGAGAATAGTCCGTAGATTAAGACGCTGCGATCAGATCCTATTTATCTCTTTTAATTTACGAGATATTCGCGATTGAATAAAATCGACAAAAATTGCAAAATGTTACTTTTTAGCACTTTTAGTCGCGTTTTTCGACCTTTTACTGTAGGAACTATCATTATTTTATATTTGTATCTGATAGAGAATTTTCCAGTCTTTCCTAATCAGCAATTTTCTGGTTGCTAGCGCTTCTAGTTTAAGAGATATTAATTATCGAAAATCGTCGAAAAAAAGAATCAAGCACCCCCCCTTGGCGATTTTTTTCTTAAGATTTAAAATTTCATCTCACAGATTTCTGTTTTAACTATCCTATCTGATAGAGAATGGTCCGTAGATTAAGACGCTGCGATCAGATCCTAATTATCTCTTTTAGTTTACGAGATATTCGCGATTGAATAAAACCGACAAAAATTGCAAAATGTCACTTTTTAGCACTTTTAGTCGCGTTTTTCGACCTTTTACTGTAGGAACTATCATTATTTTATATTTGTATCTGATAGAGAATTTTCCAGTCTTTCCTAATCAGCAATTTTCTGGTTGCTAGCGCTTCTAGTTTAAGAGATATTAATTATCGAAAATCGTCGATAAAAATTATCAAGCACCCCCCCTTGGCGATTTTTTTCTTAAGATTTAAAATTTCATCTCACAGATTTCTGTTTTAACTATCCTATCTGATAGAGAATGGTCCGTAGATTAAGACGCTGCGATCAGATCCTATTTATCTCTTTTAGTTTACGAGATATTCGCGATTGAATAAAATCGACAAAAATTGCGAAATGTCACTTTTTAGCACTTTTAGTCGCGTTTTTCAACCTTTTACTGTAAGAAATATAATTATTTTATAGTTTTATCTGATAGAGAAATTTCCAGTCTTTCATAATCAACAATTCGTTGGTAGCTAGCTCTTTTAGTTTAAAAGATATTAATTTTTGAAAATCGTCGAAAAAAAGAATCAAGCACCCCCCCTTGGCGATTTTTTTCTTAAGATTTAAAATTTCATCTCACAGATTTCTGTTTTAACTATCCTATCTGATAGAGAATGGTCCGTAGATTAAGACGCTGCGATCAGATCTTATTTATCTCTTTTAGTTTACGAGATATTCGCGATTGAATGAAATGGGCAAAAATTGATAAATGTCACATTTTAGCACTTTTAGTCGCGTTTTTCGACCTTTTACTGTGAGAAATTTAATTATTTTATATTTTTATCTGATAGACAATTTTCCAATCTTTTATAATCAACAATTCGTGGGTTGCTATGTCTTTTAGTTAAAGAGATATTAATTATCAAAAATCGTCAAAAAAATGTATCAAGCACCCCCCCTTGGCAATTTTTTTCTTAAGACTTAAAATTTTGTCTCTCATATTTCCCTTTTAACTATCCTATCTGATAGAAAATAGTCCGTAGATTAAGACGCTGCAATCAGATCTTATTTATCTCTTTTAGTTTACGAGATATTCGCGATTGAATGAAATGGGCAAAAATTGATAAATGTCACTTTTTAGCACTTTTAGTCGCGTTTTTCGACCTTTTACTGTGAGAAATTTAATTATTTTATATTTTTGTCTGATAGACAATTTTCCAATCTTTCATAATCAACAATTCGTGGGTTGCTATCTCTTTTAGTTAAAGAGATATTAATTATCAAAAATTGTCAAAAAAAAGTATCAAGCACCCCCCCCTTGGCAATTTTTTCTTAAGAATTAAAATTTCATCTCTCAGATTTCCCTTTTAACTATCCTATCTGATAGACAATAGTCCGTAGAATAGTTTCTGCGATTTATTGTGCCTATTGCAAATTCGCGCACAAGGCCGCGTGTCTTCGACGGACCGTCTTTGCGCACCTCTTACTTTCTTATCATATACTGTCCCGTCGTTGTTTACGCAGTTTCGGCATGCACTATCGGTGGATTGCAGCCAGTTTCGTGCCGGTCGCTGGTTAATACAGTCGTGTTTTGAGAGACTTATATCGTTTATTCGGACTTTAATATTCAAAATTTGTGTTATACTGGAAGATCAATCGACTATTTATTTGTACTTTGCGACTATAGTAATTTGTTTAAGTTAGGAAATGCCGGTTTTTGATCGCGTTTGTTATGTATATTACAAGTCGCGTGATAGTGGATTTGAAAACATTCTTCACTTGGCATTGTGTTTGGTGTCGGTTACTAAATTAATCGCATATATTTATATCGCTCCCATTCAGAAAGATCTATCAGGCTTGTGTAAGGATTGTTTTAACAGAACAGATTGTTTATTTTGTGTTGATTGTTAATTACATAATTCCATTGTATGAAATATATTTGTTTAAATTTAAATGTTTTTATTTAGTTACAGCATTCGTTGTGCCTGGCAGTCCGATAAGCTGTACACTGGTAAGTTAATAATTCAATTCTATTTTTCTCCCTGTATTGTAGTTTTTTTTAATATAACACGCGAACGCGGCGTCAGAATAAGTTTGGAATAATTTTCCCACATGCAGAATTTAATTCAGTATCTCCCTGTATTGAAATTTGTTGCGAGAAAATTCTGTAACGCGAGTTATATTGAAAGTTGTGTTTGTGCGCCGTAGTACTCGTTGCGCTTGGAATTGTAGTTTTTTAAATATAAAACGTGAACGCGGTGTCACAATAAGTTCGAAATAATTTTCCCAGATGCAGAATGTAATTCTGCATTTTTTGTATAGGAATTTATTGCAAGAAAATTCCGAAACGCGAGTTAATTTGAAGGGCCGTAGTACTCGTTGCGCTTGGAATTGTAGTTTTTTTGTTATAACACGCGAACGCGGTGTCACAATAAGTTCGGAATAGTTTTTCCAGATACAGAATTTAATTCTGCATCTACCTGTATAGAAATATATTGCACGAAAATTCCGTAACGCGAGTTATATTGAAAGTGGTGTGTGTGCGGCGTAGTACTCGTTGCGCTTGGAATTGTAGTTTTTTTGTTATGACACGTGAACGTGGTGTCACAATAAGTTCGGAATAATTTTCCCAGATGCAGAATTTAATGCTGCATCTCCTCGTATAGTAATTTATTGCAAGAAAATTCCGTAACGCGAGCTATATTGAAAGTTGTGTGTGTGCGCCGTAGTACTCGTTGCGCTTGGAAAAGTAGTTTCTTTTTGTTATTACACGCAAACGCGGTGTCACAAGAAGTTTGGAATAAATTTTCCAGATGCAAAATTTAATTCTGCATCTTCCTGTATAGAAATTTATTGCAAGAAAATTCCGTAACGCGAGTTATATTGAAAGTTGTGTGTGTGCGCCGTAGTACTCGTTGCGCTTGGAATTGTAGTTTTTTTTGTTATGACACGCGAACGCCGTGTCACAATAGATTCGGAATGATTTTCCGATATGCAGAATTTAATTCTGCATTTTCTTGTATAGAAATTTATTGCAAGAAAATTGCACAACGCGAGTTATATTGAATGTTGTGTGTGTGCGCCGTAGTACTCGTTGCGCTTGGAATTGTAGTTTTTTTGTTATAAGACGCGAACGCGGTGTCACAATAAGTTCTAAATAATTTTCCCCGATGCAGAATTTAATTTTGTATTTCCCTGTATTGAAATTTGTTGCGAGAAAATTCCGAAACGCGAGTTATATTGATAGTTGTGTGTGTGCGCCGTAGTACTCGTTGCGCTTGGAATTGTAGTTTCTTTGATATAACATGCGAACGCGGTGACACAATAAGCTCGGAATAAATTTCCCAGATGCAGAATTAAATTCTGTATCTCCCTGTATTGAAATTTATTGCAAGAAAATTCCGTAACGCGAGTTATATTGAAAGATGTGTGTGTGCGTCATAGTACTTGTTGCGTATAGTACTCCATTAGCGTATTATATTTTATTTTTGTTATCTTTATATTTAGGTGCTATATAGTTCTAGTTCATTTAGCGAATTATAAATTAATTAAAGTGACAAATCACAGCGCATCTGATTTGTGTTTGATTTTAGATCTCAAGGAGTTGAACGTGACCTCGGTGTACAATCGTGCCCGCATTCAATTGTAAGTATTGAAATTCTTATCATTTTCATATTGGCCCTGTTCACGTAGCCTGCTATATCTTTTCCTTGTTTAGTCGATCGTGCGATGTTGTTCAGTACACACGTGCTTTGTTCACAAGTCGATCTTCGTAACTAGTTTGCGCGTTTCTTGTGATTTTAAGTCGGTAGTTGAATTAGAATCGATCAGCAAAGATAATATTTAGAATTAACGGACTAGTACGGCGTGCAGTTAATGAATCGCGCGTGGAAGTCAGAATTGTGTAGTTTTACAATGTGCGCACGTTTTTGCCGTCTACCGTCGGATATCTTACGTTGGCTAAGAAGTCCGTCCCAGTGGTTTTATTTGCGTAATGATATTAATTTGTGAAACTAAACACTGTTTGTCCCCGTGTGGAACATTTTAACCGAGAAAGTGCACGTAGGTAATTGTAACATTAACATTCGATGAATTAAACAATTAGTGAAGATGTTTCATGGACGAAATAAATTTATCAGACGTTAAGGAAAAGCGAGGTAACCGTTGTATAAGTAAATACTCTAAAAATAATTCAATTTTAACAAATAATTTTAAAATTCAACATGTACTCTTGTGATTGTATGAGTTGCAATAAACTATACTTTTAATATTACATTTGCTAGTATATTTGTCTGTGTTTCCTTTTTGTCGTTTTCAGAATTAGATTTAGAGACCGCATTTGATAGTACGTGTTTGAAATGCGAATAACAGGTATATAAATGTTGTTGTTTTTAAAAAGGTAACAAAAACAACAACATTTATACCTGAAACGAATATGCTTTGATATGAGAGCTCGGTGGCTCAGCTGGCATGTGCGTATGCTAGCATGCTTGGGATTCGTGGTTCATGGTTCGAATCTCAGTTGTAGGAAGCAGTTTTATTAAAGAATAAGAAATTTAAGAAATGTGGGTTGCATACCACAGAAATATAGATTCGAATGTTAGAAATAAGTTGAAGAGCAGAGTACGGAGCAACAATAGGAATAAGTAGAAGATGGTGGAAGAGAATATGAGAAGAGAATAGGAGAGAAGTAAGAAGAGAAGAGAGAGTACAGGAAGAAAAGAGAATAGGGGTGACGGAATTTTTAAATTTTTTGGCACGTGTCGTTATAAGACAGTCACAGGTCGATCGCCCACTGCTTCGATGCGTCCATTGCTCCCGGCCCACCCTACAGCTACGATGTCTCTGCGCTTCATCCCCGAAATTATCAGGCATATCAACAATTTTTATGGTGGGGGATCACCCCCAGAGAGAGGGAACTCCTTATAAGGACATCCTTTTAAGGACTTGTAAAAATATTTTTAAGTTTTAAGTCGCCTCAAGAGAGGGGACACTTAAAAATATTCTTACATGTTCTGACCTGTAGCTGAAATGAAAGATGGAGAACACAAATCATACAGGATACCTTAACAATTTTTATAGTGGGGATCATCCCTGAGAGAGGGAACTCTCTTAGAGACCTGTTCCTGAAATGATAGAAGGGGTACACAAATCAAAGAAGTCAATATATCTTACTAATTTATTTATTAACAATAGAATACAAGTTTATATTTTACAAGTCAACAGAATACATGTCGCCACATATTGAAACAGGACTTACGACCTGCACAGCCGCTCACATGCCAGCAAGTACTCCTACTTCATAAAGTTATACCGGAATAATGAAATTAGTAAGTAGCCAATTTTCTAGGTGATTGAAAAAGGAAACTAATATACAGGGTGTTACAAAAGGAAAATTCAAGGTGCAAACGGGAAAATACTAAAAACGAGAGCTAAAGCAAAATTTTCACGGACGCAAAGGAAAACATATATACAGGGTGTTTTAGAAAGAAAATTGCATGTTCAAAACAGAGAGCACTCAAAACTCACAACTAAAGGTGATTTTCTACGTGCTGTTAGGAAAACTAATATACAGGGTGTTACAAAAAGAAATTTTTAGAAACTACAAAGGGATTCAATATTCACAATATGAAGAGGGAAATTTACAAAATAACAACAATATTTTAATTTAAAAACAGAGATTTTGCCCGAAAAACATCGGAAAATTGAGCAAAAGGGTGCTACAAAAATTAAACACTTACATTTTAATATATTGTGAATATATATTTATTAATTGATGGTAGCATCAACTGTATAAGGTAACCGACGGGTGAAGCATCATCATAAATTGATAGAATATCCAGCGGAAAACATCTAAATCAACAAACGGCAAGCGACGGCGTGTAACAAGACATTGGTTAAAGACGAAAAAATAACTATTTCTTTGTAAATATTAAGATATAATTAGATTGCGAAAACGCAATATTTCAACAAGAAATTATTAATTTAATGATGCAATTCGATTAAAAATGTTTTCGTGATTCTCGAAAACATGACCGAACCGACGGCCAACGGCAAAGTAAGCGTGGTCGACCACATGAATATTGTCATTTTAATAATCCTCAGAGAAAAACCGTGCTTGTAATAATTAAATGAAGAATGTTATTGAATAATCAATTTATGTTAAACCGCCCTAACTTTCCGCGAAAAATTTTAATTATCCACCCACCTGTGCATTGATGAGGAGATTTTCTATCCTGTAATATTTTCTATCAACTGAAAACTCGCGCAGGGATTAACGGACACTTATTACTCACTTAAGAAGACTCTAACCGCCAAATCATTAAACAAAACAGGCACACATGCCTATTGCGAACATTTTGCCGATAGCCGAAAGAATACACGACGATTAATCCAATTAAAACCTCAAAACGCGTAGCGATTAGAGACACGCTCGCGGACCACGCGGTGAAACAACTGCCGTGTGCGCTGCGCGTAGTTCAAGGCAGGTATGCAGCAATATCACGCGTCAGTCGAACAAAAAAAGTTGTTTATACCCAAACGTACTGATAAACACGTAGTTGAGACGAAACTAAAAATTCACAATGTTGAAATACATACCTATGCACGAAATTTACTTTTACTTTAAATATTTCTCGGCATACCAAAAGAATAAGTTAGTTCAATTGGAACTTAAATAGATAAAATTTTAATTCATAAGAAAAAATGGGCAAATTCTAAACTAAAAGAGGTAGCAAGTAGGAAATTATAGATTATTGAAGATTAGAAAATTTTCAGTCAGACGGAAATTTAAAATAATTTTATTTAATGGGGTAAAAAGTCTCAAACCGCGACTGAAAGTACTCAATTTTTCAATTATTGACGATTTGCCCTTGTACAGTGCCCTGAATACGAGTCACTTCTACCGCTGCCCTTGAACGGTGCCCTGAATACGAGTCATTTCTACCGCTACCCTCGTACGGTGCCCTGAATACGAGTCACTTCTACCGCTGCCCTTGTACGGTGCCCTGAATACGAGTCACTTCGATCGCTGCCCTTGTATGGTGCCAATTCCATTCGATGAAGAATTTAATTCCGCATCTCTCAACACCGCGCTGATGTTAGTGAGCCGCCTAAATCGCGCGTAAACCAGAAAAATACAAATATTTTACGAGAAAAGATGAAAAATTCACCCTTTTATACGAATTTTCGCGGGTTGCAGGTCGAATTCCTGCAACAAACAAATACCACCCGTTGGAGAATTAAATTCCGCGCCTCTAAACACCGCGCTGAAGTTAATGAACCGCCTAGATCACGCGTAAACCCAAAAAAATACAAACAATTCTCGAAAGTGTGAAAAATTCACACTTTTATGCTAATTTTCGCGGGTTGCAGGTCGAATTCTTGCAAGAAACAAATACTATCCGATGGAGAATATAATTCCGCATCTCCTAACACAGCGCTGTGAGCCGCCTAGATCGCGCGTAAATCCGAAAAAATTTAAATATTTCTCGAGAAAAGGTGACAAAAATCACCCTTTTATGCAAATTTTCGCGGGTTGCACACCGAATTCCTGCAACAAACAAATACCACCCGATGGAGAATTTAATTCCACATCACTAAACACCGCGGTGAAGTTAGTGAGCCGCTTAGATCGCGCGTAAACCCAAAAAAATACAAACATTTCACGAGAAAGGGTGAAAAATTCACCCTTTTATGCCAATTTTCGCGGGTTGCAGGTCGAATTCCTACAAGGTGATTTTCTACGTGCGGATAGGAAAATCACAATCTCTTTCGACATTTCTTTATTCAATAATTAAATAAAAGATTGTAAAATACATACACCATTCTAATTAAGAAATCAACGAAAATTACTATACAGGGTGTAACAAACGGAAAATTACCATATTTAAAAAGTTCAATAAAACCAGAAATGTAGTCAATTTTTGTTTGGACCAAGGAAAACAAATGTACAGGGTGTTGCAAAAAGAAAATGACATGATTAAAAGAAAAACATCAGGAAAGACCTTCAACCCTGTAATTCGACAAAAAATAACTATAAATACGATTTTGAAACCAGGTTTTAGACCAGAAAATCAAATTTATGGCACAAAAATAGCTATTTTTGATGGGCATTTTAGGGCACTTCCGGAAGGGTTAGAGGATTGAAAAAGGGTGTATTGTGTAGATACACTCTCGAACTCTAATATGACGATAAGAAACTTCAAGAAAGTCTATTAGTTCACAAGATACAGGGTGTTTTCCACACCATGTTTTTAATTTTTTTGAAAAACAGATATTTTCGAAGGGCATTTTCCGGCACTTCCGAAAGGGTTAGAGGCTGAATAGGGGGTGCATCGTGTAAATAAACTCTTAATCTCTAATATGACGTTAAGAAACTTCAAGAAAGTCTATTAGTTCACAAGATATAGGGTGTTTTCCACACCATGTTTTTAATTTCTGTTAAAAACAACTATTTTTGAAGGGCATTATAGGGCACTTCCGGAAGGGTTACAGGCTGAAAAGGGGGTGCATCGTGTAGATAAACTCTAAATCTCTAATATGACGTTAAGAAACTTCAAGAAAGTCTATTAGTTCACAAGATACAGGGTGTTTTCCACACCATGTTTTTAATTTTTGTTAAAAACAGCTATTTTTGAAGAGCATTATAGGGCACTTCCGGAAGGGCTAGAGGTTGAAAAGGGGGTGCAACGAGTAGATAAGCGCTTGAGCTTCAATATGACGTTAAGCAACATCAAGAAATTCAATTAGTCCGCGAAATACAGGGTGTTTTCCACGTCATGTTTTTAATCTTTATGATAAATACCTATTTTTGAAAGACATTTTAGGATACTTTTGGAAGGGTTAGTAGGTCAAAAAAGCATGCATCGTGTAGAGTGATTCTCGAACTTCAACTTGATGGAGACAAACACCAAAAAAGTCAATTAGTTCACGCGATACAGGGTATTTTCCACATCATGTCTCCAAATTTTAAGAAAATGCAAATTATTATATTGCTTTTCAGGGCACTTACAAAAGGGCTATCTTCCTTCCAACCCATCAAAGGAAAATAGGGAAAATTCCCTATCAAAATAAATAGACAAATAGAACACAATTACAAAATTTTATAGCAAAACTAGAATTTTCTTTGCGACGCGTTTTGAGATACACTTCGAACAAGACAAAGTGTCGGCCGACGGCATCGCACATGCATAAGCGAAGGACATTGAAGTTACGTTTTACAAACAGTTTATGAGCAATATTTGATTGTCATTGTGATATCAAAATTAACAATACAAAAGAATAATACCAGCTGAGAAAATTTCGCGCAATTAAAGAGATGATCAGCTCGGTGAGACATTCTGTAGAGATACCAAAAACGCATCCGAGGGATTGACAAAAGAAATGTATTAATATTACAAACTTACCAGTGTATTGAGTTATAAAATGAAGAAAAAAACCCTCGCGTGTTAGGATATTGATCCGATCATAGCGAAAATATACACATATTTGAATTTGCCAGTTGTATATCTAACTCCAATGGTCATTACCAAAATAATTCATTGGCCGACGGAGCACTTACACACAAATAAAGACACTACTTTTATAATCGCTTCACGCACAAATTATCATTAACAAAATACTAAACACGTCTCTTGTCATTAAGTGCCGATGTTTACGCCGATATTCATAGCAGATTATAAAATGTAATGCAATTCTTTAAATTGAATTGAAAGAAAGAAACGTGGCGAACCGCGTGCAGGTTAGAATTGACTGAAACGTTCGAACGCTAGCGCAGCAGCATGGAGCTGGTTCAACGCGATAACAGAAGATGTTTATACACAAAAACCAATATTAAATGGCATCGATATTTTAATTGAAAACAATGCGATTTATCGAATTAACACTTCGTTATTGCGACTCGTGTGAAGCACCGCACAGATACGCGAACCGGAGTCGACTGTGTCCCCGCAAAGCCGAATGACAAGGCGCGACTGCCCGAATGCAACGCACTTAAGTAGAGTCGCTGCGCGTTAGATCCCACGGCAAGGAGATTGGCGGATGTAAACAAACAACCTGATAAAAACACGAGGTGACGTACAAAATCGCGTGATATTACCGGGCCCGCAATTCGCCAGCTTAGGCGATGTGCACTCACTACCACCAACAAACAACACGCTGCAATGAACGAATTCAGAATTTTAATATAAATTTGCGCATTTCAGCGACATCTTGGCTGACATTGAAGAATTACTTATGTTTAAGTAAATAGGTAGCCACATTGCGTGATCTCACACGTTTTCAAACAATGTGATTAATTAATAAAAAAAATTCGGGGACGCTGAAATTTTAATTAGAAGTTGTTTTAAACATCAAAAACTAATTATCCCATTGTGTAGAGGGGCTTTTAATCTCCTTATTGATATAACTTTTTATTCAGAAGGACAAAGGGTAACTGTCACGTGTACTTGCAGCAATACTTAATTGCCAATTATCTCACAAACTAATGAAGCTAAACAAAAACAATAAACGGCATTACGTACAGCAAACAATTCTACATGAGTTAAGCTTTTAAAATTTGCAATTAGGACATAGTGAAAAACATTTTTCAGGCGCGATTTCCTCGAAAATCTGAAAAAACAAAAGTGAACACAAGGAATAAATCTGAGCAGGTAGCAAGTTTCAATATTCAATCACTTTTATTTTAAATATCATCATTTTCATCACATGTTATCGTTATCGTTATAGTTATATTTATATACCGCTTAGCTTTATCTCCTATCTAGCTTAGTTCCATTTAAGTGCCGCATGGTTTGGTTTTACTTCATCTGTGGCCGTATTACATTGTTCCACCCACTTACAAGCAAATTGATGACAGTTAATCGCTAACTGCTCGTCTCGACAACCAAACACAGGCGTGGTATTTGCGATTCAGTATTGACAGCTGATGCTGCTGGTCACCTGCGTTGCTTCCGTGCCGTCCGACGGCTTTACACAACAAGCGTTCTATGTACAAACATAATATGAAGCGCTTTGGCATATTTCTCACATGTTTATCTCTCACATTTATATTTAGTTTGGTAGATGGTGATTGATACAATGTTTCACCGCTGTCGGATTACTCCGACAAGCTTTCATCATAATACAAAGTCACATTTATATGGTATATAGTTGTTTGTTATGATATACATATATTACAAATTTATGTATCAATATCTGTATCTTTAGCATAGTGGCTAATCGTTAATAGTAACATTTACATTTATACATGTTCATTAATCTTAGTTGAGATTTGCACAATTCCTCATCGGTCGTTTCCATCGAATTGTGTATAAAGTGTTCGCTCAAAAAATAGTTTAATGTTTACAACTGTTTACAACCTTTAAGTAAGTTCATTGAAACGATTAGCGCTTGATATCCGACGATCGTCATGTTAAAATTTAATTCTACCCCATTTGTATAAATTATATTTAACTAACTTAAAAGGAATATTCATCAGAAATAAAATAAGTACTAGTAAATAATAATAATCGATTAAAATAAGATTGAATTAAATATTTTTTGGCAAAACAAATCACTTTAAGATATCAAATAAAATAGCTATGACTTAATATATCGGTAAATATTTCTGCTAGTAAGTGAATTGTTCCTAAACTAATTCGAAACTAAATAAAACTAAAAGTGACTTCTGGTTTTTCATTGGTACATCCAAGGGTAATCAAGTTGCGACATGTGTTACAAGTTGTTAAAAGATTTCTCTAAATAGTTTATGTACAGCGTATTTACAAATACAACTAGCCTTGTTTGGATTGAGTCGTCTCGAGTGATTTCCCTACCTAACAAATGTAAATTAGCTATCGATTTCGTTCCGTGTGTTGCGCGTGTGGTTTGTACATTGATTCATTGTGCGCGACCGGCGATGGGGGGGCCGCCTACTGCTTGTTGATGTTGTTGTCGTCGACATCCTCGACGTCGTTGTTGGACTCGCCGCCCTCGTCGCCCTTGCTGAGGCAGTCGCGGATGCCGCGGAGGATGATGCCGACGCGGCGGTCCAGCGCCTTGAGGTGCGGCTCCCATAAGATCGGCGCCACCGGATCCACCTCCATGCTCTTCCGCATCGCCTCGCTCAGCTTCAGCGGCTTGCCGTTGTGGAAGCTGCAACAGCGAGAGAACACCGTTTGATGATTAATTAATAGCGTCGCGGGGGCGCGCGGGGTGGTTTAAATCCGAGACCGCGACTAATGAGCGATCGCGCGTTTTATGCAGCTTTTGCGCCGCGCGCACGCTGATATAACGCGTTCGAGTGCTGTATAAGTTTAATGGAAAATAAGGATTAAGTGCGTCTTGAGTGCGCGGCGGCGGCGATTCGTATTCGGCGGCGAGCGGATCGGAGCGCCGATGCGAAATCAGTTTGCGCTCCCGCGGAGGCGGCGCGCCGCGCACGCCGGAAGATCCATCGCAAGCGAGACACTAGAGAATTGTTCGAGCGTTAAAGTAGATACTTCAAGGTTGAAAAGTTTCCATTCGTTTTCCGCCAGTCGATTTGTGTCAGAATGAGTGATTCGAGCTAATATGCCGTAGCTACTTTGATTTTATTTCTGACCGCTTCGATTAGTTGGTGGAAATTATGATTTCATTCGTTTTAAGATCGCCGGTGGATTTTTACGAGCCTACCGAGCGCAATTCGCGCAAATTGCGTGCGAAACGAGTTGGTTATTACCGTCTTTGTGGCGCGGTTCGAACTTGGACCCATAGAGATCGTCGTCCATTCGGCGGGGGCGAAATTAATACGCTACACGCACTTAGCGCCAACTTCGGACCCTCCATGAAGCTATCTACCTATTTTTAATTAATTTCCAAGTGCAATTTGTTTAATTACAAACCCGCTTGAGTTTTTGATTTAAGTTTACTCGCTTAAATCGTATAATCTTTCACTGCAGGTGAAATTTAATAATACCAAATACGATAAATGACACAATTAGTATTATTACTTGAATGCGGATTGCGAGGACGATGGCACGATTGCCCAATACTTAATGGGATTGCAACGCCCCCGAAATGGAAATGAAATTATAGAAATGCGCGCGGGGCAGTGTGATGCGTTTATTTTGATTCGAGATTGATTGAAAACAATGAATGTCAATGATATCCCGCTTCCATCGGATTCGCGCCGGGTCCAAATTAAAATGCAAATGAAAACGAAAATAAATGAAAACCGCGCGCGCACACGAATGTTGAAAGGACAATACGGCAATTACAGCTTCGGCCGCAAATCGGAATCAATGTTTAATCAGAAATTGATTAAGCACCGAGCGCTGGTAAAAAATGAAATGAACGCGCATTAGCTCCGAGAATAACAAAGATATAATTATTTAGAAAGCATTCGGTGATACATTACTTAGCCCGTGCATGAAAAATGCGCGCGTTGCGACATGTAAATGATTATTTTTAGTTTACACCCGCGTACAATAAAACGCGGATAAATTGCAAGCAATATTCTTTGTGTTTGTTTATTTTCGCGCACAAAAAAAAACCACTTGTGTTGAATTTCGGGTGCATTGTGGACGCGGGGCGGAACAGCGCGTTACCGTTTCAATGAGTTTTTCGACATGAAAGGGTTGAGTGTGAGGTTGAATGGCGCGCACACAGGCGACTACATGTTTCAGCATAAAATACAAATTGTTTAGAGCGCTATTCATCGCTAATGCTCAACACACAGGAAACCGCAGTCGTCGCGGCGATACCCTCGACGCCTCCGCGCCTCGCGCCCTCGCTAAACTGTTTCGATAGCGCACAAAGCGCGCGGGCTTAAAGCGTCGCCGACTTAGTCGGATTTTCATGTTTCGTTATTTTCGCAACGCGTACCTCGCCGATACGCGACAATCAGTCATTACGCGAACGGCCTGCGGAAAATATGCAGAAATTCGCCGGTGTGCGGTCGGTACGCGTTTGTTTGTTTGCTAAGAATCGGTTACGAATCGCGCTTATTGTGCGCAAAGTGCGCGATGAAAGCGTGTTAAATCCGCCGGCCGCCGCCAATGAATATCTTCCGCACAAGCGGCCCGCATAGATTGCTTTTAACCGAAAAGTCAATACACAAAAAGGTTTTTTGATTAATGAACAACGAATAAATAAATGCGCGGACAATGGAAATCGTTGTTTATGATCCGATGAGGTGGGGAAGGGTACTTGGGTGCTTGGGAGTGCGCGCGATTCGAAACCAGGCGGCGGCGGCGGAGGCGGGGAAATTTCGATTTCGACCGTACAAAGCCACAGAATAATAGCAATCTAGGAAATGCGCGTGAATGTACGCCAGAGCTTACAATCACCCGCAATACAATTAATTTCAATGTTTTATATGTACCCCACGCATGTTTAAATGTTGGTTAATCCATTCGCCCGCCCCGCTAGTTATATTGTCAGTACCCAATCGCAATCGATTGCTTTTCACCTTCGAATTGAATCCGGAGCGCTCTCCAGAATAACAACATACATTGTCTCCGGAGTTGATATTTACACGCAATCAGTTTTCTTTTAATTGCGCGCACATAAATTCTGTAATTCGTGAATATTCCCATCAATATCTCCAGAGTAAAATTTGCGCAGAGCTTCAACGGAAAGCAAGACGATGAAATCGTTGCGGTTGGTTTAATGGAAACTAAATTTTTGATGCGATTGCAAACGTGCTAGACAACACAATTGCACATGCGGTGCGCAAAGGTGGAAGCAAACAATTCCGCAGCCGCAGAAAAAAAAACACACACACACAACAACAACACACCAGCGAACGTGCGCATAAACCTCGCGAATTAATTTTCACTCGACGCGCTTTCATCTCTTGCGAATAAAGTAATCACCGGCGGAAGCCGTGCGCGAAAAAGATAAATCAGAGTGAAGTGCGTTCGGAACATCACGCACGTACGAACGCGTATCCTATTAGTTAATTACGCTTAATTAAGTAATTCCGTAAAACACCTAGTGGATGTGATGTGGACGCTATGTTTTTGGATTGTACTGTGGCGCTCGACTGTCGACAGACAACGCAGATTGCTATCAATGATTTAAACGTTACATCGAAAGCAAAAGGCTAATCCTGCGATACATCAGTCACGTAAAAATGCACGAACTGCCGAAATACTCGCCGGGCGATGCAAGCGGGGAAAACACCCACGAATTAATTATAGTGGTTAGTTTGTAATAAAGACTTTCATTCAAATAGGAAACATTTATCACCTTTTGTGCCTCGTAAATTATCCACGCGAAAGAATAAAGCAAAGGAAAGAAGGGAAAAAACCGCACATGCCTGAAGTATGAGCGGGGATAGCAGGAAAAATGCTCGATGCTTAAATATTGTGAAGTATTAGACTATAAAACTAAATTGGAAGAAAATCTCTATTCGAAAATAAATCACAGAGTGCTTGCCTGCAAGTTTTTCTTGGCGTTCGCACAGGAACTAAAACGACGATTTCAATTCCAGTACACGCCAATTGTAGATTGGCTCAAGACAAAACTGAATTTGAAAAATTTTGAAATTTCCCGCCAAAATAGATTTTATCCACAATTTTACCCTTCTTCGAGCCACTTTGAAGTTACATGTGTTGTTACAACTTAATGATGATGTTCTGCGTTTAATGGAGTTTATGTTAGCTTTTTATTGTAGGAATTAGCGTCTATTATCGTCAAATTTGTCGCGAGACCGTATGCCTTCGACGCGGCATTAACAAATAAAACACTGCGACAAAATAAAACGCGAGTAAAAGAAGCAAGGAGCCGAGTAGCAGCAAAAAAGGAGGAAGCAGCCGGGCAGTCTGGAGAGTTGAGAAAAACGCGCTCGTATATAACGCCCGTCGGCGACTTGTTGAGAAATAGACGTTAAAAAAGTGTCCGGAAGCGCTACGTAAAATATTTACACACCCTGTTAATCTAGATATACAGCGGGCAGACGCGGACCGTGCCGCCAACCGGAGAGTGGAAGGCTGGCGGAACGAGCGCGAGAAGAAGCCGCTTTTCTCGGTAGTGAAAAGCATAGTTTGTTACGGAGCTCGTATATTCGATGTTAGTTGGAAACGTCGTTGTTGCGCAGCAGCGTCGTTTGTCCGGCGTCCGAATTTTGAACTCGTGAACTTGCAGCACACGTTGTCTTCGAATGCGGTGAGTCAGTCCACCACGTTAATCCGCTGCGTTAAAATCTCGAAAATATGATTTCCAGGCGCGTTTTAATGGAATGCTCTTTCCCGAGAAAAGTCTCTCCATCCTGAGAAGCTTTCGACGTTGTGGTTTGCGCTAAAATACGACTATGCAATCACGAGAGCACGGCAATGGGCATGGGCGCAAGTAATGGAAGTAACCGCCTGCCGCCGCCGCCGCAAACGCACCGGCGCGCGCGCCTCGCCGAAAACGGGAAAGGCAGGACGCGATGCGAAAGCCGGAAATTGACTTTTATGAAATGTGTAGTGTTTATTCAACCCGCGCAGATTATGTATTCATGCATGATACATACGGTGAGCGCAAGCCGGCAGCATACGAGAGCCCCGCGTCCGCGTGTGTGAGAGATAAAAGACGAGAGCGCTGCCGCCCCCGCCGCGCTACCTAATGTTGTAATCATAAAACGTACGACATAAAAATATAATACGTGCACACGTAAAACCCGAAAACGATTTCACCTTGTTGCGCGGCGTTGTACGTTTACGAACGGCGGTGAAGTCGCCGTAATAAAGCAGATTTTCATGAATTTTCATAAATTTTATGCGTTTCCTAATTTCCTAATACTAATTATTTCCAGGCGAATACAGGCTGCTTTCGACGCGCTCCAACTCTATTTATACACTAAATATTTTCAGCAAAGCAACAAAAAACAACGTTGTCCTTTGTAATGTTATTTACGTTTGATTTTGCGTTTAATATTTACTTGTACGCATGTCGCGCAAAGTGGCAGACACATGTGACACTTTTAATAATCGTGTATACAAAAGCGGCATAAATACAAAGCGCGGTGATTAATTAAACGCGAACAATGAAAAGCGCCGAACACTACAGCGGTATGATTCGATTATGAAAAGTTCAATGCTTAATTAACTGCTTTTCCTGAGTCGCGCGCAGGTTTATTCGGTTTAATTGGCGCTTTTTTTTATTGGCCGCTGCGCCGAGCGCTTCCCATATTTCCTAAACCAATAATATCTGTTATGATAGGACGTCAAACGGGGAGAGAAATTAAATTTGGGCGCACTTTAATGCAGCATGCATCCGGGCATTTACTTTATCGATATTATTACTTTATTCAGGACTCCGAGTGTTTTTCTCTCGAGACGCGACGTTGTGTGTTTTGTTTTCTCGCCGGGCAAAAAATTAATGGAAAATGATACAAACGCCAACGAATTTTTTACTTTTCGATTTGAAGTGCTGCATGGCGACTCACTGGAGAGTGCTGCTCGTATATGGGGCCGGCGAAATTAAAACCGGGCTGATAAAATAAAAATTAAAGTAAAAAATTAATGTATTTGATTTGCTCGTGCGGTTGATAGGTTTTCCGGACGTTTGGCTGTTATTTCAGGCGACGACGGACGTGTGTGGGTTCGATGGGAATTAGAATTAGACTCGTCGGTGGCAGTGGTAACCCTTCGACGCTTTTTGGTACGCAAAAGCAGAAAGGCACGGCGACGCGACGCCGAAATGTGCTCTTCACCTGGGAGAAAGTATTTAATATTGATGCGACAGGTTCTCCCCGCGTGCATATTACAGCAGCCAATCTGCCCTCCTGAGTAATGCATAGACACGTTCGCTTTTTCCGCGTCGTTTTCCTCTCGACGTCGACACGTTAAAGAAACAAAACTAATAAAACACACTAAATTCGGACTCATTATCAGCCACAGATCGGAAAAAAACTTCGACCTGGTTTTAATTTAAGTGAATTCTTGTGTTTTGATTTGATATTTCATTTGATACTCTATTACTTTCGCTCTTTGAGTAGTAAATAATTATATTTAAGTGAATATTCATTTGTATTAACATAGATACATTTATTTTCAGTGCTTTTTGTAACAAGCAACTATTTATTCATTTTATTATATGTAGAAATCATATACTCACCAACATTTCCCCCTTTTTGCAAATTAGCGAGTTGCGTTTTAATAGATTTGCAAAGAACAATAGGCAAAAGCAAAACAAAACTACATCTACCATCATTTAAAAAACATTAGCGGCTTTTACGTGCGCTCAAACACAACAGCCGAAGACTCATGCCCGGCGCCTTCACATTGTGTCGAACAAGAAATTAATGCATTTTTTTCTGCCCGCAAAAAACATTACTCACAACATTAAGCGCACTTTCCGTTTCCCGTAATCATTTACTCCTCGTTTTTGTCAAAGCGCGAAAGCACCAGCAGGTAATCCATAAATTAATAAACTAGTAATAAGCGAACAAAAAGAATCAACAGAAGTGATAATCAGCTTTCGATAAAAACGCCACGCCGAAATTGCGGTGGATTGCGCACAAACGAGTGTAAATAACAAGGCGTGGCCCGCCGGCCGAAACAACCGAAAACAAATACGCAACACAAACACGCGCTGCCGGGAAACATGAAATAATGCGAAGAGTAAACTGGGAATACACGACGGTATGGGGGCATCTCGCGGCACCGCAGGGAGAGAAAAAAGAACGTCGTTTCGGCATGTTTCCTGTCGAGGGCGGCGGGCGATTAAGACGTTGGCGGCACGAACCCGACGGCGGTCGCGTTGTATCGTCAAGGGCCGTACGTCGCAATTAATAAACTTTAATTGATTTCGTTAATCTCCTATCCTCGGCTTGTTTTTTCTTCGGCGCTTTCTTCAGCGTCGCGAGTGAATTAATCTACGGATGTCACACGCTCGAATACTTGGCGCATTATTTTAAAGGATTGCACGCTCATTACTTCCCGGATAGTTTATAATTATTTTCGGATTTATTACCGACCAAAAGCGGATTATAAATCATGTGATAAATGAATCATACAATTTAAAAATATGTTAAACTGATTATACGCTTTGCTTGAAACTAATTACGTGTAAAAAAGTTTGCAACTTTGCACTGCAACGCATCAAAAAGAGTTTGAAATTTTTATTTAATACACAGTCGAAGTTAATTATTTTTTAATTATATCAATTAAGCCGGGATCAAGCGCACCGGCGCGCCGTACACGCAATCGATTTAATCGTTCAATAGTAGGGGCCGTGCACGGAAACTCCAACAGGCAAACATCCCTTAACAAGTTGTGTTGCGTCGTTTAAGTGCCCCAACATGATTCGGGCAATTGATTTCGATCCGCCCGCCGGCGCGCGCCCGTTGCAGTATAGCAGTGTGTGTAACGGTCGAAATTTAATGCGCGCAGCGGATTAAATCAATTTTTAGCACGCTGCTGCGATGATATTAAGCCGTTCTCCGTATACCTTTTCCGTTAATTAACTTAATCGTCATTCAACGTCGTTCGGCGACCTCAACCGCCTACGCGTGGAAACAATTCGCATGCTGTTAGAGATGCGCTGCCGGCGGAAAACGCGCGCTAATGTCTCGACAGCGTTTAAACAATCAACGGATTACGCTAAAAGGCGGCCAATTACTCCCGGAAGCCAATTAACTGCCGCCCCTCGAGGAGTTCCACGTCGGCCGCGCGCCGCTGCACATTAGATTGCGCAAATTCAATTCCGCGCCGCCACTTCATTTTATTTAACTCACGCGAAGCGATAGAAGCGCGATCGTAAAAGTAGCGACGACGATCAGATGAGCGGGGGCGAGATCACCCTTTAACCGGTATTGGATTTAGATCCGTATCGCAATGAAACAGATGAATTGAATGTGTGCTACTTTAATAAGTACGCAGCGCAATCGATTGCAAATGCTTGGGATTGTTTCGGTACACGTGCGCGTACCTAAACGACAATAAAAGCTTAATTCGCTGCTTTCTGATGCGAGCGTAATAAAAAAGAGACGCGTACTTGTTTCGACGTTACGCCCAGTAAGGATTATTACTGTCATTACGCTCGCGCAATGTTTCAGCGCACGTTTACACGTAAACATGTCACCTGGCTTCCACGCAATTGGAGAGACGATCGGAATGTTTGTCCATCAACCAATGCAATCAACATGTCCGGCGAAGATGTGTAATTCCGACGATTCCTATAATTCCATTTGGTAATCTTCCGCCCGGGCGCACGTGCGCGTCGCGATCGTAATCGGGGACGAGCGCGCATTTGCGTCGCGACGCGCAAAGCTAATTCGAAATCGAAACGCACTCGCTCACTCCTTTTCTTCGAGGAGGTCCGAGACACTACCACCGCGCGCGCCTGATTGCTACTTTATATTTAAGGCAATCTTAAAGGTCGAATCTATTTCGCCCGAAGCGTTCGACAAAGTCGCGCCCCGACCATCTTTCGATCGGATGCTCTTTGCTTATTCAAAGCATTCTTTCGCTCCGATTTCTTGCGCGTCCGCGCGCTGTTTTATTTATTTGTTAACGTTTATCGCAGTCGGAGTGTACAGCCGGAGTGCCGACTGCGGCGAAAAAATCGAGGCCGAAATGTGCGCATCATTTATTCAGAAATCAATTAATCGGTCGGAAAGCTATTCACAACGTCCGAATGAATAATTCACTCGCGCTGGATGAATGTGGAAATCGTTTTCGGCGGGTGCGGGCGGATGGAAAAGGCCCTGACAATCACGCGTTCCGATAGACTTGCCACCCCCGACGCGCGTGTTGGCGACGGCAACGCCTGTGAGTCGAGGGAGCCAGGCTATCGCCCATCCGCGTCTCTCGATTTCGTGCCGGTGAAAGTCGGCGCGGGGAACTCATTAGCCGCCTCTACGCGTGCATTATTTACACGTTAATCGCGCGCGCGTCTAGGCGCTAGTCGTAAATAAATGAGACGCTCGTGAAACCGGCGCAGACAGACGCGCATTGATTAGATTGACGATGAAGAAACGAAACTTACTTGAGCAGTGTGGTGAGCGTCGACTCGCGAATCATACAGCATTGCAGCAGCGGCGCCAGGATGGAGAGCTCGTCGTGGAACGGCTTGCCAAAGCCACGGCCGTGATCCAGATGAATCGTGAAGGTGTCATTTCCGAATTCCCTGCAAGCACACGGACGTACCCGTCAAAACAGCCACGCGATGAGCTAAAAAGCGTCCGGATAGCTACCTGAAGGTTTCATAATGATGTCGGTCCATGTTACCGGTGAGGAAATCAAAGATGGACATGTCCATGAGATCGTAGAGACGTCGTCCCTTGTCGTAGGGCGGAATTTCGCGCACCAGAGCGCAGTAATTAGATTCCAGCTCCCATTGGGCCTTCCTCCGCTTGTGATAGGATCTCCTCCAGGGATGCCGCCACACCTAGGCGTGCGATGTGAAAACAATGACGTCAGAGCGCGCGCGCGCTATTAGGTGTGAAGAGTATTCTTACCTTTCGGGCGCCGATCTCGTTGGGCGGCAGGAATGCGGCGAAGCTGCCCTCGAGCATGTCGGGATTGCCGCAGATTGCGTGCGAGGTGTCGCAGTAGTAGCTGCACTTGCCATGGAAACAGAGATTATCCGACGGCGACACGAAAAACGTCTTCAATAGCTCGCCGTCCGCTTTGTGATACAGCTCCGACGTCATGTTTACCAGACGACCTGACACCGGCATCGCTCTTCGGTATCCCAACAACCTGCATCAAGTCAAAACAGTTTAGCGTTTGAAATCGGGCGATTTATTGTGCAGGCCGCGAGGAAACCTTCAACACTCGCAAAGAAAGAGACATGCAAGCGATGCGCAATTTTTTTACCTGTCCAAATGAAAGGAGGCGATCTCGGAGTTGTGACGCTCGAAGTCGGTGAAATAGAAGTGATTGGGCAAAGTCTGCTGTTCCCGTGGGAATCTGCAACAAATACGCTTAGTTATAGACTCAGCAATTCGCTCCGCTTCGCAGTACGCGTCGTCTAAGCGACGCCGATCGTCAATTCCGCCCTAACGCCTACTTGATTAATATATAGTTCGCCACAAATCAAGCGGCGCACTTTTCCCCGAACGCTTTCTTTCATCGCACACACCGAGGTGAAATCGCAAATAAAACAATAGGGACCTGCAACGGCGCTGTGTGCGCAGAACGAAAAAAAAAACGATTGAATAGAGAAATAATGGAACGGAAACGGGCAGAGATAGCTGAAGACCGCAGAGTGCATAATGCCAAGATCAAGAGTCATCAAGACCTCGCCGACTACGTGGCTAATCTCGCTTTCGGCCGAAGACATCAGGCGTGCATCAGCGCCGCCGTCCAAACGACAAAAGAATTGAATTGTGTGCTGGCCGACGCTCACGCGGAATAAAGTGCGGTCTCATAGAGTATGGAGTTTGCTCTGATAACGTAATGCAGTCAACGAGAAGACAAATGACGTTAAGCAGAGGCAGCCGAAGAATGTGAAGAACTTGCACGCTCCTTATGTTCCACACGACGACCTAATGTGCATAATACCAAAGTGTCTCATCTTCCTCGCCATTTCTTTTCAGCTGCCGTGAGTTATGAGCGCACATTTTTTTGTTATCCAAACCAGTTTTTGAACGTCATCATTTTTTGTTTGTGGCTGTGCATATCTCCAAACTAAGTTAATAATTTACTACGTACCGATAACCTAATCAAATATTTTCGCAATTTGTCAAAAAAATGTATGTTTTTCTTTGGTGGAAAACAAGATTTGCACGCGCAATAAACAAATTGTTTTTCTTGCGTCAGTTTTCTTTTTGTTTTTTTTTTCTGGGCGCGCTTTCTGCGCGCTGGAAGCTTTTTGTAGGTTTGAATAATGAGATTTCGGTTTTCCGTTTAGGTGTCTTTCATTTCTCCGCTTTTTTTGCGTGCGTTTGCGTGATTTTCGGCGATTTTAAAGTAGGCGGAAAAGCGGCGCTTATGCTCCGGCGCAAGCCAGCAGATAAAGACAGCCGTGCGCGTGCGAAACAAAAAGAGCGGCGGGCGCGTTAAGACGTCGGTCGGCGGTCTGGCGGGCGGCGGGCGCGCGAAGCAGACAAGACAAGCAAGACGTACGTGAAATGGGTTTCGCCTAGATATGATTCGATTCTATAATTTTCCACCGACTGAATATAAAGAAGTTCGTTCGCCGGGGCGCGCTGAAAGACTTCGATTCTCACGGAAAGATTCGCCGAAGATTTTTAAACAATCCAACTGAGACCCCTTCGACATACATTTGCTTCCAGAGCGTCTGTTGCGAAACGAATACTGTTTTGATGGATTTTTACCCTTGAATCTATACGATTTAGGTAGTATCAGAAGAAAAACAGAAAGCAGAACAATAATCGAAATTAGAAGTTGTTTATTTGATGCGGAATGCATTTCTAACGCGATGCCTTTTTAAAATTTGATACGCCAGCAGAGAAAAGAACCACGAGGAGACGCTGCACGAGATTAGAATGGATGGGCATATGCCGGAGGAAGGTGTGCAGCCGACACAGGTATATAGACCGCCGCCGCTGTCTTCGTCGCGACCGCGCGCCTCCTCTCCTTCCGAATAATATTAGATCTACAAGGTGAGATATGTAAATGTCGCACGATCGCCACTCAAGGCACGTAGCGCATAGCTCAATTCGTTATCTCGTTCGGCCCCACATCCACGCGCGCCCCCCTGAACAGAAGGAGCAGCGCTCGCACACCAGCGCGCGCTCCGGAGGCAAAAACCCGAACGTAAGTGCCGCCCGCGCTGAAGAACTTATGCATGCGAGCGCGGGCGGCTGGCGTGGTGGCGTCGCCAACTCGTCCGTGTCGTGGTGGCACGACGTCGCACCGGCGGGCCGCAGTCGCGCACAGACAAACAGTCGGAAAAATTATTTTGCCGCAATGAATATAGAAGAGAATTTAATGCGAATCATATTTTTTGTTTAAACGCACCTGCAGCGAAAGACAATGAAGCGAACTCCTAACTTATTCTGGCGCGCGCGTCGCGACACCCTCACACCCATCGCCCCCGTTTTTCCTTCTCGTCATCATTCGAGTGCCGTTTGTATTTCACGTTTCGGCGGGCGACTCGCGCATAATGAATGCTTATTTGCGAAATAAGTCCCTTTCATATTCATCGCGGCGCCGTGTTTTTGTTTGCCTTAACAAATTGTGTCATCTTTGATAGCCGCGAGCGCGCGCGAATACAAATGCGCGCCGGTCACAAAGAGACAAATTAACTCGGCAATAAGTCAAGACATTTCGCGCCGAATGTAACTTTTGTTTGCTCCGGTGACTTCTTCACTGCAGCCGCGCCCGGCTGATTGTTGATATCATTACGAGCGCGGCGCGCTTTTGATGTCGCCGATGCCAATATGGACATTACATTATGTTGCGTGATTATACCGGCCGGAGCCTGCTGTATCGCGATAGTTTACTTCGGCAAGTAGTTGAACGCCGCCGCCGTCAAGCCGTAACGACTTACAGTTGGCATAATGCGGCGCATAACGACGTTGGCGAGAACTGGGAGAGGACAAGTCACAACGACCGCTACATTTTCGGGCCGTAGATCTTTACGTCTTGTCCTTTGTGCGCGCATACCAAATGTTTCCGATTGCATCTCTTCGTGTCATCGCGACACAAAAAAGGCCACGACATTAACTCCAGAAGCATCAAGTTTTCTCACGCCGAGAGATTCCACTGATAACATTTGCTTTGCTTGGACATTTGCAGAGACAAAAGAAGCACTTCTTGTTTGATTTGAGCGTAAATCCTCGCTGATTAGTTTGTGTGTTTCGACCAACAATCGGTATGTGCTCGCCACGTTCATTCATCGCGTCGGTCTTAAGCGAGAGACGCGAGACAAGAGTTTGCGAAGCTTTACACGGGCGTTTCGGCGAAGCGCCGGGCGTTCGGTATCGTATCGGAGTAAGGCACTCGAGGGTCTCTCGCCAAGAGATAGTTCATCCTCTGGGGAGATGCAAATCAGCCACCGCCGGACAGGTTATCTTTGCTTACCCGCAATGCCTCCCGCCGCTGCCAGCCAGCCGAGTCTTTCGCTCCGCCGTGTGCGAGCGCAAACCGTCCGAGCAACTATATCTACATCTACTACTGTTACTTATATCCTCTTTCTACGGGCCGGCGTACAAGTTTTACGATTCGACGGCACAATAACCGCCCGCAATAAAACCGCCGCCGCATGGAAAACACCGACGTTAACATTTCCGCGGCATCCACGACACCTCACAAAAAAACACCACCACACGAAATGTTTCATTAATGTGCAAGCGAAGCGATGGGCAATTCAGCAGTTTTCGGAAAGTTGTGCGCGGGTCGTGTACGTTTTATACACTCGTACTTGTACACTTTAACCGGATAGTTCTCCATAAGATGCACGAGATACAAGAGATAGACAAACGGGTAACTATGATAACACACTAGATTAACTGCTACATATTTATACAGAGTGTGCGCGTATCAAACGACTGACGGCGTCAGGCGCAGAGACAAAGGACACAAAGCCAACGCGGAACGTGGCGGCGGTTTACAGCACCGCAAAACGTGTCCCATTATCGTGCGCTTGAAAATTGAGAAATTCGCAAGGGTCCGGGGAATTTTTGAAACAAAAGGAACAGAATACTGGAGAATGGTTTACCATGCACTTACCCATCAATCTCTTCTTCACTATCAAAATTATCAATTTTAAGCAATAGAGCAATATGATCAAGAATACATGCATGACAATCGAATTACTTTCATGACTATTTTGACTTGATTTGACGTAAATTCTTCCCAGTTTGCTGGTTTTGTAGATCAGTGGTCTTCATTTCTTCCAGCGTGCGCAACCCTATGCATATCAGGTAAGCCGTTCTCCAATGGGCTGAACACTGGCAACATGCAAAAGAACATTAGTCAGTATCAGTTGGATATTGCTGCTTACTTGCTGGAGAAACTAATGGCACTCTGTAATAGGCTGTGAAGAATATCAGGTCTGATGACTGATTAATGTTCTTTGACATCAGCTATAATTCAAGAGGGAATTTTGAAGTTGGGGAATAAAACGCGCAAACTTTTGACTCGCAGCGCAAACATTCCGGAATACCTGTTGGCTCGCTCAGCGGGCTGTCATCAAATACCGCAGAGTAGTCAAAATTTAAACAGGCCAAGCAACCGGAAATCAGAATGTGCAAATGCGAGGAGTTTCCGATGCGCTCGCAATTGCACAAAAGAGGCGCCGCGCATTTACATTTACAGTAACACGCCGGTGTGCACGGAGAGCGCAATAGAATGACGATAAACACACATCGTAAAGGTTTCCGCTCCGGCGGGCGCCGCCGTCTGGCGCGTTCCTGACGGCCGGCAGGATGAGCGGACAGCGCAGACTTGCAAACGCTTCGATTCGCCGCCCCCGAAAGCATCGGAGTGTCGCTGGAGCGGCGCCGACGGTAAAGTCGCGCTGGATACTTATCGCGCTCTAATATTCTCTCTTGCCGCCGCCGTCCGCATCAAAGCCCCGCACAAAGTCGAGCTCATTTTAGTTGCTAATTTGTTTACACACTGTATTATTATAAGATTAGGCGCTCCGTATTAAATTTAAATCCATTAATGTATAACTAGCGTTCGGGTTGTACTCGTGCGCGACGTTTAGTGCCCATGTTTTGCATATTTCGCTCGTTTTCGTCCTGTCAGCCACCCGCGCTTTGCATTAAGATAATGTTGACGAATCGCGAACTGGTTTCGATGACAAACAGGCACCTACCTATTGCGAAACTAAAGAAATAACACATTTATTATAATGGATAAAAACGGCAAGGGAAATTCATTTTCATTCGCATCGTGTGAGCGTCAGGTCGTCATCGCACGTGCCAGCGGCGAGAAAACTATCGGTACGTGTGAAAAGGAAATAAATCACAGACGAAATTGGAGCGTAAAATTGTAATTGCTTTAATATAGTTGTTATATCAAGCGAAATCCAATTCGGCCGCCGCCGATGCGCGCCAGCCGCAGCCGACGTCGTCGACAACAATGGGCCAGCCGCGCGCCGGAACGTGAACGCGAGCCGCCGCCGGCGGTGGCGATTCGGGGGCCCCGTGCCTGCCGGCATTAACAAATAACCGCCGGCGATAACGATCGCGTTACATTACAATATTCAGCGGGGGTGGCTCCTTTTTTCGTTGTGCTGGTTATTATCATAATAATATTTTTATATTTTATGCCACTGTAAGGCGGAGGCGGAGGCAGCGAATCAAAATGACTCACGAGCAGATCCGTAATACGAATAATCACCGCAAGAAAGCAATTTCTTTACCGGAACTTTCACTCATTTTAGAAGTTGAAGCATATGTTGCACGATTTTATTACGGACCTGTGACAAAACAAGTTTCTCTCCTTTTGTGCTTGTAATTTGGTTATTCTATTCTATTTTACTGTCGATTGGCACGACATGCTCGCCTCGGTGTGCCGCCCGCCTTGTGAAGTATTATAATTAAACAAAATCTGCCCTAATATTTACCAATTGACTCGAGTGTAGCACTCGCCGAAACTTATATATTAATAACTACATTATATGTAATTAATGCATGAATAAATGTTTTTCTTTGTTTCCATGAGAAGCAAATATAAATAAATAAATTTAAAATATGATTAAACAAAATGAAGATTACATGATCGACATAACCTTTCGATTACCTGCGCCCCGACGCGCTGGCGCTTAATGAAAATCGACGCATGACACGATAATGTCTGTAACATGTTAACACGCCACGATCGCGCGCGCGCGCGCTGCCGTCTGATAACTCATCGCGTCGGAATTAGATATAAGGAATTTAATGGACACGACGATAGGCGACACTTAGACAGTGTCTCGGGTGGCGTTTGCCCTCCCTCGACTCCTCCACCGCAGTGTCACTAACCGCGAACTCATCGTGGGAATGACGGTGACGGGAAAAGTGCAAAACTTGCGCCCATTAGAACACAAAAATGCCGAACGCGGTTATGTTCCGCTAATAAGATTTTTCTAATTAGAAAAGTTTTTAAGTGAAAATCTTTCACACTCGACTATTATTGCCGCTGGAAGAATGCCGCCGGATTACAGCCGATTCGAAACACACTGTACGCCGCTATAAGAAAAGCACTGTGGATGCCGACTCTCCCCAGACACTTCGAATATCTTCAATGACGATGAGCACGCCTTGAAAATCCCCCCGGGAATCCCCAAGCATCTACAGCTATTTGTCAGCGGAGCGCCGAACCCCTTGTCGGATTATTTCTTATTTCAATATCAATCCGGCACAACAGCGTGCGCGCCCGCGCTATTAAACTTCGTTCGAGTTTTAATTCAGTTTTAATTTACGCTCGGGTATTTTTTATTGCCCTCAAATCGTCGGCAAATTCGGCGTAAAGTGGATAAAAGAATTTGTTCGGCCGCCCAACAAAACGAATATCGAGGAGAAAAATGTGCGCCCATGCACGGGGGCGGGTAGAAAGGGGCGCGCAAAATTTATATTTATATAAAGGGCGAAATAACGAAGCGCTCCTTTTTCGAATAGGCACCTTACGTCGCGCACCGCATCCGAAAAACGCGTAAATATTTTATGCATCCGCAAAGAAAAAAATAAAGTCGAAACAAATATTATTGGATTGGTATAGATCCTATATATTGGATGTGGCATCTACAAGATGCTAAAAGTAAACTTTGTAAAATGCAAACATTATTTTATAATAATGTGATTAAAGTTTTCTTTTCAGTTTGGCTATATTTATTGAATCTCGTTTTTTAAACGCTTCGAATAACGCATTTTTAGAAAAGTTTCAGTTGGGGTTTGTCAGTGGACACTCAGTATAGGTAATGTGTATTATAGTGAAAAATCTTTTGCATTTCCATTCCTTTTTGGAGACCGCACAGAAGAAAAAAAGAAACCGAGCCAAAGGTGGAAATCTGGAAATAACCGAATGGGAACAACACACTGGGAGACAGGAGGTCGCTTCGTATCGATGCGTTTTCGCGATCGGTCAGATTTATGCCGGCAGATGTTTTTTCTTCGCTTTGTGTGGCAGAGGCACCACCACCACAACCGCCACCAGCAGCCCCTTTATATTGCGCCTAAATTTTTCCACTTTCCTACTTCGCCGTCTATTCGCAATCTATGCCAATTCGAGCCGTTTGCGTTTTTTATCGCGCATTCACGAGCTTTTCTTCCAACTTCGAAGCGTTTGCAATTGTGCATCGGCAGCGCAATCGCATTACTAACAATCGCGCTGTCAGTGCATCAGGAATAAACTTTCAAATCTATTACCATATAAAATAATTAGGATTTGATTTCTGTTCGATAAATATTTTAAAGATATCGCATTAGAAAACTCACAAAATAAACGAGACAGATTGAAGGATATATAAAAATATGAAAAATCTTTGAAAATTCTTTCACTGCGCCTCGTAAACCCAAAAGTAAATAAAAGAAAACCAGATCCACAAAGAAAAAAGAAAAAAGCCCCCGCAAAGTTGTAAATGTCGAACAATGTGCCAAAACATGTGTCCAATATTCAAATCTCTCGCTGAATCGATCTAAGAAAATGTCGAGCATAGCCTCTGGCCCAAACACCCCACCGTTTGATAAATCAACTTGGTAAGAGAGCAAAACAAATCCGACAAGCGATTTCGCCCCGGTTTTTGTGCTAGATAATCGTACAGCGCGCATAGATTGCAGATCAAGTACTCACCGCATTGGTTTGAACAAAGATTGGACATTGTTCGGATAGTCGATGACGAGTTTAATCTGCGTTCCGCCTGACTTTTGCGCTGCAACAAAACAGAACAATCAATTAATAACAACAATAAAATAGACTTCATGCGTCGCTGTGCCGCGCTGTTAATCGCGGGGGCGGCTTGATAAAAACTAGAAATCCATAAAATCGCAGCGAAACGACGCGCGGCGCAAATGGAGCAAACCGAAAGGAAACAATGAGCACAATCAACGTGAAGTTACGGACAAAATCACGCGGCAAGTTCGTCAAATCGGATCAATAAATGTATGAATTAAACGCAATTAATCATCGGCGTGCATTTTCGGCTACATTACAATCCTGTGATAGGCATTATCGGATTGGCGGCCGATGGAAATTTCTACCAACATTGCACAGTGGCGCTGTAAAATCGCACAGAGAATTTTATTAGAAATTTATTACTCGGGCGCGCATTATTGTAAACTGATTGTATTATTGAATCATTGAGGCATTCAATTACGTGTGTAATGCGCCCAGGTACTTCTATTTATGGTTTTACTGGCCGCTTGAACGAATTGCAATCGTCGTAGTATAAGGGGATATCAAAGGCACACAATGGAAGGAATTATATAAATTTGCAGGAAATCACCACGATTTTATGCGCATTAGGTGAGTGTGTAATTTACACGTTTTGTGATACACACATTAGTCGCGCAGTTGATCACGAGTGGAAGAAAAGTAAAGTATTCTATGGGAATACTATCCAAAAGCAAAAAAAAAATTTTTTTTGAAAATTTTTATTAAATTTTGATTTTCTGCGTGGATGTGCGAAAAATTCAATTTACAATAGAGAAGCTCTGATTTTTGTGTGGAATTTTCCGTAATTATAGCCGCAGTGTGACGGCAAACATAGCGCTTGTTTGACTATCTCTCAAAATAAAAGCGTGTGGGTGAAAGCTGTTTGTTTACGCCGGCTGAGGGTAGTAACATCGCATAATAGTGGCGGCGCGTTTATGTCCATACTTGATGTATTTATACAAGCCATTTTTAACGCGCCAAGTGTGCCGCCCGCGCAAAGACGCCGCCGTCATAATCAGGATGATGAACCATTACGTGCAACCGCATTGACGACTCAATAAACCTTCCTGCTCGCTGGAGAGCCGAGATGACCGCCTCCGACATTACCGCTGACATTACAAGCCGCAGACACGTCGGTAAGGAAAGGTGGATTCCTCGACCGCGGCCGCCCTCCACTAACCTCTGTCGCGTCACCTTTCGTCGGGTGATGGCTGGCGGTTGTGGTGGTGGTGGTGGCGGGTTTCACCCGGGCGGCAGCGGCAATGGGCATGAACGTGCACATTTAATACAAGAACAATAACCGCGAGACGACACGATACCTTGTAGCTGGGTAGTAATCAAAGCGTAACGAACGCCGCCGCGCGTAATGGCCCTCGGCCTGTATCAGATTCGCGAGCGTCGGCCGCTCGGATGAATCATTTGCTTACCGCAATAGATATTAATTAGTTTGCGCACAAGCGCTCGGGTCGCTTCGGCAGTAATTTAACGAAAATAAGACGATGCGAAGACGTTCCGCAAGAACATCAGCAAGAAATTCCTATCATCGATTAAGCCACCTCAGAGCCCCAAGATTCGTGTTTTGTTAATAGACATCCCTTTGTCCTCTGTGCTCGCATTGTTAGAATTTATGAGCTACAAGTCGTCGATTAGCGTCGATTACTTGCATTTATCCGTAACAATATCTCGGTGGAATGCATTTTTCATATTTTCCCTGCACACACCCGCAGTTCGGTTAAAGTTTGCCGTTGAGTTGGTGCGCTAATGCGATGTGCTTTTTATGATGTTTCATGAGCGTGCGGACTCACGCAAACAAAGAAAAGCTGGACGAGCCGGTCCACAGCGAAGAAGCGCGCCGGCAAAAACTAATGTAGCAACACGTTCACGCCGCCGGCCTGGGTGATTGAAGGTGTTGAGACGGCGGCGGCGGGAGCGCAGAAAAAAAACCAAGCCGAGAAAAGCGTTTTTGCTTTCCCGCTTCGTTTTGCTACGCAATCTCGTATAAAACACCTCATTAAGCTGCTACAGTCTTAACTGCTTTCATATATTAATCTACCCTCCACCCTTCCGGCGTGCGAGCGCCCATTTCGCGCGCGCCTTCATTACGGGCACTATTGTAAATTTTACCAGGTGTACATAATTACGTCATCGAAATAACAACATTAACAACGTCGGATTGCGAATAGACGCCAGCCGGCGGCGGCGCCAAGATGGAGCCTGCCGGGCGGCCGGCTGAGTCTCGTAATTGACACTATTATTAATATTTAGTTTTGCCGACGTCGACGTCCACGACCACGAAGCATGATTTGCGCCATTGTTTTGCTCGTGGCATTATTAACTCGCCGGAGTGCATCGCACGATCGACCGGGACCCGATAACTGCACTGATAATGAATTTGCGGAAGCGGGTGGAAATATTTGCGGTCGGACGGATGCGGAATGACTACGGTGGACGCATTCGCCCCGTCGAATGCCCGGCGATGCAAATAGGTCGCGGCGCGCCGCGTTTAACTAAAACGCGACTCATTACATTTAATGCGCGGCGTTAATCCCCATCGGGGCAAATCAAAAGCGGCTAATTAATTCGGCAACAAAACACATCTTTTGTTTCGCCCGACAGGTATTCATTCTGGTTTATGCAGCAGCCCAATCAAGACAATAATAGTCTATTATAATCGAATCAATGGTAAAACTGTCCTTTGAATTCGGACGCAAAATGTAAAAATTTTCGCGTAAAAATTGGCTCTGAGAGAGATAAAAAAAAAGAGATAATAAGCTGAGAAAATACCGCTATTATTTTCGCCGATGACACATTTGAACCTACGCTAGAAAAATTCAATCGAATGAAAACTCATAATCACACTCGAATGCACCGGCATTCGTTTCCACACTTTCCACCCACGTCGCGTGGCTAGCGAACGCCCGCGCGGCCATTCGAATATGTTAACTTAATAGAAAATAATATTAAATATGGTAATTCGCGTCACATCAATCAAATCGAAATGAATGCTGCTACTGTGTGGAATAAACGTGAATCGTTGAATTACTTCGCCTATCGCGCCCGGCAGCGCCAAATAGCGCCGGTATTTATTTTTTCGTCTTCGCCCCCGCCCCGTCATTGCCAGCCGCAAGAAAACGAACAGAACGACGTTTATGTATATATGGATATTGTATTGTGTTCGGATTGCGCTCCCATTGTGCGAGGGCAAAGTCGCACACGCGGCTGACGGCAAATCGTGAAAAATGACTCTCGCCCATGTTTGTGCTTTCATTTGGTTCCATCCACTAGCGCACCACCACCCGCCCGAACAACCGCCAACGACAAATGTGATTACGTATTTAAATTAATGTTTCACGTGCGTTTTGCTTCAAGTAGTCGAGGCCCGCAGATCATTTGGATGCAAATGAACAGAGAAACATTTGTTAATAACACTTTAATCGCTGGCAAATCAAAAACTCTGTCCGATTCTAATTGATTGCATGCAAATCACAATCGCAATGCTCTGAAAATGATTAAAGTGCCGAGTCTTGGAAAGTGTAGAAAAAACTTTAAAAATCTCATTAAACATAAATCTAAGTATTTGCACTAAAAGACGTTTTTGTGCGAATAATTTTATGCGCTAAAGTTCTACCTGCGAGCGGCAATATAATAAGAGAACATTGGAATAGGAAGAAAATCAAAATCGTATTGCGTGAAACTAGTTTTCCCCTGTTATACTTGCGAGTTTCTGAATCTACTGAGTGATGCAAACGACGTTATGGTAAACCCGCCCACACGAAGCCGTTGTAATCATTCAAGTGACGTGTGCGTATCGTTGCATAAAATTACAACGATAACACGTACAAATTGTGTTACAAATTGAACACATCCGACACATGCACAATATGAAAAACACGAACAATCTAGTTGGGGCATTCGAGTGGAGAGAGTGCGGGGCCACATTTTCGATACAAGGAGGCCCTCTAAAACTAAGCAGATTTCCGGCGAATTCGTTATGCGCGCGCGCCATTCTTATTCCGGCTGATGACGCAAAGAAAACTGCAAATTGCGCTCGCAAACACCCCGACATCATCAAGAAGTATCGCGACATCAAACGAATCTCACAAACGCGGCGCGCCGGCGAAAAATCCGCACTTGTTTACACTTGCGCACCGATGCATGCAAAGCATGTTTTCGCGGTGGTGAATGCGCCGGGCGGGTGAGTCGGGTGCGTCGGTTTCGGCGGCGGCGGTTCATACACGCGCCACGCGCCCGCTTCTGGAATTTCGGGCGTACCAGCGCCGCGCCGTGCGTTGTAATAATGTTTTGCTGTTGATAGTGGAGTCCATTCTGCATTAGCGCAATGTTTGATCAACGTATTATTGTTCGTGTGCGCGTGGCGGGTCGTGTCGCGGTGTTTGCCAGTCTCCTGTTGTTGCTGAGTTGCTCATGTTGCAGGAAAATCATAGACCAATGTTGTCAATCATCCGACGGTCAACAAACAAACAATCGTAAAGGATAGCTGATACCGGCGGCCAGATCGTATTCAAACCAGCCCGTGGGGAGCGCCGGCGTTGTGTAGATTCAAAATAAAGTGAAGCAAACTAATCTCGTAATTTCAACAAAATTATACAATTCAGCCGTAAATTCACTGCTAACATTCCACTACAACATGGATAATAATTATTTTTTAATATCACTAATCTCCTATTATAAAACAATAATTCCAGAGCTCAAGGTGAAAAAATATTCGCGTGTTTAGTTTATTTTCGCATTGTAACCTTGATCATAAACCGCGTGCACTAATTGCAGTGCCGCGCGGCGAACAAATGACATATTTACAAGTCGCGGGAGGCTTTACGCAATCGCTGAAGAAGCACGACGGCGGAAGGTGATAGGAATGGCGCGACGTCTCCGCCGGGCGGGTAGATTACGAAAATGATAAACGTCTCCGAGGTATATAAATCTTAAGCGCCGGGCGCGAGGTGAGCGCGCGGACCGACGGCGGCCGAAACAAATTCGCTGCGCGCCGCGATAATAATAATAAAAGCATCGCGTTGCGGTGTAGGTATGGAAAAGACACTAGAAGAAAACAAGCGGGGTACTCACCGACGTGAAGGATTGCATCCGTCGCCATCAAATTTAGAAGCTGCGGAACCAGGACGCTGGTCTTCGGATACAGCTCACGCTTCGAGATGCTCAGCTGGAATTTCTCCAGTATGCTCATGTTGTTCCTGAAACAAAGAAATCATTGATTAAAATAAAATTGTAATTTTATTCTTCATATGAGTATTCACGTATTGATATTCGTTTAAGCACAGCAGCGCCACTCAAAAATTTTAGTTTTTTGCTTCAGATTTCTACGCGCACTATGCGCATACGAAGAAGAATTAAATTCTCTTTAATTCTGTATGTCTACCAATGCTGTGTGATTTATATTTTCTTAGATATTTCACTTTAATCAAAATGCATTTAATAAAATACTAAATTATTATCTGATGCATCGTTTCGCCAAAGTTAATAGTTTAGTCCACTTGCGAGCATTGTGTGAAACATAAATATTTAATGATTATGTTTGACAAATGTTGAATGTGACACCTGGTTTGTGACATATAATCATTAACGTGACGATAATTGTCCGAATCATTATATATAGAGAGAAAAAAACCATTTAGGTAGACACATAACGAGTATAATGAAAACACTAATAACATAACACTATTTTAGCGTGTTGAGATTTCCATATAAACCGCCTCTCATAACAATACGCTCCCGACGGAAAACTACGGACGCAATAAACTTTTAGAACTCTGTGAAAATCTGATTAAACGCGCCGCGCCGGGTAAGGAATCGAGTTATACTAAACGAACAATAAAATTACTAATTAAGTTTTCATACAATAAGGTGCCACCACCAGGTGATTGATTAAAGTTAGAAAATCTTCAAAAACAAAGCGGATGGGCGGTACCCCAGGTAGCAGTTATGGTTTTCCAGCACATATAAAACGAAATAAAGCAAATAAACAACATTTTAAGATTTAAATTTTAAAAAAAATGAAAAATGAAGTTTTTTGTCTCCCAGTGTGTAAATTATGCATTTTTGAAGACAATACTAAGTAAATGTACTTTAAAGTTTAATTATATCGGCATAAAACTTAGATTTACTTTAATGTCTGGTCAGTAAAATATTACTTTAATAATAATAATATTGCATCTAGTTTCACGGCTGATTAGAAAGCAGAAAGATAAAAACTGAAATTAACACAGTGAGTAACGCCGGTAAAAAGGTATTGTTAAAATTCAATTCAATTCAAGTATCTACCTACACGTGTAGCATAATTCGTTTCAATTTCAACGCGTGTAATTCTCGTAATATCATCACCCAGAGCATTGAAGGCGCGCAGGTTGATTGTCCTGTGCCTCCACCTGTCTATCCGCCGCTTCTAAGCGCTAAGCCAATTGCTTTTGTCATTATACGTCCTCGTCGCCCTTCTTACGTCTTATTCTATTCGATTTAAATAAATTAGGCCCGAGCTTATGCTAGGGCCTCAAGCGAGGGCGTCGAAGTGACATCGGCGGCGGCAATTGCGTCGCGGGGCGTCGACGTTATTTTCAACGACGCATTCAGACGCGGTGCAACATCCGCTCGCCGCGCGCTAACTATAACACCTTGAGTGCTTGTAAAAATTTTTCGAAAAATTGTCGCGCGCTGAACGAGATTTGCATGCTTCGCGCAACAATCTGTATCGCTAGCTGAAATCTAGCGCAAGTGTTGCGCTAGCCGGCGGGACAAAAATAATGGAATAATAAATTGAATACGCCGCTAAAATTTATATTGCCTTAAAACGTCTCCTGTCGCCAAGGCTCTCTCCGAGTGCTCGTTTTTGCTATTTAACATTTTCCGTCTAAGAGTGGAAAGTGAAACACAAAAAAATATAAGCAGACAAAAAGAATGCGTGGCGTGCAAAAATAATTCGATCGTCTGCACAAAGCATTTAATCCGAGGCCGGAAAATAACGCATAAATCAAATAAAGCCCGCTTTCAATTACTGCGCGCGAACAGCGTTTACATTAATTACAAACAAATTAACCGCATTTTACAAGCGCCGCTGCTGCTGTTTGCTCGTCTCCGGGAGCGCCGTTTTGATAACCATTATATTCGGTAATATCATTGTCGGCGCGCGCGAGGAAACTTAATCAGCCGGAGACTGAAGGCGTATTAAGATTATAATCAAATATCAATTAACGAACTGCCGGCGTCTGCGACGTGCTGGAATGCATGAATGACAAGCTCCGGGATAGATATATCGGCGCGCCGCCACGGGGGGGTGGTGGTGGTATCGAGTGTGCGATACGAGAGGTGCGACGAGCGTCTAATTGATGCCATCGACGCCCGCTGCGGATTACTTCATCTCGAGTTCGCGCCGCCGTCGAGAGGAATTGCAATTCGCGCGCGTACATCGCGGCGATAAGGAGTCGTCAAGCCACCAGCGCAAGCCCCCCAACAAAGTTCGTTTTAATCGCGACTACAAACTAATTTAATTGCGTTCCGCACGCTGGCGAGTAGATGTGTTTAATCTCACAAATTTCATTTTTCGCTCTGAAGCATCGCGCACTTGTTGACACGAACGAACAGACATATTAGCTCGTAAAATAATGAAGTAACTTTTCCGAGCGCCACACAACACAACAAAACTCAGCAACGCGTCAGTACAGCAATATACAAGCGGCGCGAAATTTTGGACAGCGCACAATGTGCACACGCGTGAACCAAGCGGTGACAAGACCTTGTATATGTGAGTATGTATTAACCACCCCGCACGTCCCGCTTCCAATCTTGGTTGGTGTGCACCTAATACGTGCATTAGACGCCGCCAGAAGGTGTACAACAACGCGCGCTGCACAAATCGCAATAATTCCTTTGTGTGTTGGCGAGCGTGCGCGCGCGCGAGTGTGTTTCTTTCTTCCTTCCTGACGTGTGTGCGCGCCGCGCGTAAAGTTTTAATACCCGCGCCGCCGTCGACGCGCGGTCACGTAAAATATTCGCTTTTCGTATTTCCGAGACTTTGATAATTTCACGGGAAAACGCCGGCGAAATGCAGGACGAAACTATGCGAACCATTCGTGTGCTGCGGTGGTGGTGGTGGCGGTGGGCCGCTTTGGGGGGTGGCGACCGACCGAGTGAACATACGAGACCAAACAAACCGATGATATACTGTGGGCCGGTTTGGCGCGCGCGAACGCATTCCGCATCGCATCGGAGCGCAATAACTTAATTGCCCTTATTAATTATGAATTCCCCGCTGCGCCGTCATTACCCGCGCGCGTCCTTAAGCCCTCCGCAAGAGCGGTAAATGCATGTACAACGCGAATCACAGTGCAAACACTTGCGCGGATGGAATAAGAAGGCGAAAAAAACGCGCGCGCACGTCCGAGGACGCCGGACGAGTTCGGAATTGGGATCGTGCGGATCGAGCGATAGTTACAGCTTATTCCATTCCTGCTGACTCTCGTCCCAGTGTGGTCGACCATTCGTTACTCACGTGTCGAGGACCGTCGGCCGCCCTCTGCCCGCTTTATATACGACGCCTAGTTCTAATATCCTTTTACATCCACCAGCGCGAATATAATCTACATGCGAACGCGTATGTACAGGTGGAGTGCTGCGTTCGGAAACAGGATTGCCGTCGCCCGGCGCCTCCGCTCTAAACTCTAAACGGTAACGCAATACCGGCGCGCGCGGAACACCGTCCGGACACATCAAAAAAACGGGCACAGATTTACGGGTCCCCGTTCGACGGTTTTCGGTCGTTTCGAAAATGCGCGCGCGACACCACCGCCAACGCTATTTATTCGAGGAGGACGCACACAGGATGTGCACCGAAATGTAATCGTGTTTCAATTTATGCGCGCCGGGTTTAAAAATGCATCGCCCTCTTGATTAAACCAGCCACCTGAAACTGTACGCCGGCAGTGTCGAAATGTGAAATGCAGTTTGCGTTTTGGCAAACATCGCAAAGGGCAAAAGTAAGGCAGCAGAAAGCAGAGACCACATTCGACCGAACTCATACTCGCCAAAGTTCGCGTCGCGCGCGACAGATTGTCCGGCGACTAAATAGTTTGAGCGATTAAATGTGCAAAAAGCCATTTCGATACAGCGGGATAAATTAATTACGGCTCCATTAAAAACGAGTTTGCCATGTGTGCCATAAATCCGAACGAATACGTAAAACACTGCTTCGAAACACTTCTTACGTCGCTGGCAAGTGCGCCGGGCCGGCCGACACGGATGGATAAATTATCAACTCGTTTCTTGCATTGTTTTTTGCCCGGGCACGCGCTGCTCGCATCATTTATTATGATGTTCGTTGTCCGACGTCATCGCATGTGTTATGTCACAGGCGGCGGCGGCGATGCAAAGCAGCGGCAGATGGTTAAACGGCGAGGCCGGGGCCCGGAATTAATGGAAAACTACTTTTGCTCATTTCGACGATAACCGCCACCGCAGCGCAGCTAGTAGAAGCGCGAGCGGCCGTCGTTCTATTATTTAACCGGCGCACTTGGACGCGGCCCGCCGGACTAGATTACGGACCAGCGGCTTGTGCAGGTCGGTTATGAATGCGTGGCCGCTGCCGCCCCCAACGCGTTTCAATTAATATCACCGCCGCGCGCCGTGTACATTAATCTCTTTCGTCGCGCGCGCGCTTAGATTTCTATTTGCTCGGCAAAAATGAAAAACTTTCATGCGTCTGTGTCAAGGACTCACAGATACAATTATTGTGTAAATTTTAAAGACTGCCACATAAAATTAATCTATCATCTATCCAATTTGATTTATCGCTGTGCTTTTCACAATATTTACCAATAAAATATCGTGCGTGTCTAGAAGTTGAAAAGCACAATTTCTTCAGTCGAGCAATTACTTATGCGCCGCATTGTTTGCCTACACGTTGAACTGATTAATCCTTTCAAACGCCGGTAATTAATTAAGCACACAAAGTGCGCACATTACGGTCGCTGCATTTTTCAGCGCGCGCGCCACACTCGAGTGCATTTAGCACAGAAAAAGCTCATTAAAGCGCGCGCGCGCCGAAGTTTACGACGAGCCGCAATAAAGCATCAAAGTGAGCGGCAGCAGCAACAATGTGACATTGAAATGTGTAAACCAGGCACACACAAAACTTCCGAACAGTAACACAATCTGTCTATTTGCATTGCGCGCCGTCGTTATTTTC